AGTTATTAATTATTTCCAGTGTTATGGTACGGGACCCTAGAGTTGGCTATACGTTCCGTGAGTTGGTAATTAATAGAGGGTTAAAAAGTGTGAACATTTTGTCATGACAGCGGCTGCACAAATCAAACAAAAAATGCTTTAATTCCCAGCTCACTAAAAAGCCTATCGACCACATCATCGTTTACCCGAGGATGCACCTTCAATTTATGAGTCACAAAATCATTATTATAACATGTAAACAAAAAAACCTTAAATAGAATAGAAGCCCTTCATAGTTTCTTTTTGTGTTTTTATTTGTGTATCTTGTTGTTATTATTTTAAACGGAAGTCAGGGTTACTCTCTCCCTCCCACTCTCTCTCTCTCTCTCTCTCTCTCTCTCTCTCTCTCTCTCTTTCCCTCTCATCCTCTCTTTCTTTTACCTTGCGTGTCTATCTCTCTCTCTCTCTCTTCCCGGTATAACTGTCATGTGACTTTATCGATATTAAACATGATTTCTTAAGGGATTTATATATAAATGTTACAGCGCTGTAATTGAATCAAGCTTTAATTTTATTAAATTTTGCGGATTGTTTTACAAAATCCATTCCCCAAATGTACATAGATACCCCTCTATAGACATTGTAATCCGGGATTTCTTCATCATTGTGCTCTATTTTCAAATTCAAAACAAAAATGTCCTCTCTTTTCTCTCAAACAGGGGGGTACCTGTAAATGAATAGTGTACAGTAAAACAGTCATATACATTTTGGAATGATGTTTATAAAGAAATTACATTCAAGGGGTGTATTTTTAAAAGGAAGAAGTAAAAAGAAAAACAAAAAACAAACTTGCAGTGGTTTGACGGTGCTTCAACTACACACAACACTATACACACAGAAATACAAAATACATGCTACTATCTAAAAATGATGCCGATTATAAATTTAAAAAATTTCGATGACGAATAAAACTTGATGGATAACCTTTTTCAATGGATATATTATTATTTTAATATGCCTCTCTGCAATAAAGCTTTTGCGAAAATATCTAGCTTTTACAATTGAATTGAAATGTCAAAGAGGATTATACTTGGATTTGGCCCCAAGAAGAAGCTAGACAACTTAATCCGCAAAATAAAGTGATAGGATTTTGATCAAATGGCAAATTGTAAGATGATGAATGTATTGCTCCACTACCCATGGATATTTGAATAATAATATACTTAATGAATCAGGGACGTATCAAGGATATTTGTTTTGGAATAATTTATGTAAGTGCATGCTATTAATGGAAAATGGTAAAGAAAGAAAGAAAACAAAAACAAAACTAACCCTCGGGGGGGGGGGGGTTGCATTCCCACTCAGGTCTGCCCCCGTGGATGGAATAGGGCGGACTGGGGGGGGGGGCGCAACTGAATTCATCGGTTACACATCGACAGCCCGCGAGACCATGGTTCACGATGCAGACAAGTCTCGAGACAAGAAGTTTTGCTAAATATCCTCCCTTGTTCTTTTGTTTTTCTCTGTTTGGTTGGCCATCGGTCTCGCAGGCCGACGGTATTGTGAACCTTTAGAAGCTTTTTTCTTTTCAATATTTTCTTTCGAATTTCTGTGTATTGTCGATGTACTGGGATGACCCCATTAATGTCCCGATAAAGTGTATATTTGTAATTTGAAAACATAACTAAATTTTGCGAATATTAGCTCGTAATATACAATACATGAGAAATTGTTTTACGACCGTTCAACAAACACGCGTTTATGTTGACTACACGTATGTTTGTTTAATTTTTTTCATTCCACGTTAATTTTCTGCACAAGTTCTCTCATGATTAGACTCGAATTCAGCAAGTCAGTTGTCAAATTCAAACTTGTCATTCAAATAGCTTTTTAGGTGCACATTATTTAACGCTTTTCCACAGATTATTTAAAATCATGAGAGATTATACAAATATTCAGGCATAAATGGAAATCAAAGATAAAATAAACAATTGAGGCTAATAGTATGAGAGGAAAGAGAAATGTTTTTTAAATGAGACTAGTGGACACATAATCGAGCGCCGGATGATCGATATTCGGTAAATATGTGAAAGCTATTCTGAGCACGTACTGAGCTTTAAGAAAATATGTCTGAGAAATACTCAGCTGGATCGAGTGATGATATTTTGGAGATTTCGCGCTAAACATTTTTATATTTGGATAAGTTTAAACAGTGAAGATAAATATTTACCGGGTTAATAATGAATGTCCCTACATGAAATGGCGCGACCCACTTTTTGAACATGACGTGTTTGGTCCGGAGTCTTTTGATCTTTGTGGATAACTGTTAAGGTACACACAACATTACGTGATGTTTTTTTTTTTCTTCTTTGAAATGGACTACATTGTAGACTGAAGATAGGATTTTTTTTATGCTGTGCACAATCTATAGCGCCTTCCCCTTGTGTAAATCCACCCCTTAAAAATAAGGCCTATATTTAAAGTAAATAAAAGATAAAAACTGTTTATCCGAAGTTTAATGTGTTATTACTTTACTTTTTGTTTTAATCTCCCCCCCCCCCCCCCCCCCCCCCAAATCCAGTCGGAGATCTCCATACGTCACTGACTATCGACGCAATGCATTGTGACGTAAGTAGGTCGTAGTTTATGAGGTGAATACGCGCATGCCCATAACCGCCATTAACCCACTGCGCACCAGGATACGCGCAGCTGGTATGTGACATCACAATGCAAAGTGTGATATCGTGGTGGGCTTTTGTTTACATATCTGTCACTCTGTCAATTGACTTTCTGAGCAATAGGACGTGTTTCCGAATTTCTACTATATTCGTTGAGCAATTTTCCTAGTCTTTACAAAATGTTGCGTTTGGTAAGTGATAAAAGGATTATATTTCCTCATTTATGTACATAATCTAAGAAATGAATTAAAACAAAACAGAAATAAAGAAATAAGAAGAAAAATTACATGATATTGATAAAGAGTATGACAGGAGTATTTGAAATATGAAAAAAGTTCGTTGCGAAGTCCGTAGTTTAAAGAGCATACTATTTACGATTATTAGGAACTTAAACATAACGACTTATCAAGCTAACTCTCTGTATAGATATGTCACATGCATGGGGAAATGTGCACTATTCGTATGCGTTAAGATTGATACCGTAAGCAGTTGCATTAAAAACACTTTTTGGACTTGTATATGTTTATTATGCTTCTGTACATAAAAGGACATTGATGAGTGAAGATTGGGAAAGGTGGATTGGTGGTCATTATTTGTAATAGTCAGTTTGACCATTCATATTATTATGTTCTCCCTCTTTCTACTGAAGGTGACATCACCGAAAAGCAATAAATCTTCCAGAGCATCCCTTTCATCTGACTATTGTCATGACGCTAAGGCTAGCATCTCATGCTGCCCATGGCGCATGCCCAGACCCGGCATCCCAGCCGCCATGAGGTCATTCGAGATGAAGCTACGCGCATCCACTTCTGTGACGTCACAATCGCACCAGTCGATGACCAGCCGTTCCCTGTTCAGTCTGTTTAGAAAGCGTCATTCAACACCAGTGGTCCCATTCAACGGCACCCAAGACCTTGGAGTGACTTGCGTCCAGGAACTGAGGGGATCAAAGTCGGTCGGTGCAGTGACGGACCACTTTGCCAGGGTAGAGGTTGGAGCGCAGAAGGGCAAGACAAGGTCAACCCCAAGCAGGGGAACCCTTCGCCAGCAAGGAATTGAGCAAGGCTCAATCAAGAGCGTGTTCAGTCTCCCCGGTGCAGTGATTGATGATGACGTTGAGTTGAACGCCTGTGCCATTGGTGATGGAACTCAAAGGGCATCCTTTTACAGTGAAATTGACACTAATAAGGCTGACCTTGGATCAATCACTTCTAATGAGGCAAAGCCTAGCCATGTCCATGATGAAAAGACATTTACAGGACAGGCTGGCCCCGCCCATGAAGTCGATATCCTCGTCATCAATCACATCGATGAAGAACTCAAATCAGACGTCTTCCAGCAAGACGTGCTTGAGGAAACTCAAGAAGTCACAATGGTGGAGAAGTTTACAGCAAGCCCCTCGACCTCTGATGATGATATACCAGTCGACACAAGCAAAGATGCCATTATCTGTGAACCTGTGTGCTCTATGGACAATGAAATAGAAGACACCAAAGGAAAACCAGATATGGACATAGTTGCGTCGATATGTGAGGATGTCACACAGCCAGAGGAGGAAGAGAAAATTGGCCACACTTTGACCAGCCGAGATGAGAAGATTTCATATGCTGATCAAGACAATCTCGAAGAAGAGGTTCAATTCTTCGATAAGAACAGCGAAGAAGGGGATGACTACGTCAACCTCGATGACCTTCTTGGTAGCTGTCCAAAGTCTGAGGTCATCATGAATCTTCAATCCGCAATGGAGTTGTCTAAGTGTGCCACACGCCAGCTGGAGAAAGCACTTAAGAAGTGGTCTCGAATCTCCCGTGGTCCTTTCCCCCGACAGCCGGGAAAGTGCAAGACCAAGGAGGAAATCATCGATGACAAGACTGTTGGACTTAGGACGGAGACTAGCCGATACTTGGATGAGATGAACAAGGTGTTCTTCAACTTCTACTCCGTAACGGAGCGGATGGATCACATCGAGGAGAGGCAGGAACACCTTGTGGACTCTATCAAAGCCAAGATGCATGCTCCTCCATCTGGTCCCAAACCAGCTAAACTCCCAAAGTGGAGGAAGGACTTGGCTGATCTCTACGTTAATAATCGCGCTGGAGGACGTTCAGAAAGCCACAAGGTGAAGGCCCTGTTGGGAAGCAAAATCCCTCCAACGATCACCGAGGAGGAGGAAGAGGAGGAGGAGTGAGAGGAGCATCCTTAAAGAGGAGAAGTGGAAGATAGGAAAAAGGCATGCTAGGAGAGAAGTGAGTTCCAAAAGGAACTGCCTCTGATAGGATGAAAGTAACTCCAAAAGGGGAGTGGACGAACAGTACGGACGTAGAAGGGCAAGGAGGACTGGCTTCAATCTCTGAAGGAACTGGTATGACCAACCCAGTCGACAAAATCGAGGATGCCATCATCTGTGAACCTGTGTTGTTTGGACAACTGAAATAAAAGACAACGGAAATGCCAGATATGGATATCGATATGTCGACCTGTTGGGGCTGTCACATTGTCTTCTTCCGGATCAGAATCTGAGGATCGAGCTAACTCGAGTGGATGTCGAGTAGGAGGGGGAGAGAGGATTAGCATTACCAACTTGAGAACCTCAAAGAAGGAGCATGATCATGATCCATCATCAATTCGTGAATCGACAGACTTGAGACGAGTCGAAAAATCAGTCGAGCACAGGATTGGAAAGAAAGCGGAGGGAGGAGTTTGAGGAACCTACTTAAGAAACTTGGCCAGAGTAATCTGACGGTCAGACCATACGATGTCGGAAGGCTGAATTGGAAAGCTGAAATAACAAAGATTAAGAAAAGAAAAAAAAAGCACCAGCAAGAAACATCAAAGATTTATTATGATTGGAATCAAAGGAAATTAAAATAGAAGAAAAAAAGTACTCACTTGTTGTCAATATGGTTTTCATGATAGTACCGTTGTGTTAAGTTATATGAGGTTGATTTTGTTGAGGTGTGTGAGAGTGTGTTTATTAAAACAAACAAAAATAACCAAATCATGTCCTACGGGTTATCAAAATAAATTTTTTATTTTTTTATTTTTTCGAGAAAGATAGATAGAGAGAGAGAGAGAGAGAGAGAGAGAGGAAGACGTACATAGATAGATAGATAGATAGATGCAAATGATGAAAAAGATAAATATTTTTGAGGATGAGACGGGGCTGTGTTGATGACGATGCTGACAAATAACATCATAATAAGGAAAATGTAGTTTTGATAATGATGTGTGGTGATAATGGTGATGACGATGGTGATGGTGATGATGATGATGATAATGATGCAGATGATGGTGGTGTTGATGATGATAATGACAATACAGATGAAATTATTATCGTCCTGGTGCGCGGACGTGGGTATGAGGATAATGGTGCGGATTATAAAATGTACTAGGAAGGTTATGTTGAGAATGACAAAACTGATAATGACGGTGATGCTAAGGTCGATGAGGAGGAGGAGGAGGAGAGGTAGGAAGGGGGAGGAGGAGGAGAGAGAGGAGGAGGAGGAGGAGGAGGGGGAGAAGGGGGAGGAGGAGGAGGAGGAGGAGGATGAGGGAGAGGAGGAGGAGGAGGAGGAGGAGGGAGAAGGGGAGGAGGAGGAGGAGGGAAAGAGGTAGAAGGAGGAGGGAGAGGAGGAGGGAAAGGAGTAGGGGGAGTTTTTTTTTTTAATACTCATAATGACTCTATATTTAGGTAATCATAAAAGGGGATGAGTAGTGGTCTTGCGAATGCAGTACATGCATTAGGAAACGTCCAAACTATTTTCTTACAATCTGAAGCAATCATTACCAATACAACTTAAAATCTCGTATGCCTTTTTTGCTCCGCATGGTGGATATGCCGATATGTATATACCTCTCACGCAAATCTTAATCATACTGAAAAAGAATTATACAAGTCATGACCTTTTATATGCGTTATTCTGTCAAATTGTCACATCTGCTGTCAAATTTCGCATTTTACGTTATTTGTGTTTGACCTTTACTATAACGCAGATGTCGATGTAATTTATTCAAATGCAGACAGCTCTCAAATATTTCTGCAACATGTCACGCAACACTAACATAATAGAATGTTGGAAGGCTGGCTATTATTATACGTGTCGATATTTTGTTATTCCAAGAGATGAGTAAAACCATTAAAATATATGAATGCTGGCCCTTCATCTCCTACGGGCACAGATTTGCCTGTGAGGGAGGGACGACGGAAGAGTTGATGTTTTTACTCAACTTTTTGCTCGAATAACAACTTTCCCTAAAACGTGCTTGCTTTCGTAGTATAAACAAAAATGTCCTCCCATTAGGCACGACATTTTTTGTATAGAACTGGATTATGTATGTAAGCATCAATCCACATTCCATGATAATTCCACACGTATTGTGAGCGGGGATTATTTACAAGCACTTGTAGTGAGCAATCAAATAAATGTCTCACATCCACAAAGCAAGAACACTCGCACCAGAGTTCAATCACTGTATCATTCAAACACTTATAGACAAATAATATGCAATTTTTTGAAATGTCAGTAAAGATATTAATCTATATTTCATAACATGAAGGGTCATGTATCGTCCATCAATATCGTGGGTCGAGTTGTTGACGGAAGGGAGGGGGAGGGGCTGGCATCATGGGGCGGTATAGGGGTGATCTTGCTATTAAGATGAAATGCGAGGGATAAATCCAGGGAGAAGGAGAAAGGGTAAGGGTAGGGTTTGGGAGGGGTATATATCATGTTTTTCACCGCCCATTCAGTGGGGAATGGTGTCATGGGGGGGGGGGCGATCTTGCTAGTCAGATGGAATGCAAGAAAAAAGAGGCATGGAGTAGGGGTAGGGTGTGGGAGAGGGCGTATAATGTTAGTTTTTTTTTCCATTCACTTGGCCTTTCCCCTCACTCCTTCTTTTTCCTTTTCTCTTTTCTCTTCTCCTATCCCATTTTCGCCATTTGTTTTGGGGATGGGGGGGGGGGGGGCACATGTGTTACCGTAGCTAAACGAGACAAAAACGAGGAAAACAAGTAGCTGAAATACCCTATCGCTAACCACATATTATTTAATAGTAGCTTAAGCAATTTTGTTAATAGTTGCATATACTTCAAATTTATTGCCATATAGCATATTAAACTTTTTTTCTGAGCTGCCCTGCATGCAAAAACACATCGCATGACTTGGGCTTAATTTTTGTTCGATACGAAGATACACTGTTGCTCATAACGGTGGAATATTTTTTTTTATCCCAATTTATGGAATTATTAAAAAAATAATTTACAAATACTAGATCTAGATAATAGTATACAGTCTCAGATTTTATTGAATAATAATTTGCCAATATGTGTTTTGCGTGACTGCTGAAGCATGTATATTATGCTACTATGTTTATTAACTAGGGGACCTATGCCCTTAAGTCATAAATGACAGTAATGAGGATTAATGCCTCACAAAAGGGCACTAATATAGCACATCGACACGGTGTTGATCCTGGGGCCTCACAGTTACGAGGCCATTGCTTTGTCACTGAACCATGACTGTACGCAGCGGGGGCTAGGGTAGGGGGCAGTTTCCATAAATTTAAAAAAAACAGAAAATGCAATAAATTTTCAATAATTTATTGCATTCTACCCCGGTCCCCAACATAAAAAAATCTTCTGTGTGCCCATGCCTTGAGCCATAATGCATGGCCGTCCAGAGGATTTTTTTTATGTTGGGGACCGGGGTAGAATGCAATAAATTATTGAATATTTATTGCATTTTCTGGGTTTTTTTTAATTTATGGAAACTGCCCCCTACCCTAGCCCCCGCTGCGTACAGTCATGGTTCAGTGACAAAGCAATGGCCTCGTAACTGTGAGGCCCCAGGATCAACACCGTGTCGATGTGCTATATCAGAGCCCTTTTGTGAGGCATTAATCCTCATTACTGTCATTTATGACTTAAGGGCATAGGTCCCCTAGTTAATAAACATAGTAGCATAATATACATGCTTTAGCAGTCACGCAAAACACATATTGGCAAATTATTATTCAATAAAATCTGAGACTGTATACTATTATCTAGATCTAGTATTTTTAAATTATTTTTAAAATAATTCCATAAATTGGGATAAAAAAAAATATTCCACCGTTATGAGCAACAGTGTATAAGTATCTTCCTTTACTTGATTTTGATGTGAAATAAAGAAAATGGATATTCCCGCCTATCATAGATTTACTTTAATGTTTTTCTCTAGGGCCGATCATCCGTCAAGTAATAAACAGATGAGTAAGTTCGCAATATAATAGAAACGTATAGGGGCAACCATAATTCGTTATTATCTATGCGGCATTTTCTCTTTACACTGTAAATAGCACATGATTCATTTACAAGTCGATTGGTTTTTAATTTGCCACGGGTGTATTAGTGAGGTGGATTTATTACCCCGAATAAAAAAAGAGCCCTAATTTAATCGGGAACCTGTTCCCTGATGGACGATGAACTAACGATCATGGCTACAATTCACCCGATTACGTACTGTTGTAATGCATATTGGGGGTATAACATCTATCAACAAAAAAACCCCGAAAGATTAGGTAGCCCTAGAGCGAAAGAGGTGGGGAAGAGGGGTGAGAAGTTGAGACCGAGTTACTGACGGGATAACCGAAGGCACATACTTATGAAACTGAATTAGGGAAAAGGGAGAAGAGATGAATAGAGAGAGAGAGAGAGAGAGAGGGAGGGTGGTTGCGAGAGAGAAAAGACATAATATCTTTTAGAAATGAAATGAAAGACAGGAATAAGATAGATAAATAGGGTGACAGAGAGAGAGAGAGAGAGAGAGACGGAGAGAGTGAAATAGAGAGAGATAGAAAGAGGGAGAGATCGAGAGAGAGAGAGAGAGGGAGATATGGGAGGGACAGGGATATAATGAGACATAGAGATGAGAAGAAGAGAAAGACATCAAAAGAAGAAAGAGGTAGAGTAGAGGGTGAGAGAAAAGAGAGAAAGAGAGAGAGAGAGAGAGAGAGAGAAGGAGAGAAGGGGGAGAGACATGTAGGAACAGTGCAAAATAAATAGGGACTGAAAGAAGAAGGAAGAGGAAGTTGAGATGGAAAGGAAAACAAAGAGAGGGATGGTGTGAATTGAAAAACAAACTGACTTAAAAGAGAGATAATGTATATAGAGAGGGATATTTTTCCAGACGTTACTGCCCTTAATCCCCTTTACCCATTCTCTGATTAATTAATACGTGATGACTTACCTTTAGAACCCCTCGACTAAATCTTGCATCTCTCTTGATCCATCCTACTTGAAATATTATATTAAGTCAAGTGATCATCTTCAGTCCTACTCGTTATATGCCGAAAGGCATGCAACATCCGTGTTAAGCTCACTCGAAGTTTAAAGGTATAGATTTTGTAGAGTTGTGTAGTCGAGTGGTTAAATCACTTGACTGGAAATACAAAGTTTGAGGGTTCGAGCCCCGGTACGGCACTTACGTCCTTGAGCAAGGCATTTTATTTACATTGCTCCTCGAATAGTATTACCACCCTACCCCTCCCCCCCCCCCCCCCCCCTCCCCTGGCCCTCGGCATTATCAGGTACCTGTTTATGACAACTGGGTCGAGAGGGACAATAATAATTGCGCGCAAAATGCCTTTTAAAAGAGTCTTTATCAAAATACCACATTGCTCCAACTGAATGATTAGGACAAAATCAAACAATAAAGTTTTGACATTTTCAGGGTTATAGTCTATCTGCACTAGTTTGGCCAGAAGGGTTTAGAGGCTTTAGAGCTCCCTGCTTGGCGGGTAGTTATCTCATCAAATCAGCTTTCAATTAACATAAGAAAAAGGGGACCATTTGGGGGGGGGGGGGGTCAACGGGTACCGCTTAGGCATTGTTGGCTAGAATAGAGGGCGCAATTAGCTACAAGTAATGAGTACCGCTTTAAGAGATGTATTTTCACAAGTTCTCCAAAGAAATAAAATGTGTGTTCGATCATACACTCCGAAATAGGGCAACTTTGTGGTAATTTTTAACCAAAAAAAATGGATAAGTCAACTCTTTGTCTGATAACACACATACACAACCATTTTGCCATCAGACAATATCTCATTTTGTTCTTCAGAATCAATAGCTTTCTAATATTTTGTCTCATTTATCTGTTCCTCTGATTTTTGTTCTTCCACCTCGACTGAATCGATATGTAGGCTACAATGCCCTTTAAAGCCCTCGGCATTTTTGTCTTTTTCAGTTTCATTAGATTCGATTTGATTGCATCACACCGTAGTTCCAATGTAGGGTGAGAAACGTCACGTTATCGCCTCTATTTCAATGCTAGCTTTTTTCAAGAAATATAGGTCATTCATCTGGTTTGTGAACTCGACATTTCATACATATATATGCATGTCAGATCTACCAAAATACTAAATTAGTTGTTGGAGAATGAAATAAAAAAATCTTTGCAGGAGTTAGGAAATATCATTAAAGAGCTGATTGATGACAAGTAGTCTATCACATTGACCTATTTACTAATACATTTCGATTTCTACATGTTAATTTCTGTAAAGTATCCCTGGTTACTATACCCTTTCATTCACCTGATATGTGTAACAGCAATCCACTTTGCATATATTAGTCACTGCTATGGCGGGCAAGCCTCCAAACCTAACACGATTGTTAGTTCTCAAGAGAAACTTTTGACAAAGTTTTGCAAGAAATTAGTGAACTGGGCCCATATTCGTAAACCTTACTGAGCTAGTGGTTACGCGTATATGCAAGCGAGTAGAAAACAAACAGGCAAATTAAAATGTCTCTAAATATAGCAAGTAGTGATCTTAATAACTAGAAAAGGAGACTCGGATACATCAAGGGTTCGTGAAAGACTTAATGGTTATAATGTGTGTCTAGCATTGAATAAGTAGATCTAACGAAGGAAAACATGCTCACAACAACAGCAGCTGTAATACCGTCAAATATATACAAGGAATAAAGGGTTACTCGAATGCAAGCGAGTAGGAAACAAACAGTCGTTTATTTTAGCAAATAGACCAGGCAAATTAAAATGTCTCTAAATATAGCGAGTAGTGATCTTGTTTACGACATCTAATGGTGGTCAATATTGATGGGAACTCCTGCACATGTGCCCCTCATTTTTCACTTCAACAATCATTTATCTAGCAGTGCCTTGTGGGGCTACGGGTCATAAAAATCGAGCAGCAGCGATGTTCTATTTCTTCCACACCCTACAGCTATTTCGGCTCATTAAAATATCCACTCACTGACTTGCATTTCACATACTTTTTTGCTGTCGGTCCAAACAACATAAAGGTAAATTAGGATTCCACACAATTGTAATTGATGAATTAATCATCGAGTTTAATAGATAAGATATTGCACCGATCTCGATTTATCTTCAAAATGTGACATATTCACTACGTGCCTATTCTTCGTAATGGCGGAAGGCAAATTCATAATAAATATTATTGATTTTGTGATTTAAAATGGAAACTAAGCATAATATACAATCATTTTAAGGGCGATTCGGTGCAATGTGTCCCAAAAGACGTATGACCTTTTCCTTTTTATTTCATCCAACAATGGGTATCTCCTGATTTACCTGAGCAAAATTACTAATGGTTATTTCTGGTACCATTACCATTTAGTATTTCATGGTCACATCGGGACATTTCATTTTTTAATGAAGAAATAAAAAGGAAAACAAGACGCAATTATACCGTACTGTATACGCATTACACGAAATAGCCCTAAACATGTTAAGAAATACACAGCCACTGTGCATTAAATTAGTGCAGTGGTGTATCCAGACATTAACAGACTGGGGGCAAAATCTTCAAGGGTTGCCCCAGCTGTCGTGGGAATGTCAGTTTTAGGGGGCCCCTACTTTTTTTTTTTTTATTTTTTTATTTTTTCCATTATATAAGTGAGTCGTTCATTTTTTCTTCGATTTGATGCATGTCATCGACCCTTTGGAATCTTAGGCTTGACAAAGTTGCAATATAAGCCTATTGCGAGTTCATTTTTTTCCATAAATAAATAAGGTCATCTTGATTTTTCTTTCTGCTGTAAAATAGGGTGGGACGTGCACCGTCACCACGCATTTATGCCGGATACGGCGGACGTCACTGACTTGCAATGTTATGCATCATGGTATTGATTAAATATCCGAGTCAGATAAAATTGTTTACCTCAATTGTTTCATATCTACTTAAGACAGTCTCATATTATATTTACAAAACAAACTCGTCTGTTCCATAACTTGCTGCAAACATGAAACCTTTATTTTTGGAGCCAGAATGGCGCTTACTTATCTGCATTAACACACAAGTATGACTCCTCTGATTCTGATGAATTTTCATGAAATAGAGAGTAAAAGTATAAATAGGAAAGTGGCGACTTGACATCTTCTACATCATTTACCGGGATTTATTTATTGGAGGAGTTTCAATACATTGAATTGACACAATAAGTTGTTGAGCGCCTAATAATTATTATTTATTAAGTATGAAACGTATTCATGATTTCTGACAGGTAGGCCTAATCACAACTTATAGCACCAGCAAATATTCATTAAAAGGGAAATTCAACCGCTATAACATAGGGGGGGGGGGCAGAAAATCATTCACAAGTAATACAAGTAAAACAAAAAATGAGACTAACACTTTGATACAGTTATACTAAATTCACTGAAATTAGTGAATTGGTAATTTGATAATTGTTATCAATGTTGAAATTGCTATTTCACAAAAAGAATCTCTTTTAAGTTGGTAATTAAGATTGATTTAGATAATCATGATAGAATATTTTGGCTACAACCCACGGGGATCCAAAAGTCAGTTTCTTAGGCCTTGTAAAAACTTTTCTCAGGATTACAGCGTAATTCACTGGCCTGACGACCAATAATTATGTCGGTGTTGCAGGGCTTTTGACAACTATTTCTGAAGGATCATGAGCCAGGCATAATTGGTCTCATCCCGCCATCTGTCTGTTGGGAGGTCGGTTCGCGGCCAGCTGCTCCAGATGTCTCTTGGAGATGTTGAAACGTCTTCTCATCATTGTAAGGGCCGACGTATCCTATGCCTCTGTGTCTACTTCTGTCACTGCTGTTGATTCAGAATGTGTGCGAGGCTGATTTCGAGTCTGTAAAATCCCGTTACCATTCGACGTCACATAGCTACACATCGACGAATTCGACGAAGTTTGATACACGGATGCGCGTCGCGGGACGCTCTCACTGGAATTCCGATAGCTGGATCTTCGTGATCGTTCGTTCCTTTTCGTCTGCCCGCAACATCCAACCTTCGCGCACACCATTTTCTTAAATTCATCACTGTAACACGCAAACAATGTTGGATTCACAAGCGCGTTGAATGCGCCCATGAGGTTCGCGAACACGAAGAGGAAAAATCCGTTGTTCCTTAAAAATCCAAAATAAATATAGTAGAGATTGATGTAGAAGTAGATAGAGTAGCAGAAGCAGTATGACAGGACAGAACATCCCATTATCCGGAGGATGTTTCGCGAAGCTGCTCGGTGAATCTTTTGGCGGTTTACACGTACGGAGTCTCTTCGCATATAGATGGAATAGATTCGGTCATCCTCGGGGGTCGTCGTTGGTTTTCTTTGTCGCAGAGAGAACACCATTTTAACGTAGAGACCAAGGGTTGTGACCAGTGTTGACAGATAGAAGACGCAAAAGACGGTTGCGGTGTAAACGTGTGGTGTGTATGGATTATCGCTAGGTTTGCTGCTGAGACAGAAGTGGACCTCGTATACGTCGATTCCACCATGCATGACGTACGATTCACTAGCTACCTCCTTGAAGAGGAAGATGTTCCCAAACTGTGGAATCATCGAAACCGACCAAACCAACATCAGGATGAACCCAGCTCGTGTGTTGGTGGGCGCAGCGAACGCCCTTGTTGTAAGCGGGTGGATGATCATGCAATAACGGTCGATGTTGAGCGCCAGCTGGGTCATTATCGAAGCAGTCCCAAAGAAGGAGTTGAAGTAGAAAGACGCGATGCACACCCAGTATGTGTCCGGGTTGAATATCACTCTGGAGACATCGCCAGGCAACAAGAACTGCATATAAACGATTGGACACTCGATGAGCACAACCATGAGGTCGGAAAAGGCAAGACTGGCGACATAGACGTTGTGAGACGATTTCCGTGCTCGGGTCGATCTCGACATGACAAAGAGAACCAGGGAATTCATGACGACGGCGGCGATGATGACGAAGCCGAAAGCAAACATAAAGAAGGTCGCAACGTACGGGTAGAACAGTGGATCCTGACAAACCTGTCTTACATCAGGTGTCCCAGGACGGCATGAACTACTTTCATCTGGCGGAAGCGTCGTTTTAAACCGCGTCACCCCACTTGTTGTTGAGGATGTTTTCGTCATGTTTAGCGGGAACACCGAAGTTATAAGGCTAGAATAATTCGAGGTGGGCATGACGTCAGTCTCGCTAGAAGTGATGTATATTCCATCCGTAAAGTTGATCCAAGTTTCGGTTATGACTTCTGTGACCACTGTAACGTTTACCAAACCTGTTCCATTCTGAACAAGGAGCTCCATTATTTGTGTTCACAGTATAACATTGTCCGGCCAAATCGCCATTTCAGTACGTATAATAATCTCCTGTGAGAGAAAAAAAAAAGGCTTGCAATCGGATATGACTGCACTTTTCATCTACTCCTGAAACATTACTCCGCTCAATTTGCAGTATCACAGCCGCTCGCGACCTGTCAATCGAATAAGTCCAAATGAGACGTATTCATGTCGCCTGACTCAAAAAAGTTCGTGACCAGCCAGCCATCGACAGCGGATGCTTTACGACGAAAACGCCAGCCGACACGCGCAGACGAATATAATCAGTATCATCATGTTTAGGCGACCACGAACTTATTTGATGAAACCTCACTCTCTCGCGCCTCTCGCTGTGTCATTCGGAAGAGGTCTACTTGGATTACAACGTACATGTATTTTCATCGTTCCGATTCAGAGATTAGAGTATGAGTGCAAATACCTGAGGGGGGAAGAACCTATCAAATAGCAAACACTATTGTGTCAAGAACAGTATAAGAGCGTTGTTGTAATTCATGCATGAAATGGGTGTCTGATCTCTTTATCTCAACTCTTGTCAGCCTTCTAAAGGTTGATTTGAAATTTGAGAACAAAAGACATTTGCAGAACACTATTTTTTAACGTTACTTTTAAAATTAAAAAAACACATTCACATGTCCCAAGTATTTTACATTTACAGCACCGTGATTCAGCATCGGGTACTTCTTCGGGCACAAAGGCACTTTGTACATGTATCTCTATAACTTTAAACAGACGCCGATAATTTAATTGCTCCAAAGAAACAAATCAATTATGCGCCTATATTAATTTCTGTATACCCTTTCAGATCAAGGTTTGCTATCGCACCCTCTCTCCGGTTACTCTCCGTTTTCTCCTTTATCCAAATTCTTTTATTTTCTCTTTCCCTTCTTATTTTATGTTCATCTTCTCATTCTCATTTTACTTCTACTTTTTCCTCCTCCTCTTCTTCTTATTCCTCCTTCTCCTCCTCATTCTCCTCTTATTCTTCTCCTCCTCCTCCTCCTTCTATTTCGTCATCTTCTTCTTCCATCTCCTCTTATTCTTTTTCTTTCACTCTTTGCTTTCTCTTCTTACTTCTTCTCCTTTATTTCACTATCTCCTCCTCCATTTCCTTGTAACTATCCTCCTTCTCTTGAACTTCATCATCTCCTCTTTTTTTCCTCTTTCTTCTGTTCTCAATTTCTTGAAGTGATCAACTCCTTTCGATTTTTATATTATTGGCCGATCAACTTTAATGAACATCAACACAATGTATTATAACGCGTGTCATCTGTATCATGATTATAATTACAATCACTTTTGTCCCGTATAAGCCGAGCAAGATTTGATTAAATGTCGCTCCACATCATAATTTTGACATCTAGCGATATTGAGCGGGTGATTATGTTGCAATTGCCACATCGTACAATACATTCACTATCGACAAACATACTTTGATGCTTGCTTGAACATAATTAAGTGTGCCGTTACTATTTTCCAGTCTCTTTTAAAGGTATAGACCAGTTCAGGTCATGCGATTGCATTGTGAAAGAAACGTTGTGGAATCGATCAGAAAAGGTGGATCATCTAGCATACAAGTATTGGTGTGTACTGCAAGGTTCTGGAATCATCAAAATGATACGAAATTTGGCCAAGTCTTGGTAAAGTATATGGGACTACGCTATATCTATCCAGAGATATAATAATTTACCAAATATATCAATTAGTAGGCGGTTTCCCGGCAAAATTTGTGTCATCACGTATTATTCAAAACATATTCTTTCACATGATTGGTAATAAAGGGGGCATTTCCAAAACTGGTCTATACTTTAACCCATTGACTACTGAATTATCTAAACCCCAGTAGGCTTAATACAGAGACTACCCGGTCCCAGTAGGAAATGGGTTAACAATGCCGTCTGCAGTCTTTGGTCGGAACCTTGTGCGCCCCTCCCATTTACAGACCCACATAATGATATGTGTAGCAGTATAATACCCACCTTCGTAAATATCGAACTATATCTAATTAGATCACTAAGATAGTATACAAATAAATTAAATCCTTAACTCTTTTTTTGTGGGGGGGGGGGGGGGTTGCATTTAATTCAATTCTAACTAAAGCAACAATTATTTCAATATTTCTTTTTAGTTGTATATGCCGTAGGCCCAACAAACAACCAAACAACAAAAACTTGTATAGATATATAAACTCCAAACTCCAGAGCACTTCAATACTCCCCCAAGTTGATCAAATTATGTGTATGCCACTGAAGTAATCAAGGCATTGCTACAGGGGTGTAAGAGGTGTGACAATCCCGCTACTCGTCAAATATGAGAAGTTTTTCTCTTCATTGGAAAACTTATATAATTTGTCAAATGTAAAGTTGATGCAACCCCCTGCCCCCTCCCCTCCCCTCCCCTCCTCTTCTCACTTTCAAACTTCCTAATATTAACAATGTCCCAAAATGTGAGCAAATATAATGTCATCATTCTTGCAAAGTAAACATAACCGGGACATGAACACACATTGTATCTCTCCTGAGCATATTTCATACTGGTATCATAATGATCTAACTGAATTAATTTCCTCACTGCTATTAATGGTCTGTATCATATAGAAGCTCCATCAGCTAAAAAAAAACAAGTACAAGTTCCTGGTCTCAAACCATGGCTAACCATGAGAATGGATGTTTATTTTGAATAAAATGTAGGTCTTGCAGTCAGTCTATCTTTACTCAGAGAAAATGTCAGGATAATTGCAGATTTTATCATGAACATATACATTTTAAAAACGTTAACCACATACATATTTGACAAGTAACAGAATAGAATAAGCACAGTCCACATCTCTCTATATTTATTGTACACGTACAGACAAAATTAATGATGTAAAGGGCTGCAAAAGTCAAGAGCTCAATACTTTAATTCAATTTTTGTTTTCTCATTCTCTTTTCCTCATCCATTTTTCTCCCTGTCGATCATACACTCACTTTTTCATCCACTCTCTGTCCCTTCGTTGAACTCTCAACCCCTCCTCTCATATAACAGTTCTTCAGACAATGCCTGTCCATGATGCTGTTGTTACCATGTCATAATCTATAATAATGCTCTTGGTGGTGCATCATTAAGGGACAGTCGAGTTCTTGTTAAAGATTGCGATTTCCTTCAAAGAGCAAGGTTGTTGCTCTTATTTTTATTTCTAGTGCCTTTTTAGGACCTAAAATTGCTTTGAAGGTAATTTTAGACCCCAAAATGTGTGAAATTCAGATTAAATCCAATCATACCAATTCAACTCCATTTTCAAAAAAATATGGTGATCGTTAATTTAATAATTTAATGATAACAATACAGGAGCCGTCTGGTTGTGCGTATTATAACCAACACAAAGCCACCATTGGCATTGCCTGGAATAAAACGTATAAGGATAAGGCGCTCTCTCGTTTTTTCAATGAATATTTGTGGGGCACCACAAATATTAGAAATAGTTATATTTAGGGATATTTCAGCCGTCTCTGAACTGATTTTGTCATATAAATTGAATGCTCAGTTTTTCATTATCTCATAAAAATATTTTGTTTGGCACCCTCTATACCAAAACTCAACTATCCCTTTAAGGACAGCAAAATGCAAAGCAAGTTCTTTCATATGTTCTGTGTATTGTGTACGGACATCGTATCCTGACTACATCCTCAAGAGGCAATTTCATTTGATGCAGGTAAACAGCTAACAGTTTTTTATTCTCTCCCTCTTTCTCTCCTAGAAGAATAGCGTTGAAGGAATCTGTGATTCTCTCTCTCTCACTCTCTCCCCTTTCTTTCTCATTTTCTTTCAACTCCCTTCCCTCTCTCCCACACTATTCCATGTCCCTCTTTCTCTCCTCTCATCTGTGTATCTTTTGTTGTTTCCATTTGTGGAAAAAATATCAGATAAATACAAGGGATCAAGAATTCTGAAATGTAGTTTGTTTTAAATTTAGCAATTAAATTAATTAATTTTCAACTTGGTTAAAATATTATTAATTGTGAATATTATTCGAGTTTATTTCAAGTGTTGGACCAAAGTAACATTTACGAATTGTCATGAAATATACATTCCAGAAAACTTACTAAGAAAAAAATAATATTTCCTGAGCAGAAATTAATCATGGTTCAATGTTTTTACTTCATGTAAAAAAATAAATATGAATAACTGAAATAAAACAGAATGATAAAATGAAAATAACAGGTTAATAAACAAAACTTAAACATTGTTTTTCCTGTTTGTTAAAAATAATATTTTAATGGCATTGTAGCAATCTCTCCAGTCTTGCACACATAACTGATGAGTCAATAGTCAACAGAAAGTCATACAGCTTAGCATTACATCCTGAATGGTCTACAGATGCTATTGTCAATCATTGCATACTCATTTTAAAATTATATTTCCAAAACGATGCATGTATCATTTGTTCAATCTGTTTTCCATTGTCAACGAAGTACTCTATTTTCAGTTACTTCATTGTCAAATTAATAAAATTACTTTCACTTATTTTTTATTGGCAATGATTAAAGTTGATACTCTAAGACAATCCCAAATACTGAGATAATTACATAAATAGAAAGCTTTTAACCCCCATAATAACACCAAATGGTGTCCACCCGACAAAACAAGTTTAGAATAATGAATTTATTCGAGTAAACTCTACCAAAATATCTAAGTCTGAAACCCGGAAGTGCACGTAGAGTCGGGCCTCTATCAGTGACGTCACGAACGGGACTCATGGGCTCAGTGAGAGTGAATGGCAGTGATATCCCTACGTAAATGCTATCCTGTCAGAGCTTAGATTTGTTGTTGTTAAGGAGTATATTTGATGGATTTTCTGTTTTCATTTGAATGAAGAATAACGAAGCAACATTTTCCAGTCGCTGATTTCTTTTTATATCCTCATATTCACCTATTTGGTAGAGATTTAAGACGAGTTTACTGCTTAGGAATTAAAGTTAAATCGTGCACGTATGAATAGGCGGATGCATTATATTGTCATCAGATAAGGTACAGGAGCAGTTTTGTAAAACGAATAGGTCTAGAACTATGATAGTACTTATCATAGATGTGTGTGACTGCCTCAAAAAAGGATACAGTACCAGTTAAACATTTTATGTTGTAAAATATCAAACTTGAACGAGATCATGCAAGCGCGCTTCCTCTATAATATTTTGGCGAGTACGGCTCTTGCATGAACGTTCGTGAAGCGAGCAGAATCGGGAGGTAAGACCAAGTCGCTGCTCTAGGCGCTGCTTGCTTGTGATGGAACGTACGTGCGCTAGTTATATGTTTATCGGCAATTGCAAGAGAATGAAAGCGACATTGCCAGCTAAGAAAAACAACTAACAAAGACTTGCTCCTGAATACCGGTGTCAGAATTGGTAGATGAAGGATCTTCAGGGCCAAGGAAGGCGAAAACATGGGAAAAAGGAAGAAGAAACCATCGGAAGATCGCTGTAGTGTATGGTAATGAACTGTGCATGGGTAGACAGCTACTGTTCACTCCGTGCCTGGGCCGATTTCAACACCAAAACAAAAATTACATGGTGAAAATATCGACTAATAGCACATCGTTGGCATGTATATGTCATAATTTTTAAAAGGGGAATTGATATTAATACTATGAAGTACTAGGGGAAGGTAAAGAATTGTACATAGAATTATGATTTATTAGACTTTTCAGCCTTTGAAACAAAAATATGCAGAAAATCGTATCACTCTGCACATGTTTGCTATGGAACATCCGGGTACGTGAATATACTCTTTCCCGGACGTGAGGTCATAAATAGTAGACCAGCGCCATGACTGATTTTCTATGCAAAGAGAGGCAGATATTTTCGACATTTCAATTGAGGATTTCAAGTAGACAGAATTTTTCTGTGATATACTAAGTAATTGAAAAAAATAAAAATAACATATACTTGCCGTAGGTAACAAATTAAGGGACATTTATTTGCTTAGAGTATCAACTTTAAGTTATTTTTCAGCTAAAAAAAAGATTTTATATAATTATTGCAGAATTGCAGAATTTGTTCTTATTCTTCAAATTAATATTATGAAGCTTTTAATTTTTAATCAAAATCAACAACATGTTTAGTACATGTATTGTAAATGATGATGAGGCACATGTATAACATGGAGCAGTAACCATCCACACTCTAAACTTAAAGTTGTTGGGAAACAAGACTTCTATTGCTCAGCTGTACATCTTCCCTTCCATACCACATTAAATGCAATATAAAACAATTCATAAAATCTTTTCCTAAACCAGGTCAATACTCAATTTGGTTCAGAGCTGCAGCCAAATGCAACACTTATGATGTCATCCTCATGATCATCAAGTAATGTTTTTAACTGATAACAGCCTGTTATCATAACAAGCTATGCCAATCATCAAAACACAAGTTTGTTTAAATGCTTCAAACCATTAAGAGTCAAACTGAAACTCTCTCATTATAGTCTTTCTGCAACTCCTCTAGAACAGATGGAATCAGCACTTTCTTCTCTTTCCCTTATTTTTTTACTTCACAGGTTTGCTTTCATACCATCCAACATACAACATCCCCTTAAAGATAAGCTGGAGTTCTGGTAATGATAGAAAATAAATTCTCACAGAATCCAACAAAACTTGCACTGAATGTTCAAGATTACAAATAAATGACATGTGCCAAACGATTTTGGTAGAAAATGTATAGGGGCTGAGTAACAAGTATAGAAAGATAAGGAAATTGAGGAAGTAGGCTCGACACCATGTGCTTAACACAGGTCACTATGTGCAAATGAGAGTTGTGGTTTTTATTGAAGATGATTCCCAGCAAGTTTTTGTGAGGTTGTTTTTATTTTACTGATTCAAACAATCAATCTTCTGCAGGATAAACAATCCAGAATGAATCATAGCCATGTTCTCTAGACATACGATGCCCATACCAGAGCTCAAGGTTAGCTTTATAGTGGGTGTAGCATGGCAAATACTGGTTAACGCCATCTACGACTTCTTTTGGATAACTGCACATAAATGAATGGACTTGATTTCGAAACAGACCAAAGTTCTCTTCACGCTTCGGTTTTGCATATGTTGCATGCACATGAATACTGCGGTCGCATCGCCCGTAGTCGTATTATACCCAATTTGCCCCGAGTCAGGCCACGGGAAAGACATGTAGTCTCGTCATGCTACAACCCCTTTAAAATCCATTTTTCAATTTGCCTCATAACGTCATGTTTCCTGGTTTGAATCTTGAGACTCTTCAGTGGGTTGAGATGGAGCTGGTTCCTTGGTTTCCCTAACCTTATCTCTTGCCCTGGTCTGTCTACCTTGCTCTCGTCTGGGTGTCGCACCATCTTCCTTAGGCTTTGAGGTAGCATCGTGACTGCTTGTCTTGGACTTTTTCAGGCCCTGGGGTAGCATGAAAATATGACATTGAAATTAAGTGATGATTGTCAACTTGCCGGTTTCCTCATTCGTATATATAATTGTATTTTGTGTTTATCTTTCGTTATGTTATTTGTATGTTCTTTACTTATCTGTAAATATCAATGTTATAATTATGTATTTTTTTAAAATGATGAATGGAATAAAATAAAATGAAATGAAAAAAATCTGTGAACTATTTTTCGATAGTTTCATACATAATCTAACACTAAGAGAAAGGAGACATTCCTACCTCATAGTAACCTGTATGGTATCCACTCATATACCAAGACATGAGCATGGAATGCAGGGCCTCTTTATCCATGTCCTCTACATCCTCTGGCAGCGGAGGGTGAGGAGGGGGTGTGGGCGGCATGGAAGGTATCCGCTGTTGTCATAACAACCAAACAAATTGATACAATTCATCAGTTGTGCAATAAATTTGGAATTTTAGAAATATTTTTTTTTAAACATTACACTCTGAAAGAGAGATGATAGGTATGGTAATCCACAACATTTTGATAGCGTCCAGCACCTTATCAAGATAATGGCAATAATTCCAGCTTTATTTAATGCATGCACTTAAGAATGGATAACTAGATAAATGGTATGATACAGTTGCATTATAGTACAGTGGCCAAGAGGTATAGGACGGGAATCATAAGTGCACTAGCAACTCCACCAATAAACAATTCCTCAAATTGCTGATGGTGCTGCAATGGCAGTCATGCTGAAAGCGTAAGTAATAACTGTGGAACACCAGGAGTGTCAGGTCTGACAAACATAAGCCCTATACAAGAACCCACTGTCATTATTATTATTATCATCATCATTATAAAATTGATCATGGTGGCTAATTAGCTTTTTTTAACCATAAAACTGGAGGGGATTATCTTATAAACAGTTATCGGTACAATTAATAAAGGTAATACCATGTAATTTATAGTTGTGTTTTGTGTTAAGTGCATTAATAAAAGGTGTATTAGCTTTGAAAGAACTCACTGGAGGTGTTTGAGTAGCAGGATGTGGTGAGGCTCCTCCCCAACCCGGCATCATCTAGAAAAGGAAGAGATATTATTTGTACTGTGACCCAGTAATAGGGCTACTACAGTAAAATAAGAGATTTTTGCATACAAGAAACTTTCTTTTTTGTGAATTTGTGAAAGTTCAAGGTTGCCAAATGTATAAATTAGAACACTAATTTTTGCAATTAGTAAAAGTTTTTTGCTGTTAAAACGAATCATCATTAAGAATTTGAACAATTTGTTGGTTTTACACTTGTTTACAGACAGAAAAATGTACTACTAAATGGAGAAACAAAATTTAGTCACTTAATTAAAACCACTAAATCAATTGTTATAATACATGTACAGTATGTACTGTTTCAAGCATGTAATCATGTAGTCTCTTACACATTCCTGGACATCTTCAAAATTATGCACCTTTTGTTGATTGCTGATTTATTAGAAAATTATCAGACAAGTTGTCACAGTTTCAAAAGGGAGCCCACACTTACTTCAGAATTTAAAGCATAAACCATTCAAACCAGGATAAAGGGGGACCATGAAAGCTGAAATGGGCCGCATCACTCCTTTGGTATGGTATGTCTTTTAGTGTACAGTTGTTAAACTGAGAGCATGTAAAAAAAAAAGAAGGAAAAATTCAAAACAATTTGAGCTTTGCTCCCATACCCTTGATTAAAACCTCACCTGTGCAGCAGGAGATCCCCATGGTGCGAAGGGTAGCGGTGACATCATTGGAGGGGGAGGCGGCATCGGAGGTGGGGGTGCTTGATGGGGCGGGTACCATGACCCTGGATAGGGACTGGTGTAGCCTAGAGGATGGGTCATATTGGATGGGTGTGGTGGGTGTGGTGGGTGTGGGTGTGGGTGTGGTTGGTGTGGTTGGTGTGGTGGTGGTGGTGGATGATGGGACCGCTTCCTTGGGCCAGCACCACTGCCGCTGGGGTGCATGGGACTCTGGCTGTGATCTGTCCATTCCATGGAGTCATACCCATTCTGTGTTTGGACAAGATGAATATAAGGAGTGAGGTAAGACATGAAATTAAAAAAAATTCAGAACAGACCTCAACGACTGCAGAGTAGTATCTTTCCCTCATTATTTGTATACTATTAGTAAACTAACTTGTAACTCCTGTTGCAGGTCAATCATAAAAAATACAAATTATAACAAATGTCACAGAAATAAATATACAAAGTGGAATTCTACTGAAATTTTGAATAAAGACAGCTTCCAGAAAGAAGCTTTCCAAGTTCTTGGAGATAAAATCTTATTTAAACCAGGACCTTCTGCTATACCTAACCCAAAAGCTGAATCTATTCTGGAAACTACATGTAATTGCAACCTCGACCCTTACCCTGTATCTTTGATGAAATAAAAGCCTGGGCTAAAGCCACTGGAGCACTTGCCAGATCAACATAACGACAATATCACATCAAATCTAGACTGGACTAATATGATGACAACCCCAACATATGGAAGCCAAGAACAAGAACATCTATCTTAGACTGACTACTTATGGGTCCAATGAGTTACAAGTGACTACTTGATAGCTCAGTGTCATCATACCTCAAGTTCTGCTTTTGAGTTGACAGAGGCGACAGAGGTCTCGGCCTCGGATTCACTGAAGAGGTCAGACAGTCTCTTCTCCTCCTCATTCCCGTAGCCAGTGTATCTGACGATGCATGATGTCTTCTTGTGGTTGATTGCCTTGACAACAGCGCTGTAGACCTGCTCATCCTCGGTGAACACTGATTTACAACGGTCTCCAACTTTCCATTTCTGAAAGGCAGACAGGTTAAGTTTGTTTTAAAGTACAAAGAGTCTTCTCAAGCAAATAAAAGTCATATATGCGGTACAGTAAACAGCTAAATTAGTCACACCCCTTGTAAATTTGATGTTATTTTGTGTTTTTCTTAACTCAAGAATGAAAGAAGGACTGGTTAAGTTAGGGCCTCTGTTGAACATTTTGAGATGAACTCTTTAATATGTCACATTATTAGAAACATAAATCGAGGCGAAACAATTTTTTGCACACTTATAAAGTACAAAACTTGGGAAGGGTATGATTAATTTAGTTGTTAACTGTAGGTCTTCACGTTAGATGATAAAAAAAATAAAAAACGTCTCTTTGATGTCATGATTATTTTGTGTCACTACTAGATTTCTTCCCTACTTTCCTGCTGATTTTCTTCAAGGGAAGTACAGTAAGAAATACACATAGTACATGCCGCTGCCAGATTTCCATAATCTTTTTTAACTTATTCTATTGAAAAGAGCCAAATGTTTTGTCAACTCAGAAAATAGCATGCTTTTATTTTGTGCAGAAAGATGTTAGTTAGGTCTTACAAAAAAGTTATAACCAATATATAAGTAGCTATTTTGTTGAATGTTCGGTATCCAACAAACCAGCTTCCAAATTATAATGTAAATAGTTGTATCTGAAAGGGCTTCCTGTATCATAAACAGACTAACATTTAAAAAGCCATGCAAAAGACTTACCGTTTGTGATGGCACCAAGTTCTTTTTGTTCTTCTTCTTTCCTCCTCTCTTTCTTTTTGGTTTGCTCCTTGCCTCCTTCTCACTTCCATCCTTAGTCATACCCTAAATAGATCAACAAAAAGAAGAACAATTTACACACATCCAGAATCTGGCTTTACAGACACTACATGTAGTTGGCTCAGGACATGTTATATAAAATGCTGCACAATGAATGAATACACATCATTTTATAATCATCTGTTATTTTTATATTATTTTACTTACTTGTACTTATATATTATCTTCACCACTCATTAATATTTTCAATGATTAAAATTCAATATTTCAATATTTCTTTTTGACCATCACATGATCACACTCAATATTAACATTATATCTAGTGTTTGTAAATTGCTTTTCTAGTACAACACTTCCATTTTCATTTCAATCTGGTCATCCTTCACAGTGTATTTAATGAAGTTTACTGCTTACCTTGACATAACTGATGGCTTTATCATAGGCCTTAATCAGAGCCGAATCATCCCATATGTCAGAGTCGTTGTCACTCTATAGATAATTAATAGATATCACGAAAATCATAAGAAATGAGCACAACATGACAGTCTTTAATTTTCATTGATGTTGGACCAGTGTCTTCAAGTTTATATCTTTTTTAATGAATAAAAAGACTTTAAAAACAAAAACGGCAAAAGGTTGAAGGTGATCAAGTTCTGGAGGGGTGAAATAAATAAGAAAAGAGAAATAGAAAGGAGACAGAGAAAAACAATGACTATGAAGATGACTACGAAGAAGAAGAGGGAGATGGATGCACTCTAGTCTAGGCATAGACCTAAGAGTACGACACTCACGTCACAGTTCAGAAGAATATTCAAGAAGGAAAAGAGGAAGATTCAAGAAGAAGAAGAAGGAGGAGGAAGAGGAGGAGGAGGAGGAGGAGGAGGTGGGGGAGGAGAAGGAGGAGAAGGAGAAGGAGGTGAGGAGGCGGGGAGGAGAAGGAGAAGGAGAAGGAGGAGGAGGAGGAGGAGGAGGAGAAGAAGAAGAAGAAGAAGAAGAAGAAGAAAAAAAGAAGAAGAAAAAAAAAGAAAAACAAGAACAAGAAGAAGAAAAAAAAAAGAAGAAGAAAAAAAAAGAAGAAGATGAGGATCGAGGAAAAGGAAGAAGAAATTATTTTCACTCAACTTGATCAAAGCAGAATTAGAATTAGTTCTGAGTTTGACTCGAATGGACGTAAATTGTGGTTAACACACACACTAATACGCACATAGTTTGCAAGAATATTCAGTCCATTGAACATGTTGAAGGAGGCAAATGTCTAAAAAAAATTCTCCACTAGGCCTAGTCTAGACTCTAGACACATATTTCAACATGTGGGACAGTGTTTATTTCTGTCGCAGACCCTACACAGTCAAATGATATAGGATAATTTCGTGCTTATTAGCAAGTTCATCCTAAGGAATTCCTTTAAGTATTTAGCGACCGAATCATCATCAATAGAGCTCAAATATTACCCGATCAACTCTGAAAACTACGTCTCCGGAACGTTCAGCCATGGCGCGTGTTCTTTCGTGTTCTTTTTCTTTACGATTTGTCTTTTCCGCACTTCAGTCAAGCTAGACACTATGAAACGCCGTTTGTAGACTTATTATTAAGAAAAGTTTTTAGCAAATAGATAATTATAGATAACTTTCCATTCATTTTCATGGTTTATAAATAAAGATTTTACGATATAAATTATGAACCGATAATGATTTCCACATTTCAATTATTTGTAAATAATTATTACACAATATCAACAATGAATTACAAATTGTTTATTAGGTCTATTTGTAAATAATGATTTCAAAATATCTATTAGGGTCTATAAATAAAAAATGAATGATACATTTCCATTATTTATAAATGATTATTTGCACATTTTGAATTATTTATAGATAATAATTACACAATATTAATTATTTATATTTTATAAATTCACTTTTCATGATTTATAAATAAAGATGGGTGAATGGCACAATATCCTTTATTTATATATAACAATTTTCAACATTTCCATTATTGTCATATAAAGTTCAACACCATTTCCATTATTTAAATATCATAAGGAACTTAAATTTTAGCCATTAAAACCCCTCTAAAGTGTTCAGATACCAACAAAGAGCACATATTTTTTTTTGGTCCTTGGACATGGAAAATTATGCCTACCGTTATTTCGTTCAGTAGTGGGGGGGGGGGGGGGGGGGGGGGTTCCTCCAAAACACACACATTAGTAAACAAATAGAGGGGGGGTTAACCCCCCCCCCCCTTGCGTACCTGCCTCGAGGGGGGGGGGGGGGGACATTTGCAGGGTCTTCGCTATGGAATGATTTCCTTCGAGAGATTCATACTAGCAGATCAGCTGAAGTAAAGTAGAGCCATGGACGTGAGAAAGAGAGGGTAAGAGAGAAACAGAGAGGGGGAGGGAGATGGAGAGAGAGAGAGAGAGAGAGAGAGAGAGAGAGAGAGAGAGAGAGAGAGAGAATCAATCAGAGCTGAATCATTTCATAGGTCAGAGTCGATGTCACTCTATAGATATATAACAAAAAGTATAAGAAGTAATCACAGTATGACAGTTGTATTCATTAATGTTGGATCACAGTCTTCAAGTTTATAACTTTTTTCAAATGACTAAAGAGCCTTTAAAAACAAAAACAATATGTTGAGGGTGATGTAGTTCTGGAAAGGTAAAATAAATGAGAAGAAAATAGAAATAGAAAGGAGACAGAGAAGAAGATGAGGGAGAGATGGATGCACCCTAGGCATAGCTTTAAGATACACACTGTCTCACAATTCTTTGGAAGATTCAAGAAGAAAAAGAAAAGGAGGAAGAAGATTCAAGGAGAAGAAAAAGAAGAAGTAGAAGAAAAAGAAGAAGGGGAAGAGGGAGAAAGGGAAGAGGGAGAAAAGGAAGAAGAAGATAACAAATTATGTTTTAACTGAGACACATTGAATTAAAGATCAGTTCTTAATAAAATATGATTGAAGGTAACAAGGTAATGTAGGTTATAACGTTTTAAACTGGGAGACATTGGTAGGAAGATAGAACTAGAAGTAAAGTGAGAAAGAGAGGGTTGGAGAGAAACAGAGAGGGTGAGAGATAGAGCAAAAGAGAGATAGAGAGAGAGAGAGAGAGATAGAGATAGAGATAGAGAGAGAGAGAGATAGAGAGAGAGAGACAGAGAGAGATAGAGAGAGAGATAGAGAGAGAGAGAGAGAGAGAGAGAGAGAGAGAGAGAGAGAGAGAGAGAGAGAGAGAGAGAGAGAGAGAGAGATTTGATACACAGGTTTTCTACAAATACCTAGGCAGATGGCAAATACAGAAATGAATATTCACACAACCAGCACACAATACACTACACACACAAACAAAGGCTACATCTTGGACTTGAGGTGACAGTTGTGGCTCTGTGTCTTTATTGAAAACGACAAACCCTGATAAGTTACAACAATGAAATCAGTTTGAGGTGGTTTACATGAAAAATTCAGTACTCAGGATATGACAATTCTGGAGTATATAAATGCTCATGATTCAAACAAGAAAATTATTATTTCGCATTTTCAGCATTGTTGCAGTCAAGTTTGATTATCCTTTGCAATTATTTTTTATCTAAAAAGCAAAAAAAAAAATCTCCTAAACACAGATACAAGTATTATGACACAGTGTACAAATCACAGCATACAGAACTGGACAGATTAAATAAAAGATGTGTTGTCAGCATGCATTTATTCCATAGGAGAAAAAGTAGATTGCGTAGAGTTATAACAATGATTCAAACAGAAAATTTGGGGATGTTACCAATTTAAAATAGTAAATATTACATTGTTGAGAGAGTGAACCAAGATAAAAGTGTCTTAATTAATACCAAGGCTCATTTTACATCTGTGACTTTTTAACTGTAAGCTCGAGATGCTACTCCCTTTTATATTTCATGCAGGAAGGTATATATATAATGTTACACAGTTCTGATCCTCTTAAATTAGTTCTGTGTTCTTGGGTTGCATGCAAATTGTTTTCTCCACTTATAGTTATACGCAGTTGTAAAAACTATACAAGCACCTAGCTGACATGAACTAGAAGCAAAGATATAAATTGTAACAAATAACATGTAGGAGACTTAAAAACCTTACTTCTGTCTTTTAAATTCACTAATATTTACATAAAAGTACTAAAAACAAGGATATAATCATATTAGTTCTGCTACGCTTGGTTACTTCTATATTTCAAAATCCCTAATATTTATACATAAAAATAAAACATTTATCTTATAAACTAAATTTTAAAGCCTACATATGGACTACTCTTTAGCATTTTTATCATTTATAAGCTGTTTTACAGCAGCTTATCTACTGCCTACCCTATATTACCAGTTGCACTGTAAGACATAGGCAAGTGAAAAACAATTTCAGTAAGGAAAAGAATGGAAACAAAGTGCCGTCAATAATTGTGGGAAAAAAGAAGATGTGTACAAGAGTATACTGCACAGAATAATCACTGAATACACACATTTCTACCTTGAACATGTATTTTAGTCACAAAACCCTAAACACCTGATTATCAAAATATGTTCTCTCACAATATGATGACCAAGAATAACAGTTACATATCTGACTTAAACTTATGCCTATACATCATTATTTGCAGATTTAAATACATGTATACCAATCAGTTTGTTTATTTTGTTTTATTCAAGATTTAGGTGTTTCTTTTTTTCCAGCGATTTAAACTGCAAGGCACAACTCAGAGCAGCATTAAAGAATGAAGCGGTTTAGCACTTACACTCTCTTATCGCTTTAAACATCACAAATAAAAATCGAATAAAATATCATAATCTGAACTTTTAAAATTATGCTGATTAATGTTGACTAGTAAAGAAATATGTATAAATAAAACATTGATTATCTAAATGATCATTAGTTACAAAAAAAAAACACTAAATAGAAAATTAATCGAATCACTACACTACAACTATGTACAATTTACAAACACACCGACGAGCCTTGCATGGGGAATCCCCTCACTACACTATTGGATGATCGTTATATGCAATATGCATATTAATCAGAAAAGATAAACCCATTTTCAGATTAAGTAGACCTCTTGGAGCACGATTGCAAAGACCTTCAAGAATCAACCAAATGGTAATTTCAATACCGTATTAATTGCCTAAAGAAAAATGATTTTCAGATTATGTAGTACGCCATTGTCATGTTTCACCAGAAGGCGAGGCACAAGGCTATTGTAATTGCAGAAGGTTGATTTATTTAAACGTCTTTGTGATCCTGTTTAGAAAAACTACTTTATTGACTTATCTTCAGATAAACATACTACGCCAAATCTACAAATAAACATGTAGTTACCCGCCTATTTCAGCCTCTGAGAAAACAAAATGAGTTTAAATTAATGTTGAGTTTGTTGTTTAGAAAATGACAAAGATCATAAATATAATGCCTTCCTTTAAAACTTACGCAGAGTCTAAACGGAGTTGGAAGTATAGGTAGGTAGGGTGAATGGAAAATCATGCCTCTTCTTGAGGAGAAATGGAAATGTCTAATTCATGAGAAACTTGATCCCCTTTAATCAAACAAGTGAACTGACAATATGTATTTAAAAAATGAAATCTAAAATCTAACCTGATAAACTTGTGATAACAGACTTTAACAAGACACAACCAACTGAACTTATTTGAGCAATCTAAGACAACATGACACATTGTACGTTGCCACAAAATACAAATATAGTTGGGAAAGCAAAATTGTAATGTAATTTGCTTTCATGATGTGTAGACCGTACAAAGAAAGACAAATCAATCTTTACTCTGAATATCAAAACCTTCAAACAGTTTTGAAACCTGGGTAAAAACTGCCAATGTTTTACATAACCCAAGCTATGCATGTATAAACACGTCACAATACACAGTAGGACACAAGCTATTAGTAGGAAGAGTTACAATGATAATTATGTATAAAACTAGTAATGCTAATTGATTTTCCAACTAGTCCCTAATTAAAAATGCAACTTCCAGCCGGATTCATCCATAACTGTCACAACAGAAAAAAGTCATAAAAATACAAATGCTTTCTACAATATGAAAATGTTTGAATAACATCAAAATTATGGGGGCATGATAACTTCCTATCTCTCTAAATATAAAAATCAGCCAATTAACAGTGTTTTTTTTTAGTTGAATAAACATGATTGTTGATTGTTTAAAAATAGCAAAACTAAGACATACTCTGCAAGTTTCTCAACATCTCTACAAAATTTGTACAAAACTACTCTTAAAACATCGCAAGTGACGATATAAAGGTACGAGTGGTAATGTTGAATTCTACAGTATTTTAAAAAGTGCTGTCCTAGTCTCATCAGTAGTCACATTACATAAGGCTGCATCTGTCTTCTCGCCCCTGTAAGGAAAATGGATAGAATAAAGGAAGAACAAAAATGATCAATAATCATAATCAGGATATTCCATCCCTTCCATTCGAACCCTTACCATTTGTTGTTGTATCATGTATCATGGGTAGACTAGGTTTGTTCAATATGATTCTGGCACCTACTTTATGAAAATCAAATCTAGAGCACACTTTCACCAGCAACATCATCTCCAAAATTCTTGATATCGATTAAGATCATGTCTTTGTAAGAGGTTTGAACCTCTTGGCACCATTGAGAGGATACCAAGGTTCTCAATAAACCACTAGGTTAATCTTGCAAGGATTGTAGGAAGGGTGAAAGGCACCATACAGCCTCTCCCCTGCTGGAATCATCTTGCATTAAATTGTCTTCTTGGAGCCAGAGGGTAATAATTCACATATGTTTCAAAGCGTCAAACCATAAAATCATTTATTGGCACACACAAAAAAATTAAAATAAATATGGGATATGATCATTTAATTAGTGTAGGCAAATTTTCATTTAGAAGGACTATATGTAATCAAAAGCTGAAACTTTTTCTTCAGCATTTGTCTCATAGCCCCATATTCTTTTTGACAATGACACTTCTACACATCTTTGTTTTCCTATACTTTGTTCACAGTATACATAAGAATATTCAGGAGGCTGATAAAAATACTAGGATTTAATATAGCCCCATTCTTGCTATAAGTTTTCCTATCCACCACTGATACACACAAATATTTGACAAAATAAGAAAACAAAATCAAATTTTAAAATGCTGCATTTGAGAAAATTACAACTTACCGCAAGTAAGCATGATTTCTTTTTTCCTCTCCCAGTTATAATATGTAAACTATCATTTCTATTTTTAAAGCCTAGAAGATGTTAACCATAAATTACGATAAAAGAAAAAGAAAATTACCTCTCTGTACTCGTGTGTTGTCACTTCCTTAATCACTGTGCGAGTAGCCATGATCTAAAAGAGAGAAAGAGAAAAACGATAAGAATATGAGATCATAACATCTGTGGATTGTGATAATTGTTTGTCGATTGATAAATACTTTTCAGCCATCTTGAACTTTGGAATGAATTCATCCCGGGATTAAACATAGGATATGAAGTTTGCGTTGAAACGTCCATAAATCTTATGCAAGGAATCAAAAGGGTCAAGTTTATTTAAAGTTCAAATCTTTAAAAACGGAGAAGGATTGAGATTGACGCCCTTTTCATTTTAACAAGAGCCTGCAATTCCTTCCGATGACACTGTTTGAAATAACGCAAGAGCCTGAAAACTGGGATCCCTGAGACTAAAATCAAGATACAGAAACGGTGTAAACACAAAATAAAAAGTATGAAATAAATTTGTTATCCCACAGAAGTTGGGAAATTGTGATCTTCTTTGAGGTTTTATCACCATTTCATTAGTAGTTACCATTGCCCGAGACCCTGGATGGGAGGGTAAAGTCATATTTTTTCTCGTAGATCTTCTTGATCTTGGTATAAAGTTGCAGCACTTACCTCGCCGGAAGCATCCAGCAGAGAGGTCTCCACGTTATCGCCAGTCCCCCAGGACTCTACGTTTTTGTAGACCAGGTCCTTGGGTGGGCTATGGGACTTGCCGCTGCCAGAGGCCCAGACGGTCACCTCCTGGCCTGCCTTCAGGACGTACTTGGCAGTGAACTTGTAGGACTGCTGGCTGCCACCGTCCACGCTGCGCTTCAGGTGCCACCCGCCCAGGGCTTGGTCCTGACATTGCAAGAAAGAATGGGTGGTGGTTAGAACCAATGCATGAGCAGGACGATTAAAACAAAAAGCCCATTAGATATGATTAGAAATTGAAACCATACCTGGGAGGTGTTTCATAAAGCTGTGTGTAAAGTTACAAATGATTTGAATATGAAGAACCAAATGGGATTCCCAATTTTTTTTACTGACATTTAAAAAAAAGTGTGACTGTATTTCCCATAATCTCAATTAAATTGTAGCCAAAAATACACTTTGCATTAAAATGTTTTATTAATAATAAGGTTAATCTACATCTGCATAATTATGCAATTAAAAAGATTTGAGAATCCCATTTAGCTCTTCATATTCAAGGCATTCGTACAGTCATGCGTAACTTTACGCACAGCTTTATGAAACACTCCTCAGGTAATTTTTCCATACAGGCCCCAGCCCAAGTTATCACAGGTGCAGTATCCAATGAGTTTTAACTTTTAAAAAAATAAAGTGGGGCCAACAATCAGCAATTCCATGGCTGTTATCTCCTAAGCGAAATATAACATTTATTTGAGGAGCGCTACTTCCGAATAAAACTATGGCAATCAGGCATTTTATGCATCAGAACTCCTTGAAGGTAATTTCTGTATTTTACAGTGGACCTTTTGAGAGAGAGTTGTAGAGGCAAATTACCCTCACTGAACCGTTGTCCATTTTTCCTCAAAAGGGCATTAACTCAAAATCTTTGCCAGGGAGTTTAGGTCATTTTTATTTAGCACCCAGCAGAAACACATTCTTTTTCAATGAAGTCAAGTCATAACTCCTACTCTCAAAACCATATCTACCACAATTATTACCCCAGCTACACAAAATTTTTCAAGCAGAAAGATGCAACACATTAAGCTCTGTTGAGCTTCAGACTGTTTTCAGTTGCACAAAAATTCTTGTAGAACCTTTTTACGTGCACTGTACGCTCGGCACTTGACAAGCACAAGGTACCATAATATGCCAACGGCGGTCTGTACTATACTGGAAGAAGAAGAAGAAGAAGAAACTGCCAATTCCCAATAACTAACCGTATCAGAGTTGTTGTGGAGCTTCACAAAGTTTCCTTCAGGGTCGCTCTCCACGATGGCCACGACGCCATTGTTGGTGGCGCTCTGGGTGACGCTGGATTCATCCTCAACGCGACGTCGCTTGGTTGGTCTCGGGTCCCGGCCTGTAGACTTGGTCTTGCGAGGAGGTGTGGTGATCCTCAGCCTAGAGGGATTCAGGAAAAAGTGCCATTAAGAATTAGATAAATCCACATTTTATTCTGAAGTCCTGGGGGGTGTTTCACAAAGATCCTAAGTTGAACTTATCTCTAAGTTGGACTTAACAATTATGGAAAGCTGTTAGCATCTTTGAAAACATTTTGTAAAAGTCATCTTAAAAGGCATAATATGTTGATTCAAATCATTCATATTTTCTATTATTATAGATTTCATGTTCTTGATGTGGAATTCATGAAAAATCTAATATACTTGAATTTTTTATTTTGAATATATTTCATTATAAGGCTACACATGGCTCTCAATAATTTTTAAGTCCAACTTAGATTTAAGTTCGACTTAGAAATCTTTGTGAAACACCCCCCAGGTCACACATGTGATAACTTCATCCTTGAATCATATGTGATGACTGCCCAATTTTGAAGAAAAAAATTATATCCATAATCATGTCTTTGTGAGAGGTTTGAACCTCTTGGCACCATTGAGTGAATACCAAGGTTCTCAATAAACCACTAGGTTAATCTTGCAAGGATTGTAGGAAGGGTGAAAGGCACCATACAGCCCCTCCCCTGCTGGAATCATCTTGCTTTTAATTGTCTGCTTGGAGCCAGAGGGTAATAATTTACATATGTTTTCAAATATATAATGCCCTTCTTCAAACCATAAAATCATTTTTTATCACACACACACACCCAATTAAAAAGGGATATCAAGAGATTTTTGCAGAAAATTTTGTTCCAAAACAGAGCTAGGTAAAGTAAGTTGACATTAGCATGCACTAAAGTCATTGACGCATGTGACCCGAGGGCATCTTGTACATGTATCTCATTTATTCTTCAATTTGATTCAAATTTTGATTTCAAATCTCTTAAATATACAAAAATACATATTCAACTAGAAACAGAGAATATCAGTATATTAGAAATATCAATACATTAACGACAATCACATTATGCAGTAAAAGATATGTGTAAATCAATAATGGCACAAGGAGACATCTTTGGAGTACAAAAGAGATATTCTCCACACTTCATAAGCGCCACTCCACTACTTATAGCTACTTGCGCCCTCTATATAGCAAACAATGCCTAGTCGGTGCCGCTTGGTCCCCATTATCCTCTTTTTCTTCTGTTAATTGAGAGCTGATTTGATGAGATAAATACCTGGCAGTGACCTTGCAGGGAGGTCTAATCCCCCTGGCCAAACTAGTACAGACAGAATTTAAATTCAACCACACTGACCTGGTCTCCTCTCCTTCCAGGAGTTTGCGATAGGTAGAGATCTCGTTGTCGAGACTAAGCTTGATGTTGAGCAGGTCATCGTAATCCTTGAGTTGCTCTGCGACGGCATCACGGAGCTGCTGGAGCTCCTTGTCTCGCAGGGTGGTTGCCTCCAGGTGGTCATCTTGCTCCTGGCGGAGCTGCTTCTCCAGGTCCTTAATGCGGGCGATCAGGGCATTGTTCTGGAGGAGGAGGAGGAAATCAGACAGATTTAATTTTCTTAATCACATTAAAAAAAAAACTTTATTCAGTATTTATTCAATTCCATAATAAAAACAGTAACATCAACATACAGTATATTTAAAAGAAAAAAAAATACATAATTGTTATTAAAATAGTACAACATTGGCAGTATAAAAACAGGAATTTGGTTGCTGTATAAACACCTAGTGGGTTTGTCTGGACAGCCATTTTAGATTTGTACAGCCTTTCAGCACAAAGTGCAAAATAATGTATTAAGAAAAGCTCACGTTTAATCTTTTCTTTCTATTAGGAGAACTTTAACATTAATGACAGAGAAATAAGAACTCTACTGAAATCGGTCACAAGAATAACATTAAATGAAGTAGGTTCAGTAACATATTTCTGTAGTTGGTCAGACTACATTCACAGAAATCCTTTTCACAATTTCGTAATAACCATTGAGTCACAAAGATTCAATTATTTTCATGTCTTCATGTATTTGTGTAGCCATGCTGTTAAAAGCCTTTCATCGAGAAGAGAGAAATGGAAATGTACAGGGGGAGTAGAAGAACTTGTTTCCACCCCTGACAGAGGTGACCGATAAATGGACAACAAGAAGCGACATAATAATTGATGAAGAATTGAAAATAAGAAGAAATCAAATATTTCATATGCTGAATACAGGTCAAAGATACTCCAGACTCAAGATTCATGACCATCAGAACAACAAATGCTCCTGGCGACAACTGGCCATTATCGTAATAGTCAGAATGAAAATAGCATACATTCTGTATTGTTAGGTAGGACGAGCCATAATGATGTCTTATCTAGCAATAATAAATGTATGCAATTTGTTTTCTGACTATTGAAATTATTCATAACAGGTGAATGAAAATAATTTGTTAAAGGCACTTAACAAAGATTTATGCATTTAATTTGATTACATAATGAAAATGGTCTATTGCACTGCGACTGTGGTCAATCTTTTTTAAAAAATCCAACTTTTACCCTAATCTTAACCTGACCAAAAGCCTAACTCAATGACTGACAAAATAACTTTTGAAACACATGCAAATGTCACTGGATCGAATATTGCATCACTGTAATAGCAGATTTATAGCAGCAGCGGAAGTGACAAGGAACCCCCACCTATGACATCAGAAATAGAACAAACGCTACACCATATGGGATTCACAGAGAAGATAGAATATTTAATATATCTAATATATAATGAAAAGCCATCAATGTGTGAAAAACATCATGATTTTGCGAATGTGCAGGCTGATTTTTGGAAGGATGAGCTGTTGCCAAGACCAAAGACACCACTGCTGCACTGCGAAGTTTTTTAAATTTTTGTTATACTGCTCTAAAAATAAGGATAACCTTAAAGAGTCCTGCACCATCAAAGTCATGTCATGGAGCGTCATAGACAGAAAGGATAATAAATGCACATTTCAGAGAACGAGGAGACACAACAGAACATCACAGAGGACCACAATTTCCTCTACACATTTGCTTCATTAATAATACAAAGTCTTTGATTGAGTTTATTTGAAATATGTGATGTAATGCATCTAATGGGCTTTCCCAAACACCTGTTGATATGACCAGTATGAAGATCTGCAATTTCAGTATACACAAGCCATGACAACACTGAATAGTTCCAACTACGTAGAGGCCTACCACAAGGATGCATACTGTCACCAAGTCTTTTTTTTTGCTTCAATGTACATTCTGAGGTATTTAAGAAAGAGGCATTTAATGCATTTGAAGGCGGTGTTAAATTTGATGGATTTCAAATCAAAACCTCTCTTACTCTGAGGTACTCATCTGCGACAGCAGGGTCGGTTTGATGGTCCTGTTGGAAAATAAAGGGCAAGCCAGAAAAAAGGGTCTTCTACATTCTACAGAGAAGCCTCTGAGATGGGGTGCTATAGATGACTGCAGGGGGGCATTTCACAAAACTTGTCATCAGTGACAAATGACAGTTTTTGTTACTGAAATCCTTGCTTCTGATTGGGTATCAGCAGATTTGTCACTCATTTTAGTCATTTGTCATTGAAAAAAAGCTTTGTGAAACGAGCCCCTGAATGATTCCGGGCGATTTAAGAGCCACCTGACATTTGCTCCGGTGACTTTTGCACTGGGTTTTGTAAAGATTTTTCTTTTTTGCCACAAATCTGGCAAGGGACAGATTCTCATCAAGACCACAGAAGTGCTTATGGGAAATAGCTGACACAAAGAGAGAAAGATAGTGTTTTGTAATTTCCTTCATTGCAAAGGGATGGTCACTTTTCAACAAGAACAAGAAGGATAATGGTGTAAAATTCAATACAGAAAAAGTATTTGATCTGATGAAATTCTTGCTGAAGGCTCTTAGTTCTTTGCAAGCGCCCTATATTCTCTACATACAGTGTAGACTGACTTTATTGTTGACATTGATATGTCAACAACCCCTTTAACCTGCACACATCAAAACAGTAAACAATCATAAATTTGATAACATTTCGTTCTTATACAAGAGACTTACCTGGGCACGGATGGTGGTGATCTCAGAGGTGAGGTCATCAACGGTGCTGCGGAGCTTACGAACCTCATCCTGAGAGTTGACGGCAGCATTCCTGTGACGCTCAGCCAGAGCCTTCAGATCAGCCAACTGCACGGAATTAACAGAAAGGAAAAAAAAAAAGATTTGTAGAGAAGTTGTAGTTGAATGGTTTGAGCACTTGGAGTTCCCAACATGGATCATATGTCTTTTATACAAAACATATGCTAATCTACATTTTCGACTCCATACCTAGTAGAGAAATGGGGACCTGGCAGAAGGATGTCGGGATGTGTTGATAGTAATTGCCATATGCCCTCATGGTGACCAACTGACCAATGACCATATGGTTGGGAATGCTCCCCAGGAAGTGGAGATGGTGCACATTGTGCATGAATGAATCCGATGGCGGGGGTAATGATATCTGTCAAGTGCTTAGAGACGGTATATAAATCCAGATTATTATCATTATTGTGATGAAATGTGATAAAAAAGTGGTGCAGCTCCAAAATTCTTGATATTTATCATCATGTCATGTGAGAGGTTTGAACCTCTTGGCACCATTGAGTGAATACCAAGGTTCTCAATAAACCACTAGGTTAATCTTGCAAGGATTGTAGGAAGGGTGAAAGGCACCATACAGCCTCTCCCCTGCTGGAATCATCTTGCTTTAAATTGTCTTCTTGGAGCCAGAGGGTACTAGTTCACATACATGTATGTTTTTCAAGATTTAATGCCCTTCTTACACTTAACAGACAAAATATCCTTCTTTGGTGGGCTTTCAAAGCACACAAAAAAGAACAAATCAACATGGGGGAATATAGCAATAGTGAGTCTGAAATAGTCTGAAACTAATCCCACACTTCCATTCATTACATAAACTTAAAACACACTCCATTACAAATGTTTCATTGAGTTCAGAGCTAAAGAAGAGGAAGACTTTTTATCAGGTTTCTCACCTTAGCAGCAGTTCCCATGTCTTCAAGACATAAGAAGTCTCATGGCTCCTACTTCCAACCAAACTCCACGTTTTAATAATACAGGACTCTATACAGTCAATACACACCCTGGTCTAGTGAACCATAGATGCTATGTACTTATAATAACTTAGGACGTCTTGAATATTGATCTTATTAGATAATAATCAACAAGAAGGAAGATAGCGTTTCCCAGCTCTGTTCTAAAGTTCGTGTTCACCCAATCATAAAACCGGCACAATAAGTCTTCAAGAGCTATTAAATCAGAATCATGAATGACCTATTGTGTTTGGGTAATCACTACGGCCAAGCGGGACCTAGATGTTTTGGCAGCTCTTGCTCAAAAGTCCTCTGTATGCCCATACTACAGTCTTTAAATGTTCTTCTGAAGTGAATAACAACGCTGATCATACAGTCTTGACTATAACGTGATACATGTAAGCTTGCCATCTTTTCACTACCTTCTAGCGTGTATCTTTGAATCTTGTTTCGTTTGTGTAAGGCTTGTACTGAAGTTTGAACAATGGATTATTCTAAGCCAAAGACTCAATAAAAATAACAAACATTTGATGCCCCAGTTTCAAGTCTTCCTACTTTTTCAGTAACTACACATGAAAGCTAGTATTTGTTTGCTATAATAAAATAACAGTAAATGTAGACAGAACTGAAGATATTTCACCTTCATGAACCCCCCCCCCCCTCCCTTTAAAAAAAAAAAAAAAAAAAAAAATCCTACCAACTACACAACAAATTTATTTTAAAAATCCATAAAATAATAAAACGCAACAACAAAACCTAACAAAACAAATATAACAACATATAAAATCCGAATAAAACATTCAAAGTTCCTATAAATTACAAGAAAAAAAAGAGAAAAAAAACAAAGTTCCTATAAACCTATAGAGACTAATATATCCATGTGATCACAAACACTGTTTCACACTAGACAGATATATATTCTTACCTTGCTGAAGTAAAGGGACTCTGTCTCCTGGCGGAGCAGGGTCGTCTGCTCAGAGGTCTGCTCCCTCAGCTCCTGCAGGCTCTCATACAGGGAGTTGTTCAGCTCCTCGATGCTCTGCCCCTCGATGGTGGACATATCCACCTGGCGCTTGGTACGTGTCTCCCTCAGCTCCTGCAGCAGGCAAAGATAAGAAAAGGTATAACAGAGGGTCTGACTATAGAGGAGGCGCGATGGCTCAGTTGGTAGAGCAGTGGTCAAGTTATCCGGCGACCCGGGTTTGAAACCAAGGCGATGCGCTAGTGCCCTTTGGTAAGGCATTAATCCTCATCACCAGGTCCCTCGGAGAGGACCTAATGCAGTCGGTCCACTGGTTGCTTACTAACAAGCATTAATGCTTTCTCAAAAATAATGAGAACAGGGCTCTTGTGCAGACAGTTCCAAGACTACAAGATAGTAACGCAATACTTTTAATGTGATTTAGAAAAACATAGAAAGATAAGAATACCGATTTGATTGAAGGAGAAATGCCCATGAATAGTGTTAACAACACCCTTGATACCAGAGAAACTGAATAGGAAGGGGCGCTCTTTTAAAGTAAGTCTTAACTATACCCAACATGAACCATTACAGTGAATCGTATTGTTTATTTAATGGAAGATATATCTACATTGTAACACTGCTCCATTCAATTTTTCACATTGATGAATTTTGAGGGTCAAAGGACAATTATAATTCTTGATATGAAGGTTTGAAGTTCAAATTTCTTGGAAAAGTAAATAACGAATTACAACTACTGTACATGTACGCACTGTTCAAAGCTTCTAGGACAAATGTGATGAGAATAACATTTTAATAGTGAGAGACCACATTAACTTGTTAGTGAAGAAAAACATCAAGAATGCTATAGGAGCTCAAATTCCTAGAATGCATTCTATCAAGGAATATGTTTTTAAAACCAATAATTTGATTCTGGTAATTCGTTGGATTTTTGTGTGTGTATAAATATACATATATTGGAAATACAAATGTAGAAGATGCAAGACAAGTGCAGTAATAAAACCTAGAGCAAAAGTATGTTTGCCCTCGACTGACAAAATTGACAATAGTTAACTTCAATACCCATTCTACCGAGTGAGCCCATACGCGAACAGATGCCAAAGATACCAAATGCCTCAGTTTGCTATATGTTATGCTGCCATCTCTTGACAACTCCCTGTACATGGAACTTCATTTATTCTTATTCAAGAAAATTTTAGTTCCATGATACCAGTCACCAGCCTACAGAGTGATTTTTTCCCTTTTATTTTTAAAAAAGATCAAACATTTCTAAGAGAGCAAAAGTGAAGGATTTTTGAGTCTCATGTTTAAGATAGTCCACAAATGTGCCCTCTCACCCAAACAGAAGGGATACAAAAATGGTGAAGATGTGGAGAGAAACTTTCTCCCAGAGCTACAAAACAAAAATGTTGACAAACCTGACCAATTTTGTTGAAAAGTACATGTATGGATAGTTGGATACACTACTACAATGTAGCTTTGTTCAATATGATTCTATTTTGTGAAATCAGATAAAGAGCACACTTTCATGAGCAACATCATATACAAAATTCTTTATATCCATTAAGATCATGACTTTGTGAGAGGTTTGAACCTCTTGGCACCATTGAGTGGATACCAAGGTTCTCAATAAACCACTAGGTTTAATCTTGCAAGGATTGTAGGAAGGGTGAAAGGCACCATACAGCCTCTCCCCTGCTGGAATCATCTTGCTTTAAATTGTCTGCTTGGAGCCTGAGCATAATAATTCACATATGTTTACAAAAAGTGATATCAAGAATTGGATTATTGATATCAGGAAATTATTTTCTGTTGTAAAGCAATGGTAATTCTTGATATCAAGAAATAGGAATAAATTTTAAAACACCTTGCCATAGACATGCATGATCGGTGGACATTCACGCCGTTCTCGTCCACTCTAGCTAAAAGTGCTAATTATTTCAAACCCAGAGTCAAGTTTACCCGTTAGAGTATTACTAGAATACAGAACATGGATTTTCCCCACATGCAGTTAAAGGAACAAGGAGAACAGATTATCATGCAACAAAATCTTACTATGACAGTGCTTGTAACAGCGCCATCTAAAAATGGGGAACATGATAAAACTTTGACTGACCTCCTTGAAGAGTTGCTCCTTGAAAGACAGTTCCTCCTTCAGGCTCTGGAGCCTGTTCTCAAGGTCCACTCGGAGAAGGGTCTCCTCCTCAACCTGGAGACACATAAACAAAAAAAGAGTGATTTAAAATAAGAAGTATATAGTAGATAAAGTGGGGTTTATTATGTCTTCAGAATTCAGAAGATAGGGGTCTTTATATTAGAATATGGTTCTACCAGGTGTCAGGAATATTTAATCATAATTTTGGAAATGTATTTTATGATTTTGAGAAAGAAAAAAAAGAGAGAGACATAAAGAGGAACAGGATGGGCATTGCACATCACTTCGGCCAGTTTGTTCTGCTCTTCCATCAATAGATTTTGTTTCCTTTAATTAGCCTTTCTCTCTTAGTTTGTACTTCATAAAAATTCCACATAAATGTGTATGGTGTCATCATAAAAATGTGTGAAAAACAAGATGGAAATACTTGAAATAGGTTTCCTAGAATATTTACTTAAAAAACAGCCATATACATGTAGTATGCACAGTTGTACTTAACATCTAAACAAGGCAAACAAAACTATACAGTAATTGATATTGTCTAAACACAGTTACATGTACAGTCTTTTTATTTCATTGTTAACTTCATGAAACTCAGTCAGCATCTGATGAGGAGCAAGCAGTACAATGTGCCTAGTGCCCTCTCTTGGTGAGGTACATACAGTGTGTGTCTTTACTTGACATAACACTGTTTAAAATTGGACTGCCAATCTGCCAATAAGTACTATCTGAAGCTAAACCAATACAATCGATGAAGATTAAAAGCAGAAAATCCTGTGTGTAAGATGAAGACAATGAAAAAAGGCTTAAGAAACAATTGTACTGACTTACAAAGAAACCCAGAGAGGATTTTGAAGTACAGAAAGAGAAGTGTACATGTACAGTATGTGTAATTAAATTTGTAGTTCGTAGGACGGAGACAAATATAATTTTAGACATATATCTGGAGGTTTACTTTGCCCAAGTAAACACATATTATACATCTTTAAACTCTGACAAAGTTTGAAAATATATATTTAATAATTTAGGAGTATTTTGAAGAAATCTAGAAAAATCCCGAAACCAAAATTGTGTAAAATAGGAAAAGTGTAGCAGAATAGACATAGGAAGGAATGGGAAAGTTTGAACGAATGTCACAATAGTGTTTGTCCAATACAATATTAGTGCAGAATGCAGATCAATAAAACTGTCCACCAAATACAGCATTTTATTAAGAGTAAATCAAGGTACATGTCAGATTATACATAGTTCGCGGGCACAAAGTCTAAACCCTTGTTGGTCGTTATGCATAAGGGGCGCCAAGCTAGGGGACTACATTGTATGAAGAGCCCATCAATAGACCCTGCTCTGTAGCTGCTGTCAAAACAACAAAACTACACAAACATGTACAAAAGTCCTTTGTAATTCTAAAACTAACGAAGCAGGTTTCCTAAACAGTTTACACATATCTCGTCTAGGGATTCAATTTATCAGTTGTCAAAAGAGGGCTTTAATAGTTCCGCGTCCTCTAATCAACCCTCCTTTCAACACAATTCATGCGTTACCTGTGGTCTTTGGACCTAGTTTTGTTGGGGTAATCCTTTGGTCCGTGTTGCCTTTAGAAGTGCATTTATACTAAACCTTCTTTTCATGAATGATCGTTACACGATGCCAGGTCCTAGTTTAGATATCCCCAGGTCCCTGAAGCTTTACATGTGTGTCAGGGTATCAAAGATGTCATCCACACTCAAAATGTAAACACGTTGTCAAGGTAATAAGGTGTCAATAAAAAATGTTGGTCTGGTTAGGCCCATAAAACGTTCATTTGGGAGTCTCTGATTACTCAGAGTCTATAAAAGTAAGGACAAAGTCCTGAACAAATACACCTGGGAATCCTTGGTTTCTCCTTTAGATAATAACATGTTTAGACAACTCAGTGTTGATCAATGGCCCACAGGTGATATGACATTTGCTCCTGGCTTTATTTAATCAAAGGCATAATAAGGTTTGATCCGAGGGTTCTAATTTGATTATAGGTTAGAGTAAGGATTAACCCTAATTCAGATATGACATAGTGAACCACAATGGTTTTATATGACGATGTCAGTGTAATACATTCACATTTATGTAGCTAACACAGAGCCAAGTCAATATGCGTACGACCTTTCTTGTGCACAGTTGCTATTCATTAACACATTTTTTTTTAAAGGTGGCATTTTTTGTTGTTGGCTGTTTATGTTGTATCTGAACGAGCCTAGAGATAAAGTCAACCATAAATACGTACATCACGTACATGTACATGTAATGTGTTAGGTCTACGGTAGAAGTTAGGAAACTGTTTGGTGTAGGAAACAGACAATGGAGTAAGTGCTGGAAGGTCGTAAGGCAAAATCTACAACCGCTCCACATCTTCCTTCCATCTATTATTTGAGGGTATCAAACTTTCATCTTACCTGTTTCTTGGCAACTTTGAGCTGTTTCTCCTTGTTACCAAGGTCCTTCTTGAGCTCATTGAGTTCATCCTCCAGAGAGCGCTTGTCGTTGGAGAGAGAGCGGATCCTCACATCTTTCTCGGCGATCTGGGACTCTAGCGATGCCACACGCTTGTTTGCTGCATTCAGCTCCTTCTCAAGCTTGCCAACTCTGTCGAAAAACAAGAAGAATTCAAGATTTCAAGATTTGTTTCTTATCCATGTTTTTTCAATGCTGTAACAACAGTGTTTTTTTTGTCACTGTTGCTTTACTGCAGTTAAAGGGATCGTTTAACAATGTTAAATCTGAGATACACGGCCCTACGTGTTATCAGTGTCTGTGATATGGTGTAATATTGAAGCCCTAAAAAAAATGCGCTTCAAAATGATCAAGAAGTGCCTCAAAAAAGTAAAAATCTTTGAGTGACCGGTTTTACCATACTCGTTTTCCCCAATAGACTGTAGTGTTATGAAAACCGTCAGGCGAACGGTTTTCAAAATTTGTAATTCCAATCATAAATATCTTGATAATCAGACAGGCCATCGGCTTGTAAAAGTCATAGGGTTCCTGACTGACCTAAAGGTTTATAATTATCATTGGATCATGAGCTAAATCCAGAATTTTATTTCAGAATCTGAGACAAAGTTACCGGATCCCTTTAATAACTTCCAAAATTGGACAAAATTGAGCATGACAATTGTATAGGGTTGGCAAAAAATAATTAGGAATTGCTTTTGGAGGTGGGGGCTTTGGGGGAATCAGTGATTTAAGTTGAATTTTGATTATTATGAATTAAATTGTGATCTGTGATTCAGAAAAAAAGGAAAGGCCACTCCTATTTCTGTAATCCTGTATTCTGTAGTTTTCAAGATATGCTAATTTTGAGCCAGTATTTCTCCTGATTAGATGAGTATTTTCTGTCACATTTCAGTTTCATGGGATGTCATTCTTTCAAGTTTAGATGACATGCATTGTAAAAAGAACAGCTTAATACCGTAGTAGAAATTGAGAATACAAATAGTGTATGTACAGCTGTAGGCCTACAGTGTACATGTACATGTATTAAATTGCACTAACGGTACTACTTTTGGGAGTGGGGGCTTTGGGGGAATCAGCGATTTAAGTTACCAGCAATAGTAATTTAAGATTTAAGTTACCAGCAACAGTAAATGTAATTTATGTCAAGTGGAAGGATACAAGGAGACATTACATGTATGTATGTAATTTCAGTATAATTCAATATTTACTCGACTTCAAACACATTTGTTTTGAAAGTCTTTACAGAAATGGGTCTTAATTTAAGTGAAATTTTGCCATCAAATTGTTGGGGCTTCCAACACTTTAAAGGGGCTTTAAATATGTCCACTTAAATACTTTTACAGTAGCAATCATCAAATGCAGTTTTCATTACTTCAAATTAAGCCAAACAAAAATTGTCTGCTATGCATGCTTAAACACTTGATTCTTCGAGTTGGTTAATATTGATTTTCACAAATCCACGCAAGTCACACAAGACAATGGCTATTGGTTAACAGTCACCGAGCCATCTCTAATCAGATTATGAAAAGAATCAATAAAAAAGTTGAATGAATAGCCCAACCTCTAATGAGGGAACGATTGTATTCTACAGTGAACAATGAAAAGGAATTCTTCACTTCAGAAACAGAAACAACTACAATGAAGCCACACTTGACTGACACAAATAAAGTCAATTGAACTACCCTTTATATCAAAATAAACTGAAAAATAGCAGGAATCTCAATAGAGTCATTTTCCACAAGTTACATGTACATACAGTACATGTTAGTAGTACAGGCTTAACAGCCTAGAGAGCAGGAAATAATCAGCAATATTTTTGTCTATTTTTTTAATCTAAACAATATCTAAAGTTCAGCCCCCGCCGCCCCTGCTATACACGACTGTAAGTACACTCTTTAGTCTTCATCGAGTCTTCTATTGATTATTGGTTTTTAGAAATCTTCACAAGGAACACTAAAAGAAAGAGAGTTGCATACCAGTAGGCCTCTGCAACAGAGCGTGCCATGCATAGCGTGGGGCTTTCAGTTTAAAGTAATTTTCTTACAAATTACAGTCAGATTATACTGAAGTCAATATCTAGTCTGAGGGCTGAATTCAAAAGTACGCTCCCCTTTCTACCGAATGAATAATTCCAAGCCTCAAAACAATAGTTATCTTCTTGAAAGAATACCACTAGAATATAGAAATGCAGGAGAAAGAACTTCACAGGAGGCACCCTATAGAGACGAGTACAATGAAGATGACCCTCCCTTGATGCCAAACTGAACTGCAGCTGACGAACCATGTACTGCTTACTTTCTATGGCAGGAGCTACAGCAGCGTCTCTACATGTACATTAATGTGTTTTTTTAAATTAAAAATAAATATCCCATTCAGGTAAACGGATAACATTTTGTCGCAACTATTGCACATGTATGATTATTATAACAGTAATTTTTTTCTTCTTTAAAATGGGCAAACTATAACCTGAGTTGAACATATACATGTAGGTAGATTGCCAAAAGTTGGCCTGATAAATAACTACCGGGTACACTTTTATTTTCTTGGGAGTGTTGGCGCATTTGTTTATAAATGTTATTCAATATTATTTTTTACGCATACCGTGTACCTCATCTTTCATCAAGTTACATTCTTTTATAACTACAATACTGTACAATGTACATGTATGAGACTTCAAACACAAATTAGGTCAGTCTGTTACTTTAAATAGCATCCAGTATCCAAACACTTGGAGTGTACATTTCTACAAAAATAAATAATCTAAATGTCCCTGAGACCACAAAACAAATGTTTACAAAAGAATCAAAGAAAAGACGGATCACAAACATGGGTCAAAATCTCAAATGAAGGTCCCCCTGTTTCTCACATAACAAGAATGGGGTGCTTTAACACAGGCTAAACATGGATGGTCTCATCTTTTATGAATTGACAAGAAATGGACAATCACCATGGAAACGACAGAACAAACAAGCGTGGAATGTGTAGTTCATCTTATAAGCTTGAGGAGACTGGAGGAGTGCCTAGATCCTGCAGGCAAAGGTCACAAAGGGAAATGATAGCAGACAAATATTCCATAGAAATATCAGATGACTGAGCAATTGATAGCTCAATCTTCTCTGCCCCAATGAATGAAGATTGTTTCCTTTTACAAACTGAGACTTCCTTGTGGTATGCATGAAGCTCTAAAACCACATTTTTAGGCATCTTGTACCAGAATGTAGGCCATGCTGGTAAGTGGCATTACTACAGGATGGTATTTCTTTGGCGAGAAGCCCAACATGAAGACTGAAAGGCAGAGAGTAGAGACAGAAAAACTGAAAGAGATGGGGAATAGAGAGAGCGAGGGGGGGGGGGGGGGGGGAAGAGAGAGAAAGAGAGGGGAGTCCATGGTCCAAGCCAGAGAATGAGAAAATCAGAAGAGGTCATAAGTTCACATTGGGAACACTGAACACGTGTATCTGTATCATCGACTGAAGTAGAGCTAGAGCATGCTTGTCAACGTACAAGATACAGAAAAGAGGAGAGAGAAATCAAGAAAGACGAGCTGAGCAAAATGAGAGAAAGCCACACAGACTTATCTACAGTAAAGTAGGGTAATAGAAAGAGGGAGTGAGACAGAATGACAAGATAGAGAGAAAGAGAACCTTTTCTAAAGAATCGTCGTAGAGCAAACAGACTAGAAGTCAACTTAATTTAGAGAAAATTAATTATTTTGAAGAGGTCAATTTACTTGATTGACATGACATCTGGCCAATCATCAGTGCACACTCATGATAAGCCACGCCCAATTTTATGATTTTCATACAAATAAGATGTTCTAACTAGAGACTAGAGAAAAACCCTGATATATGTAGCTGTACAATGAATACTGTTTATCTGAATGTAGGGAGAGGCAAGAGGAGTGGAGAGAAAAAGAAAGAGAGAGGGAGAGAAAGAGGGAGAGAGAGAGAATGGGGAGGGAAATGCAAGAAAAATATCTATTATCACAGATGTGAATGAGATCGATGAGATGTGCGCCCTTCACAATGAACGAACCCTATTTGCTAGGGACGCTCCAACCAACCGTGTAGTCTTTGTATCTGCTTTAGAGTCGGACACTCCTTGTTTATGCATTCTGTACAGTATGTATGACAGACAAAGTCAGCTTTTATCGTCACAGGATTTTTTTAAGGCAGGAAGTGAGAGAAATAGATCACTTTATAGACCAGGAAGAAGAACATCTACAGTAAGAAATAAGACCTCAACATGAACAATGAAGGCTAATTTTATGGCTGCTACAGCCTTACTACATGTACATGTAAATGAAACTGAAATATGGAAATTACCTATTTTAATACCTATGAGAAATTCTGGAACTCTAAATAAAGATGACTATAAAAGCCTCGGTCACAAATGCCATTACAAACTGCTACGAATGCTGTACGAATGATTTTCAGACAATGGAAATTTGAGAACTGTGATGGAGATTTTTTTTTTCTTTCTCCAGTATGCAAACATGCATGCAGGTACTGCATTCATATGCATTGACCTACATGTATATGTTTGTTTCCTCTCCACAATGCCCAAAGTCCCAACCTTTATTTTGCGATAATAAGTTTTCATTACAACATATAACATTTACCAAGGAGTTATATATTTGTGACTCCTTGCATTTACAGAAGCTTATACTGTAACTAATTTTCGTACATGACAAAGCTTTGTGCAGTTTCCATCATTGATGCGATTGGGGGGGGGGGGGGGGAGTACTTCAATGCATCTTAAACTATGAGTATTAACAAGGAGACCCTTGTTTGGACCCGAGAGTCAAACAGAAGTCTATGATGTACTGTAGCCTTTATAGTTGTGTACAAACACTGTATGTGAGCACGATTCAGTAATCTGTTCCTTGTGGAAAGCACCCAACAGCCCCTACTTATCCATTTATTCTTTACTGCATTTTATTCATTGCAGATCTATAAAGACGCACTTATGATTTTCAAGGTAAAATCTTTCCCCACGCTTCCGTTCCCACTTTTTAAAGCTCCTTTCTCTATTGTTTTGCAGTCGCTTCATCCCCAAAAGCTGTCATGGCTTCTAAGCTACAGTGTAACTCTGTAATAAACAAGCCTCTCTAGGCTCAGGGGTGATAGTGAGCACTAAAAAAAAATAGGTTTTTTGTTTTCCCCTCAACCACGCCCCCCTTGAGTAAAAAAAAAAAAAGGCGATTCGCGGGGAAAAAACGGCATCTAACAACATTCCCCGCTTTCGAGTAAGAAAATTGGGAGAAAAAAATAGGGCAAAATAGGGAAGAATAGAGAAAATAAGGGGGGAATCAGGAAAATCAGGATAAAAAAGGGAAGAAGAAAAAAAATCTGGTAAAAATTTTTTTTTTTTTTTTTTTTTTTTTTTTTTTTTTTTTTTTAATCGGGAAGAAAAAAAAAATCGGGAAAAAATCGGGAAAAATTAAAAAAATCGGAAAACCGATTTAAATCGGGTTTTTATCAGGCCTGTCTAGGCTGTAGTAAATCATAGTACCGTAATTCACCTCAGTTGATTATAACTGGCCAGTTTTCTGCCTGATCAGAGCACATTTAATGTTGGGGTAAACATCTCTGTATCTCTGCTGACTAGAGAAATAATCCACTGCAATTGTCTCCAGGGCCAGGCTAGACAAACATCAATAAAACTAAAAGCTTCAAAGCTTCCTAATCGGATATAAAAACTTTGAAGTACCAGTAAAATTTCAACTGCATGTTGTTTGCTTCGAATAGGCCTTGGAGTCTGTAAAAAAATAGTAAAATAGATACCACTGAAGGACAGGAAAATATAGATAAAATTTCTACCTACTACATGAAGAATTGAATTGACACCTAAAGTACATGGTCATGTACACATGGATAACAATTTTAGCATCTGTAATAATCTTTTTAACGAGACAAAATAGAGGTCATAAACTGAGGACATAAGAAGCTATGTCAAGGCAAGAAGGCAAGAAGGCAAGAAGGAAAAAGAGTGAAAACCCAAGGAAAACATTACAAGAGAAGAGTTTCGCTGTAGAAAAAATAATCATAATCAGTAAATCAGAGAGAGAGAGAGAGAGAGAGAGAAGAAGGAGAAGAAACTGGGTATGAAAAGCAACATAGAGAGAATATTGAAGAGAAAAACATGTGTACGTGTACGCGATAATTAACACAGGAATTGACAGACACTGAAAGAGACAGAAACAAAGGGTGAAATGAATAGTACAACACATATTCACACCATGTACAGTATATCCTCCCAGTCATGATGAGCAAGTATATGTTTCATACCAAGTAATGACCATTTCCTTTCCTGTTCTCCCAAGAAACTCAAGAAGCATGCGTCCAGGAAATGCTCTGGAAACCTCAAAATACAGATTTCAAATCTTACTGGTCCAGGAAGCTTTGCAATTGACGTTCCTTCCTGGTCTCTTCGGAGTAGAGGAAAGGTGGTGTAACCCGGACCAGAATATTCAGGGAAATGACGATCATGACTGTGTGGAAAAGTGTGATTTATCTCACATTTCCTGGTGTATATACTAAAGTAAAAACCCTTCCATGTCCATTGATAGTTTCCTGGAGACATTGACGCATGGTACTGTAACTGAACTAGATTTATATTTAGTTCTCAATAAATGAATGAATATGAAGTTGTTCAATTGTATGGTTTGAGAGTTGAGATAATACTTCCACCTGAAACAAGCTTTACGAAAAAGGAGGAAGTTTTGATTGGTATAATACATGTAATTTGCAAACAGCGCTCCACTTTCGCTACACCAAGGAACTGAAAAGGGGAGTCCCTGGCTATAAATAGCCAATGGGAAATCACAGAAAAGGTCATTACATGCAGACCATTGACCAACTTCACTCTTACCAGGACATCCCTGCATTTTACTTTGCATCTATATCTTTTTAATGAATGGGATGAAACAAATTCCTGGAACAATGCCAAAACTGTCAATTCACTACTACACTGTAGAACGAACAGGGAGCATTTTGTATGACCGATGTGTCATACAGTACATGTGGATAGACTTGAACCGATGTAATTGGTAGCTGGCTAGCTGCATTGTACCAATATCCCACTATGTATAGTCAAATAGATTAATGAGTTTATAAGTGGTAATGAGCTTGAAATTATAAGGTCATATGGTATAATAATGTATCTTGCAGATTGGTCTTTAAAAGTTGATTGGCTACTTAATCTTTGGTTGGAGGTATCTTGAGCTCTGGTATGGAAATCAAATTTGAGAGAAAACTGTCATGATGTATTTTGGATTGTTTATCCTGCAGTAGATTGGTTGTTTGAACCAGTGAAATAAAAACAAAATAACAAATGCAGAAAAACTTACTGGGCATCATCTTTGATAAACACCACAACTCCCATTTGAACATAGTGACCTGTGTTAAGCACATGGTGTTGAGCCTACTAACATGTACCCGGATTTCCTTATCTTTCTAGTTTCTACATGTATGTTCATTACTCAGCTACTAAACTACTGGTACATATTGGTTATTGATGATTAAAAAATATATATTTTCTTTATTTGAACAACATTTGATTTGGAATTTTAACTTTGACAATTTTTTTTCTTTCTATTAAAATACTCATTATTACTTCACAATTCAAATGCATCATGCTTATCAAACATCCAACAAGAGATGCAAATATGACACATGAGAATCTAAATAGATTGTTTCTGTTTTGGTTGCGTTGGTATACGGTACTCAGGAATGTCTATACTTCACCAACGTTCTTATTAGTATGGTCATGTATATGCTATGGCAGGAGAGGTGTTTCACATTTGAAGTGATTGTGTACATATTTGTAGGTCTGCCTACGTGTAGAAGTTCTGGTACAGTCACTGTGTGTCAACAATTGAGTTATCACAGTAAGATATTCAATTTTATCCACCTGCCAAGCAAAAGGGCAAAGCCTCAAAGGCCATGGTGTTGATTGTTACTATCACAAAGGGCATTCAGATACGGATTAAGCACAAGCTCTGATTCTACAAAAGAACTCTCAAGTTTGACTACATGTACCCTACAACTCAGATACATATTAACCACAAGCTCTCGACTCTACAAAAGAACTCTCAAGTTTGACTACCCTACAACTAGTAGGGTCTACAAGACAATAATGGCTGCTTGAAAGTTGTTCATGTAGGGCACTCGTACTGTGTTTGTTCAACAATAATACCCTTACCGTAGCTCAGAGTCAGGACTTTAATAGCCCCGATCAGTACCAAGCAGTAGTGAGGTGTAGTAACACTCAGTTACAGTAATGCCTGACTAAATGCAACATGGGTTTGTGAAAGAAATTGAAATTTCAATGTAGACCTAGTTAATAACAAATATAACTAGTGAAATAGGGTTCTGACTATCCCATGCCAAAATCCGAAGTCATGTTGGTGTACACGACTACACGTCACATGCAGAGATGCCAAGTTCAAAGATCAGTTATGCGTGACATTTTCATGACTAGGCGCATGAATGCGCAGTCGAGGGTACAGCGTACGTTTAGAAATTACCCTTGATGTGTGACACTGGGTAGCTCATTGCCACACAACATAATTAATTAGGCCTAGATCTAATCATATTCTCAATATTCATAACATGAAACACCGCAACCGAAAAACAATAGCCAGGGCAGTAGGAGTATTACCGAGTAACGTTAGATGTCTCTGCCCATAGGCCATACAGTCCCCTTCCCCAATCCAGTACTGAACTGTTTTTACTCTCTTTCAAACCAACTACCGGTAGGCCTACATGAAAAGAAAGAGACGAGTCTAGCAGACCGACTCTAGCTCTATCCACAATATCACTGCACTCCATGCCATGCCATGTGTACACTGTATGTACGAATACTCAGCGCGTACGCTTGACCTCCCCCAGCTCAGCCAAAGCGTCGGTTCAACCGCTCGCGTGGGGCCGCATCATCTCCATTAACGACATCCTGCTGAGTGCTGTTATTCCAAACTCACACCGAATGTAAATTGACAAGTGTCAAACATGTTGATTTAGACATGAAATGTCGTAATTTCTACAAGAACTAATTATAAAATTCCGTTCCTTATAATATATTTATCAGATTGGGAAAGTGAAATCAATTAGAGAAGTTCATTAAATGAAAAACCATACATTCTGCCAGCAGCAAAACGATTCATGGAAATTTATTTAGCAGACAAATAAAACTAACCTTGGTCTCAAACTGTCCAACTCCGTCTTGTATTTCCCACATTCAATCTGCAATTTCGCCTTTTCTCCAGCTGTTTCATCGAGCAATTTCCGGGCATCAGCTAATTCCTTTTCATATAAAACTTTAATGCCTTCAATATCTCGGGTTTGTGTTTCTTCAAAAGAAGTAATTTGGACTAGAAGTCGTCCATTTTCTAATTCGAGGTGACGAACTCGATCAATGTAAGTTGCCAGCCGATCGTTGAGGCCGATCAACTCTTCTTTCTCTTCATGCCTGGAAATTTTCGCCGGACTGAGTAAAGATTTTGCCTGCGATGAAGAACTAGCCTTTGGAGTTGAAGTTGTCTTAAACTCCGTTCGAGTAGATCGCTTTTCGTATCTCTGACTCTTCGTTTGGGACGCCATGATTAAAAAAAAATGAGTTCACAAAAATAAACGCGTCGGACTGCACCTAGCTAGTTGGCCCACGTATAACACGCTTGTTTGCTGACAAGATCCCCGGCACGCGAAAAGCCCGGAAGTAAACTCTAACGGTAAAATCAACTTTCCTAAATATCACGTGATACGAGTTAACAAATCGTGGACCAGAAGTCAGTGATACAGCGGGAAATTTGTTTCGAACGTGGGCGTGCAACAAAACCAACAAATATATACACAATTATGAATATTATGATTTGAAGCATTGTGTTTGTGGTTTACCGACAGTACGTTTTCATGTATAAGTGTGTATTTATCTTCACCTTCATCTGCCCGATTTTGTTTGGGTAAGATTTTAAGATTTAATGAAATAAATAACTATATGCCGCAACTTTACAAGATCTGAGAGAATCATTTATATTCCCAGACCTAGGAAAGTCATCTTGTCTCAACAAAATATTTGTTTTACTGATCCCATGCCAGTAGCTCTTTGAGTTTGAGTTGATGTTAACCCTTTGTTATCCAACTGCCTAAATAGTCAATGTAAATAAAGGGGCACTTAATTGTTTCGGAATGAGATAACACACACACAATTGGCTGACCCACGTTCGTTGCTTCAGCACAAATTTGGTACAAGAGGATTTTGACAATAATTTTTGAAAAGCCAGATGTTCAGTCATGCTTGGCAGCACTATTATGAAAATAGTATCATTGGCAGGGTATTAGTTCTACTTTACAATAACATATGATTCAAGATCACACAAGTTATAACTTTTAAATTGGAAGCTACCAAATTTGGGTAAACTTTTTTTGTGGATATACCCACTGTATAAAAACCATCAAGTGGACATCAAAAAAATCCTAATCCTAATGTCTACTTAATGACTCATTTTTTCACTCCAAATGTCCCTCCAATAACACCTTTAGTGAAATTACATATATAGAGAGAGATATATAAACAAATAGGGCCTTCTATGAGAAATTAAACGTTAAGAGGACACCATATTGTCCTCCTATAATCTACTTAACGACTCATTTTTTCACTCAAAATGTCCCTCTAATGACACCTTTAGTAAAATATACACATGTATAAATATATTATAAATTTATATATATGTATACACATTTACATACCTCCTACATCTCTTTATTGTTATTGGTATTCCATGTTATGTAGATATTGGTTTATCTGTTGTTTGGTATTTTGTATAGATTGTGATCATTAGCTAATTATGCATGACTGTTTTTTATGGCGACCCCACCACAAGCCTCATGCTTTTAGGAAAGTTCTCCTCTTTCCTACATAACATTGTAAATATATATTTCATGAAAATGTTCTACATTTTTTTTCATGAAGGAAATAAATGTTAATTGAAAGTTGAAAACGAATGTCCCTATCTCTTAGAATTGATGGAACACTATGGAATAGGTGCTGTGTATCATCAAATTACACATATTCCATCATTCTCATTCCTATAACTATTAATATCATTATTATTACTATTTATAACAAACGGGAAAAAAATGAATAACAATACAATAAACAAAGGTAAAACAACTAAAACCAAGAAGCACATAAGAACGTTTTTTGTTGTAAATCTTTTACATTTATTTATGAAAACACATGATTTTTTATAAATTTAGTTCATTGCACATTATATACATGTATCAAGTTAATTTCCTCTATATTTTTATCAAAATGAGTAAATAAATGAAAGTCTGAACATACCAATAAAATAAGATGGAAAGAAAGAGCAAGATAAGCTAAATGATATTTGCAAAATATGAAAACAAGACAAACGATAAGTAAATTGTCACTGCTAGTCTGCTACAGAACATACCCGGTATGTGATATTGATATATAATTAGGCCTACCGGTACCATAATTTCTCTTGTATTATTCTATATATAATCCATGTATATAAATGAATGCTATCATGTACAGATACCTGACGTAATAATAAAGATATAACAACTATACAGCTGAAATAATAGAAAATTGAAAAAAGAAAAAGATTATTGCACAATGTGTCCCTCTTTGGTGGCAAAGGTATAACAAATTAGTGAATAACACATATGGCATTTCAATTACCTGGAATTAGAAAAGTGATGGAAATCTTGAATACCTATTGATGTTACATACATAAAATGAGCTGTAAAGGGTACATGAGCATTTGTCGACATCTTTTAATGGCCAAAATTATACTGATTGGATCTTTACGCAGCACAAAACATACACCATTCATTACAAGGGTCTGAAAATCAGACTATTTACTAAAAGGATTGTAAACCCTTAAGTTGATTCAAAATTTTCCCACAAAAAGACCTTATCAAGCCCTTTTGTTTTGAGGGAAATTCTGAATTAGTATTATCTTTCAAATGCCGTTGGAATTCAACCTTTTCATTTTTTTTGCCTGCAAATGGGACATTGTACCTTTAGAGCCTATCTACACTAGTTTGGCCAGGAGGTATTAGACCTCCCTGCGTGGTCACTGACAGGCAATTATCTCATCAAATCAGCTCCCAATCAAGAAAAAGGGGACCATGGGGGACCTATGGGTACCGCTTATGCATTTTTTGCTATAAAGAGGGCACAAGTAGCTAAAAGTAGTGCAGTCCCGCTTTAAAGATAAAGACCAGTTATGGCCATACGATTGCATTGTGAAAGAAACGTTGTGGAATCAATCAGAAAAGGTTGAGCATCTAGCATATAAGTATTGGTGTGTACTGCAGGGTTCTGGAATCATTAAAATGATAAGAAATTTGGCCCAGTCTTGGTAAAGTTACAAGCACTGTACACAGAAAGATGTATATGTGACTACGCGACACATGTGCGACACATGCGAGATATCTATCTGGTCCAAATAGATATAATAATTTACCAAATAGACCAATTAGTAGGCGGTTTCTCAACAAAATTTGTATCATCACCTATTAGTCAAAACATATTCTTTCACATGATTGGTAACAAGACCTTCCATTTCATTTTTTGAGAGGGGGGCATTTCCAAAACTGGTCTTTACTTTTAAGAGCTGCGTAAATAGATGATACTACTTATACACTAACACCAGACATGAAATATCTGTTGATATGCTCATATTTCAACAAGTATGACAAAAATTTGGCAGGAATAGGGCTCTTCCGGTAAAATAACTTTTTGTAAATCATCCCACACATGCCAACTGACAATAAAATACACATATTTGAAGGATACTAATTATCTTCTATCATTATAATTTGAAGCATCAGTTTTGATGCAGTTAACTGCCTCATGTCTCAATTGGCCTTGAAGGGGCTTTCACTTTATTACTGGGTATTGTTAAGCTCTTGACCGCAGAATTCTCTAATTTCTATAAGTTTATTGGACAGAAACCATCTGGTTCTTTTAATGAATGGGTTTACAAACCCTCAGACTGAACTAATATTTGGAGAGGATCTTGTAAGAACAAAGTATCATCACAGAAGGCCCTCTGCAGTGAGTTGTACATTTTCCTTCATGAAGCCCTCTGCATGATGTTCAGAACCTGTTGCAGTTGGTTGTCCATCAAGCTGCATCTCACATTGGATCAGCAAGACTCCTTGATAGATGCCATCAGCTTGTTGCCATTGGTAACGGATGTGGTGGCAATGATGAATGTGTAATCTGGAAAGAAGTAGCAGAAATCGCATCATGTAAAAGTTGTTGAGGTATTTTCAGAGTTTTGGGTTTATGTGATTAGCAATACATATTACAAACATGAATCTGTAATTGAATTGAATTGAATTTAATTGATTTATTTTCCACATTTCTATAAAAATAACAAAACAATATACATGATATACATAAAAATTATTCAACACATTAATGACATAATAAAAGATAGGAAGAAAAAAAATTGACAAAAACAAAAGCAGAAATACTATAGTATTAATGACTGCTTTGAGAGAAATAGTTGTTTTTATATGCTCAAGGGAAGGTTAGAATTGTGCTATTGCCCGAGGCATGCCTCGGGCAATAGCCCAATTGTAACCTTCCCAAGAGCGTATAAAAACAACTATTTCTCGAATATTAAAGCAGTCATTAATACTTTTATATGCCGGGAAAAAAAAGAGTCAACTTATGACACCATCTTGGCCTTTATCTAGTTTGTTTGCACGATTGTTTTTTTATGAGTGTATCTTTGAGAGTAGACTAAAAAATATATATATATTTTTTTAAAATTTTGTCGAAGATGGGATTCGATCTCTTGCGTACCAACGATGATGTGACTACAATCACAGCCTTAGACCGTTCGGCCATCGCGCACTTATACCATAATTAGCAGTTTTCTCTTATTTATACATTAAAATGGATTGAAAACGGCTTCGCGTGCTTGATGCTTCGCGGCAGCTCCATTAAACAGGCCCTTCTTTTACTTTTGCAATGCATTGGCACGAACTTAGATCAAGATCTATGTTTTTGGAAGTTTATTTTCGTCTTCATGTCAACAATGCAAGATAAAATTGTCGGTAAGATCGATCGAGATTCAATTGTATTGAAATTACCGACCAATTCATCGCACACGTACGGTATCCTCGATCGCTCAGACCATTTTAACATGTGAACCTATGGGTATTTCACCAAGACTGAACTATTTTCCCAGTAACCATGGTAACTGGGTTTTTAGAACTATTACATGGGTTTGGAATTTTACCGGCAATTTTACAGGAATAGTTGAAGTTTATGAATGCAATTTTGACCAATCAGATGGCTGGATTTCTTAAGTGAGGTATATAAAGAATAATAGTAGACTACAAACAAATTAATGTCAATGTTGTGGGGGAGTATAAAAAGTAATAAATTTATAACATAACCTCATGTTTGTATCAATAAATGTGTCATTTATATTGGAAAAGAAGACAAAACTAAACAAATAAATAAAAAATAAAACTAAACAAATAAATAAAAAATAATTGCAATTTATTTGAGTTAAATGAATTAACGGAGGTATTAATTAACTATTGTGTAGAAATTTCATCATGAAGCCTTAGTGACCAGTAAAGGTGCTTTCGAAGCACATCTGACACATCAATGAATATTGCAACACCAACATTTCTTTCTGCAAAAATTCCACCGTCACAGGAAATCCTTTCATTACGCAGCAATTACCAGTATTAATTTTACAAGAGACTTACTCTTCATTTTCCCTAGTAGCCTCAGGGCATTGATTTCAGCGAATGTGCAGCCGCCTAAGAAGTAAACCATCACGACTCTCTCTGATGGAGGACCAGTCACAGAGCTGCTACCGGTATGACCTGAAAATATTGAATATGCATTCATGCTTAATCATAGAAGACAGCAAACGTTCAAAACTTAAATAAATCAACAGTTGGGCAAGAAGCATCAACCCTGTTACAAAAATGTGTTCTACATTGAAGAATGTCCATCGACCTATGCTACATACAAGAGGTAATCAACAAACAAAAATGATTGTGCGATTAACTAGTACAAGACCTGCACAGAAGATCAGCTCTGATTCTCTATGGAATTAAAGGTACATTTGCTTTCTATGTATTCTGAACTTTTTCCATTAAAATTTTAAGATTTGTTCTATTATCAATAAGTTGGAGATCACCAACACACACGATAATACTAGCCTTGAGACAGATTTGAATGGAGTGTTTAGATGCAAAAGTTAATGTGGTTGGATGAGCAAGAGCACCATTGTAAAATAGTGACTGGCAGGAATGCTCCCCGAGAGTGGAGAGTGTGCATACATTGTGTGCAGGACTGCGGGTAAGCCTGAATCCGATGACCGGGGTAATAATATATCTGTAGAGCGTTAGACACATCGTTGTATCAATGTATTGGGCGCTATATAAAAGCGGAATATTATTATTATTAACTTTTTACTTGAGTGTGGCATTTATATGATTGTCCTAGAAATAGCTTTGGGACAGATTTGGTTTGACGTTTTGAATACAATACCTTTTACTGATGTTGATTTATGAGTGGCATATGATGGTCCTGGTAATAGCTTGGTGACATCATCAAGGCTAGCCCAACTTCCTCTTGCAAGTACCTTTAGTAAACGGAACATAATGAAGAATGAGATGGAAGGATGTAGGAACCGGAAAGGACTGCACGTTATCAGTATTCACAGGTAACATACAGCAAATACAAGTTCCGTAATCAAAATTCTCGGTACATCTGCAGAATATCCTATCGCGTAAGTACTAACCACAACCCTGACCTCAAATCAATTTCTTATCCTAATATCGATCCTACCTCTGATCCTTACTCTAATCCATATATTAATCCTTCCACTGACCATAGCTCTAATCCTAATATTAATTCTAACCCTGACCCACCACCCAAATACTGATGTGGAGTGGGGTATTCTACAGTTGAGCCGAATTCTATTCATTTTTTGGACATACCAGTACAATTTGAAAAGTAATTTACTTTAAATCCACTACACATGTACAGATTGTTTGTACGAGCTACACATGTCAGTTAAAGGGAAACTGGAATATGGGTAATGCACAAAGCAGCATGATCAATCTCTTGGTAAAGCAAATAGACAATTCTATTATACCTCCAAAAGACAAAATCTGATAAATAGATAATGATGTTTGCACTCCATTTTATGTTACCAATATAAAGATAGATAAGCAAACAAACTCTAGACTCAGGCGCTAAGAACACAGAAATGTTGGGACAGTTTGTAGAGGTATTTGTAGAGAGAAATGAAAGAAGATAGCTGGTGAGATTAGTCATCTATGAAGAAGTATTGAAGGGAGTGAATAAAGAAAGAAACTTGAAGAAAGCAAAAGAGGAATTGAATGGGTAACAAGACGGATAGCAATGTACCCTACAGAAAGATAAACGTACATGTAGGTACATGAAGAAAAGAATTGTAATAAGGTCTAAACCAACAAAAGACAGAACATAGAACAAATTGAAGATGATCACTAAATAAAGAGCCATTTATTAATGAAAATAATCAGAAAGTTGAAAGATTTATTTAAACTGCTGGAAATATAAATATAGATTTGCGATGCAAACTTTTCTTTAAAGGAGAAATGTATTCAAAAGGAAATGTATCAATAAATACACACAAAAACAGAACTAAACAAAACGAGAAAGACAAATTCCCAGAGGAATGGAGAAGATGACAGTCAGAATTCTCTGGTGTGTGGGCCTACCCAATGGAAGAACAGCCAAGAGATGGTTTTTACCTGTTCTACTAGCCGACAAGTCATGGGGGTATAGGCACCGCTGAATACGTAGGACATGTCATTAGGATCTTTGAGATTCACTTCTGAAGCCTTAGGGATCTAAAAAATTAAAAAGTGAATGACAGAAACATACCGATATATAATTCATTCAATAAATATTGCCTAATTAAAAATCTAATCAATTTAAGTGAAAAAAGTGTAAGATGTTAACGTAAGAAGCATATTCAGTTTTATCATTTTTTTTCTTTCTTTCTTTTTGATAGTTATAAAACAAAGAAGGAAATATTCTTGTACCAACCCATCCAGCCATTTAGGAGTGCTCATATTGAAAGCAATGGTCTCATGACTGGAAAGTCCTGAGTTCGAAACCACGTCCCTCAGAATGGACTTAAAGCTGTAGGTCCCCTGGTTGCTTACTAAAAAGCATACTCATTACCACTCGGGTAAGAAATCATCAAACCAAACCCAAACCAAATCAAACCAGTCTCAATTTGAGAATACAGATAAACATACCAAGTTGAGTTTCCTTGAGAGCAGCCTGAAGCCCGCCCTCTTCATGGCTTTATCAGCTACGCCGCTGATCTTGGTGGTGACCCCTGACACGGACATCTTACCCATGCTGATCTCTACAGGCTGCTGCTCAACAAACAGACCTAGCTTCTTCAGGTTGGCGAAGGTCAGCATGTACTCGTACCCGTGGCTCTGAAGAAAGTGCCTCTGTAACGTCTGATATTCCTTGCTAGGCAGACCTGAAAGAAAATGTGTTGTTTTTATTGAGTTTTGTGAAAACAAGTGTTTTTAGGTAGAGGTGAAGATGTTAATACGTTTTCCTTTTTTGTTAAGAGTTAACTCTTCTCTAAAAACTTGAACAAATGTTTGCATAACTGATATTTAGAATATGAGGAAATTGTTTTTTTTTGTTTGTTGAAATTGCTATAATTTTCTTCCAAATTAGAGTAAAAACTAATATTTCTAAATCATAAACTAGTAGAAACAATTAAATGAATTTTTATTTTCATTTTTACCAGAACTCAAACTAATCTTTAAACTCACCATTCTGGGTTAGTGAAAGTAGGCACATCAATCTAAGGGTTCTCACCAAACTCATCTATACCAAAGAGAGAGAGAATGAGAAAAGTCTTAAAATGTATATTACATAAAGGAGAAAAATCAGTTCCATTAATTGCATTTCAATAAAACCATAGAAGTAAAATGCAAAATACTGTGTATAGATACCAATATTGTTGACTTGACTTTCATTGATATAGTGGGACACAGAATTATGCAGCACAAGTTTATACCCCACCCCGTTTTTAGAGGGAGGGGATGGTGAGGGGAGGCCGAGGGGATGGCTTCAAAGAATAAAATGCCAGAAAAATTTACAGCTGCTCAAACTAGCATCACTATTGATACTGGGCAGCTCAAAGAGTACTTATATAATGCTTGCTTTCATTTGGAGTGAGGTGGAGATTGATTCCAACTGTCTCTTGGACCTATGAGGCAAATTTCCAATCATTAGCTCCTTATTCAGAGATGGGCAGAATTGAAATTGCCCGAGCTAATTTGCAGTGAAGATGAAAAAGCGGGCTATTTCAAAGGTGTGCTTGGGAAATCATCTCATGCTGTTATTCGAAAGAGCTCCTTAAAGCCCCACTGTACTACTTGTAGCTACTTGCATCCTCTATATAGAAAACAACGCCTAAGCGGTGTCCGTTGGTCCCCCATGATCCTCTTTTTCTTATGTTATGAGAGCTGAGTTGATGAGATAGCCACCTGTCAGTGACCACACTGGGTGGTCTAATCCCTCCTGGCCAAACTTGTACAGACGGGCTTTAAAACGCACTGAGATGCTAAATCTCTGTTCCTGAAGTGAGCAGGATCTTTTGACTATGGTTCCATGAAACGGGGAACCATCAAAGTGAATTAAAACAGAGATACTATCACAGGCACCAAAACTTCACAGACATGTAATTTCCAAACAGCTAAACATTCTGAACAGTTTTCACGAAAGAAAAGAACTTGCATGCAATAACAAGCACAAGCAGCACTACTACATTCCTATTTGCACTGCATGTAACAAACATCCAGCAGAATGTATTTCAACTTTCTAGAGAGGTAATCAACATCAGTGGTATTAAGGCACTTGCTCCAGGCTTTGTTAAATCCAAGATATTGGATTAGGGTTAATATTTGCTACTGGGTTTCGGGGTTAGGTTTCGGGTTAGGGTTAGGCATAACATTTGATCCAGGGTTTAAATGCAAGGATTCAGTGCATGTAGAATATTGACTGTGGAGCAATTGTCTATGAAGTATGCGTCGTACAATCAATTTAAAAAATCTGCATAAAATCCTACTGAATTCATAGAAAAGAGATCAAATAAAATAAAATCATATGAACACATACACATACACAAGGATTTCATAGAATTAAAAAAACAAAAAACAAAAAACAAACACATATTCAAGTCTTTCATGCATTCAACGGAGACACTGCCACATATGTGGTTAAGAATGTACTTTATTGCATCCAACTATCATGCTTCATAACACAATTACACACCAACCTTGAATATCTCACTCTGATACAGCACACAAGAAAAAGAACAGAAAGGTAAAAGTGTAGAAATATTGAACAGGTCTTTGCTGAATTGAGTACATATGAAGAAAGAACAACATTGACTTGAATAGGAAAATTAGTTAAACTTATTCAGTAAGGATCTTATTATTTTAAGCAAATGGTGGAATAAAATAATAAAATTATCAGATCAATCTTCTTTAAAAAGGACAAACCTGACCTCGCTGTCAACTTTGATAAAGGAGAACCTACTAATTAGCAAAGGTCAAAATCATACAGTTTTTAAAAGACAATATACCCTGACAAATCTCCATAATGTGGCATACATGTTTATGAAAAAATATATAATGATATAAAATATCATATTCAATTTGATGATGCATGATATATTTCTTACCTGCTTGTCTATTTGTTCCTCCACAAATGTGTAGTTATCTTTCATATTTGATCCATCAAGCATTCCTACACATAAAATTAGAAAATAACAAATAGTAATCTTTTAAGGACATACATGTACATCACAATAAATATCATTTTTTTCAAAAAATATACATTTATTCTAAATTTCTATTTTATCTTTTTACAAAATGTGTCAGGCTTTTAGCAAAGCTGTCTAATGGATTCTAGTGTAAACCAAAAAACTGACATGTGTTATGTTCCTTTCTTAGTAGTTAATGAATCACCTATTGCAGTAATTTTATTCATCATATAATTAGATATGTATAATACAGGCACATTCAATGTTGGCTCCATAAATAACCAAATGATTCAGTATCTAAATATTTTATAACTGTGTCAACAAAACCTGTGGCATATATTTTTGGTCTGCAGTAGAAAATTGTGAGAACTTATGCACAACATTGTCACAACCTTATACAACCTCTGATGGGTGTTGAATATAGCAGCATCTCACCATGCAGAGTATGCAGATACTCCCCCCCCCCCCCTTCCATGAGGCCAAGATTTGGATATGTCACTGTTTGGTGGTAACACCATTGATGTTAAATAAATATCATTTTTGGGTGATAGTAGAAAACCTAGAAAAATTATTGTGCACAGCATTTAAAGAACATTGGATAGAATTGAAATCATTGAATCCTTTGTCATACAACAGAAAAATTCTTTTTCCACCGGTTGAACAATAACAAAGATCATGTCACAGCAGAATCAAATAAAACAAAGAAGTGTACAATGACAAATATACATTATGAGATCACAAAAAAGAAGATAATACAAAAACCAATATGTGTCAGAAAGATAATACAGGAAAAGGAAACTCATCTCATTAACTCATGTTAACGCTTGCTATAATGTGCGAATACACAGAATTTATGTTTGATCCTAATTGGGTGCTAAATGAGCATACACTCACCATGCTCTGTTTGTAGGTGCTCGTCAAAGTCTAGCTGGGTGTTTGTCTTATTCATGATGACTTCACAAGCTCCAACGTCTGTTGGAGAAGATGGGTATAACAAATGATTAACCCTCTCGATATGCAGGACCTCAAAAGTAAGAATACACAAGTTAGCTGATAGACGTAAAGACAGATTATTGCAGTGTATATAAATCCCTGGAGCTTATATTTTATGATTTTTATCGTTGTTCAAATCATTTATTTCCATTTATGTAAAGACCCTCAAAATATGCATTACGGGAAATACCTGGTAATACATGGCAAGTTGCACTCACATCCTATTTAAATGCAAGCCTAATCTCACCCGGTTTGAGTGTGTTTTAATTTGTTTAGATCAACATAATGCATACACATCGAACAATAATGTGCAAAACTTGGCAGAAAACAATGCCATGCATGAGGTCAAACTATATATCGTAAATAAAAATAATTGGGGAAATCTGAACAAAATATTGCTTACGTATTGTAAGTGACTTGTATTTCTGCTTGAGGTCCTTCAGTTCAGACTGTACAAACGTCTTCATGTCGGTCACAGAATTCAACTGTCTTCCTTTCTGCAAATAAAAAAATAAAAAATTTGTTCTTGACAACAGAAGTGACAATGATCTTGACTTTCTAAACCTTCAAACCTTCAAACCTTCAACTGACATGATGTCATCTACATAGTTTAAATTTTTTCAAACTCATAAATCTCTTCATAGGATTTATCTTCTTCCAATCAAAACAAGGAATCAAAATCAAGATTGGATTTTCATAAGAATAAATCACATTCATAAATCAAATTTTATTTACCAATATAGATATATTTTAATCTTTTTTTGAAGCCAACATTCTTTACCGATCAATCTAAGAGAAAGAATATTTACAAACAATGAGAACCTAGAAAGTCATCTGCAATTGCAGAGTAGTACAAAGTGTTTATAAAAAACGATACCGGTAAATGATGGCAAATTATACAGACATAACAAAAAATTAATTTCAAACTAACGATGGGGACTTCTCTTACGTCACTCATGACAAGGACACTTGGAGAGAACAAGATAAATGTCTATCAAAGCGGGACTGCACTACTTATAGCTACTTGCGTCCTCTATACACAGGAGGACACTATGGCAGATTTGGATGTACATGTACTTACATTGTATCCTGTCTGTACCATCTTTGCCGTAGTACTCAGATAGGTGAAGACATTTGAGATGTGACGATTGCGTATGTCTTCAAAGAGCTTAGAATGAAAATAATATATCACATTACACTCAAATGCAAGCACTTACATGTCTCTCCAGCACAATTTATCAGATTATATTATAATTTCTATTTGCTTAAATATTCTGCACTCAGAATTTACAATACTGAACAGGGAGAAATTTGTGCCATAACATGGTGAAATTTAATGTCAAAGTACAATCAACAACATCTAGAAAATAATGAAGCTCGACTTACAGAGAAACACTAGTTCCAAAAACATTGAAACACTTTCCCTTGCTTCAATACCATTTTTAATAGGATTTTAACCTTTTGGATACAATTTCATTTTGGTGTAACACGCGTTTCCCAGCCAAAGTCATCTCTTGCATAATTTACAACAAGCTTATGTATCATAAACTTGGAGCCAGAAAGACATTTCCTCATACACAGAGTTTAGCACCCTTCTGGCTGTGAACAGACCGTATAGCCGTATTTACCTGGTCTTCAACAGTGAGAAGTAATCTAAGAGGTTTCCCGCCGGTCACTTCAGGTCCAAACTCACAAAAACCTATCGAAAAGTGAAAGAACAAATATAGTTACATTTAGATGTTTTTTTTAATTGCTGCAAGAATTAAAGAGGGAATTAGATATATTGTTTAGATTTGTTCATGTATACCGCATTATAACAATTAAAAAGAATAATCAGAAGTTGTTACATGGTCATTGCAAGAAAGCCGCGCAATAAGGCTATTTTAAGGTGTCAAAATGCGACTCTTTGGTCGAGATTATTAAGGATTTAAAAATTTGACCTATAGAGTGGTGAAGTGTGACGTCATCAAAAACCTCAGTGTTATTTTGCTCTGGTTCGTAATATTATGAACCAGAGCAAAATAACACTTGAGTTCCTATAGGAAATCTATTTATTAAGATGGTCATATCTCAGCCAATACTTAACATACTCAATTGCTTTTCGACATTCAGACATTATTTTTGTGCTCTTTTGGAAAATAAAGTAATAATTGAGAAATTCTAAAAATAGATTTTTATGATGTCACAGCTTTGGTAAACTTGTTGTTGGATTTTCCATTATGTACTCACCGCTGCTGATATCAAAGGTCTCATCCACGAGGCCCTCGTAGGTGGTCTGCGTACACATGGGCGTGACCATGTCAGTCTCCCTGTCAATCAAGAAGAGGTGGCCGATCTCATTCTTGACGGGGGCTTTCAGCTGAGTTCCCTGAAGGGACTGTAAGGTGTTCATCATCTCCCACACCATCTACACAAAGATTTGTCAAAAGTGAATCAAGTGGCAAAAGATGGATAAAGTGTGTGTGTAATCGAGTTTTTACAGACGTGTATCAATCAGATATGATTATTTACGTCTGGGGACTTACCTTTAACGTCACCATCCGAAAGACGTGACTCAGTTTCGAACCTGTGTTCTCGGCTGAATCAGTTTGTAACTTCCACTGTTAGCTGGATTACAGGCGCACGCCACGACCCCGATTAGATGGATAAGGCACATGCACTTGCTATTTATACCATCACAATAGACGGGTTTCAAATTCAAATTATACACATACTTTTCAAACAAAGGTTGTTCTTGACAACCTGAAAGCTTGCCCGACATAGCAACAAGTAATGTATGCAGACTGGATTCCAAGTAGTGTAGCTCATTCACTAATAACAGGTTAATGGTATAACTTGTCACTAGGTCCCCAGGAAAGAAACATCCATAAATTTGAATAGTAAACCCGTCTATTGTGATATCATACCATCTTTCAACGTTTCATACAAACAACTAGTATTGCTTTGACAAGTTTGCATGAGCTCATGAGGTTGGCTGTTTAAGGTTTTAATGTACTTGGAAGCAGCAGTGGTGGATCAATGTTTGTCAATGTCACTGCATGCTTAATAGCTTCTGTAATCAAATGCATTAACATGCTAATATTCAGAGTTATGCTAGGTTTACATTATGTTCCCGCGGCCATGGCAATCACGTTTCAGGCCTCCGGACATATTGGACAAAACAGGATGGATGTGAGACAACGCGGGGGCACAGAATGGGCAAACGTGACAGGCCGTGATTGCCGTGCCAGATTTTTAAACTGTCAAAATATTTGCCACGGCAGTCACGGTGCGGATGAGAAACCTAGTAGGCCATAGTAAAACGGGGTGAACGCAACAAAAACGTGACACTACGTTTCGGGCAAACGGGGCTGCCCTGGCCGACGGGAACATAATGTAAACCTAGCATAAGTCAAGTGGAATATAGGATGGCATTTTGAAGACTTCACAGGAAACTTGCTCATTTCTATTGTTGGGTCCCATTCCTGGAAGCGAAAGAAACTACTACATGCTGGAAGAAGTTACTCAAATCAATGGAATCTTCTTTTTGGCCCTCTGTCAGCTGCCTGACTTAGTAACCATGAATCAAAAATGTGTGAAAAAGGTTAAACAAAAGAATTAACAAGCATGGATCGTCTGCTGAGAGCCAGAAGGGTGATAACTCCTTTTTCTAGAGCTTTTGTAATTATTAATTTTCCCTTTTTTGTATCTTTCTTTCTTTTTGCCTTGTACTATTATCCTCCATTTTTCCTCTGTTTTATTTTTTCCCCCCGAAATTTTTAATTTCTTAGCTACATTTTTTTTCTATTTATTGATTTTCTAAGCATACTTTGTTCATGTTAGAATGTGAAACAGCAACAAGGAACTAACACTTCAACAAGCTCTGCTTCTAGTTAGTTCCTCTTTTCTCGTGCTTTTTTCTATTATATTTGTTGTTTCATTGCATATGTTTGTAATATAATTATTCATTGTATTATGTTTTGCATGAGAAATAAAATCATTTGAATTGAATGAAAACTCAATGCTTTTACAGAGTTAACATCCTTCTGGCTCCAAACAGATGATATATCAATGATACGTCACATCTTACCTTAGAGCACCTCCCTTGGTAGTAGATGTGAGGTATGGTCCCGTACAAGGCTTGTATGTTCACTAAGGATGTAGATACTGAATGAATCCATGTTTGGTCACCATCCTATAAACAAACAAACAAACATAGAGAATAAACACATAAGATATGGTCCCGTACAAGGCTTGGATGTTCACTAATGATGTAGATACCGAATGAATCCATGTTTGGTCACCATCCTATAAACAAACAAACAAACATAGAGAATAAACACATAAGGTATGGTCCCATACAAGGCTTGTATGTTCACTAAGGATGTAGATACTGAATGAATCCATGTTTGGTCACCATCCTAAAAACAAACAAACAAACATAGAGAATAAACACATAAGGTATGGTCCCATACAAGGCTTGTATGTTCACTAAGGATGTAGATACTGAATAGATCCATGTCTGGTCACCATCCTATGACAACAAATATTATATATTGTCACCTTCAATACTGCTACTGTGTAAAGGATGTGTACCATTATGTGATTCATTTCTTTCACTTTATAGAGGAGTGGAAAGATACTTACACCACCAACTATAATACCACATTATGTTCCATTTGGTCCTTTTACCAGTTGCTTAATGTAATATACATAGCAGATATAATTGGACTATGGCTGACCCAACAAACATTTTAGACGCTTTTTGAAATCAAATAGAAACACAGTTGCAATAGTTATTAAATAAATAAAACCTACTCAAACACAGAAAAGGTTAATATCATTTTAAAAAAGTACATTATTAATAGACAAATTCTATGAATTTCAGAATATAGTGAACTTTCATTACCATCGTCCACAATTTTTGGAAAGTGAAACCTGATCAAATGGTGAAAGTTATTCTCGAATAATAATAAATCACAAATATTTTCAACAAACTATCGAGACCTTTTTCCCCTAAATCTAAATGGTTACTTACAAGGAAGAACCATCTGAAGAAGTTTGGGAGCTCTAGTGATAGGATGTCATAGTCCAGAGGAAACAGATCTAAATGAAACTCCTCCATCGTAACATCTGTATAAAAAGGAAATCAATATTTCAAATATGGAGTGTCTTATGGGGGTAAAAAAAAAAGGGCAAATGACTCGGGACAGATACAACAAATAAGACGAAAATAAGCATGAGCAAAGAGATAGTGTGGTAGATGAAGTGTTATTTTAAAATGAATTCAAGTAGCAGAATCCTTGTTGCATTGTATATAATAATAATAATAGTTAGTTCTTATATAGCGCTTTTCAGGACCGAAGGCCCTCTCAAAGCGCTTTACAGATATATATATTATTACCCCGGTCATAGGATTCAGTCTTACCCGCACACAATGTATGCACATTCTCCACTCCCTGGGGAGCATTCCAGCCAGGCGTCTTTTTTACAAGTGCACACTTGCTAATCTAACCACATTAGCTTTCGCATCCTACCGGGTACCCATTTAACACCTGGGTGGAGAGGACATTTGGCGTATAATAAAAAGACCTAGATTATAGGCGCCCATGAGTCCCGGGCGCAAGGCGAGCCCTGCTTGAGGGAATTTTGGGAAAGCATCATCACTGACATTATATCTAGATTTAATGGGATGTTAATAAAACATGTAACTTTCTGACCAAAACATAGGTTATGAATACATTAAACTGCCCCTATGTGTAATGTTCAATGCTTTTGGTATGCCCATGCCTCCCCCCCCCCCCCCCCCCCCCTCTGCTCCTTATTTACAATTCTCCCTACATGTATACATATCTTCCTTTATCCACTCCTCTCTCTATATATGTCTGTCTGTCTGCCTGCCTCTCTCTCTCTCTCTCTCTCTCTCTCTATCTCCCTCTTTCTCTCTATCTTTTTTCTCTATCTTTCTCTTTCTCTCTCTCTCTTTGCTCATCTCTCTCTCTCTCTCTCCATCCCTTTAATTTCCTGATTATTTTTTTTATAAATTACTGTTTTACCTGCAAAGACTCCTTCTTCCTCCAAAATCAGATCACAAATGTGAAGCTATAATGAAATAAAAATTGAATAAATGTGAATCTGCACTAAGGTTTTCATTCCACAAGCCACAAATTACCCTACATTTGTACAATCCATGTTGGAACATGACTTACATTAATAAATATATAATATTTGGAAAAAATTGAAATCAAGATTGATATTTACAATTCTTCAATGCAATCATAGTTCTTGCCTTTCAATACATGCCAGTTTCCTGGAAAAACTGCATGTACATGTTCATTGTATATTTCTACAAATATTTATAAATGTGCATAGCGTGATTATGAAAAGTGAAGATATCTTAGGCATTAGATGGGTTATAATCTGAGGTCTGACACATAATAACCAATATGCTCAAATTGTAACAGTTGAAAATGCTCAGTCATGTACATATTGAAGGAATTGTTGACCTCACTATGTGATTCAATAAGCTTGCTCAATGTACGGAGCAGGGTTGGCTGGGATGATACATTCCCCAGCAGTGGACCAGCGAAGCACAGGCGAACAGAGTTTCCAAGCCAGGAATTATATTACAACTTGACTACCTCGACACGACGTAAGTTAAAGAACTAGTCTATGCGTAAATAGTCAAATTGGACTGAATGCCATAAAAACAACCAACAAACAAACATAATAAGAAGAAAACAGATATTCTAGTGGTAATTACCCTTCTTGGGACAAATATAATGGAGTATTTTCTCTGTCTATCATTCATCTTATCACTCCGAATCTGGCCTGTGAAGAAGAGAGAAATGAGCAAAACAAAATGCACTTAAAACTCATTTTAAACAAATCCATCGCACAAATTCTATAGAAATATTCTATTAGGACTGAAAAAAGAAAAAAGAAACATAAAGGACAGAGAGTGGGATCAGCTAATCACCTTGTTATATCTTTTTCATTTTTTTTTTATGAGGCTCCACTGTATCAAAATTTTAACTTTTCCCCTGTTATTGTGGACCAAGCAAGCAGTAGAAGAACAAACATACTTATTTACCAGTATTATCAACTCATTATGTACTCGCAATGAATAGCAACTGTCAACAAAATTTGAACAAAAGCTTATTTGAACACGCACAAAATAGTACAAGTATCTGTCTCAAAAACTGGAGATTAGGGTTACTTCTTTTTATATATTTCCTGTTATTTCCCATCTAAATTGTACTTAGGAGTTCATAATTTAATGTTATAAAAGACAAACAGACAACATAAATCAAACTCAACATTTTAACTAATGATTTACAGATTAGAATGCAAAGGCTCAAGCCAATTTCCAAACATATTTATAGTGATTGTTCTTACTTGCTATTTGCTTCACAACTGGAACAGATGGTCTAACCAAGTACATTCGTCTGCAATAACAAAACAAAAAAGATGCAATTTAAATGGATATTACTCAGAAGACACTTGAAAATAAGGTATCAATGGTTTAGATTTTCCCATCAAACTACATATGGTGTTATGAAATGAAGTAAAGATGTTGTTATTCATATTAACATGCATTCAGTACGAATGTGATTTTTTAAATTTTCTTCATAGCTTTTTTTTCTTTTGAATTCTGTACCCAAAATAAATGAATATTGAAATCTATCAAAAATAGATGACACTTTTTAAATGACTGCAACTTTAAATCAGCTTTGACTGTTATCAGAGTTTTTTCACTTTACAAGAATAAAAATGTATATTAATGCACTGTATAGAATAGAACTTACCCATATCCACCCCCAGCTAGTGTGTCTGTATCTAATTTGAAGATCTTTTCAACACCATGGCTCTGAACAAAAAAGTATAAAAATAGGGTGAAATGCAGTTAGAAAATGACAGCTGAACAGTTACTATGGGAAGAAAGAAATGACTTTTGGTTTAGGTTTAGGTTACATTTTCGCATAGGTTACTGTCAGAAATAGAGATTTCTTATCCAAAACGGATTAGCTTTTTGTAAATGCCAAATGATAAAATCAGTAAAAAACAAACTATTTATTTTTACACAGTGCATGAATAAAAACCATAAACTTTGAAATATGTCATTGAAGAATATGGAGTATCATGTTTTGTTTCCTTTTCAACTTTGATGTGATAAGTTCAAAGAAAGCATTGTGACCCTTTTACAATCTTTGACATCAAGTTTGCATTGGTTAAATTACATCTGCTTTTGGAATTATACTGTAAAGTGGATTTAAAGAAAAAGACTAAGAAGTTAATTACCCTGAGGAGTTGTGCACCGGCTATCCTATCCAGCGGTCTCATTAAATCAGGTTCAATCACCAGATCTTTGCCGTTCGGCATCTGAAACAAAAGAAAAAAGAAAAAAGACATTTTTTAATTAATCTATGCTAGAAGCCAATAGTAATTGACTTTGCCCTTACTGACTTAATTATTTATTTCAACAATCAAAGCATTTGCCTTTATACACTAATCACCATTTTCTTCAAGTCAGCGTCAAATTTGCAAAGCGAGATCTGCCTTTTTCCAGCCATGATCAAGACTGCAAACAATCAGTGAAGGCAAATACCATCGTCGCAAAAAAATTGCATGTCACTTCATTATCAGCAGGAAGACATGGAAGGTGAGCAAAGCTCTTTTACTCTGGTAACAAAGTTCCACATTTTGAGTTAATTTGTGGGGGGGGGGGGGGGGGGGTACTCGCATATTAAGACATACGGGGGTGTGCCGCTCTAATAGTTCACTTTTTCATGAAAAATCCCTAAACATGGGTCCCATTTTTAACATCAATTTCCCTAATTAAACATGGGTCTGCTTTTTCAAAACTTCCACAATTTTTTGAAAATTGTGGAAAATGGGCTTTATTTCGAGTAAAAATCCCTCGAAACAACCATTAAAAATGAGTAGAGGTTACGACTCTATTCAAGGCTTCAATGGCACACCCCTATCCAAACCAACTCCAAATCAACTCTGAGTACCTCCCCTAGGGAGATCTAACATTAAAGGGAGTGTGTCATGACGAGACTGTGTCTTTCCCGTGGCCCTACCCGGAGCCAATCGGGTATAATACGACTACGGACAACGCGATCGCAGAATTCTCGTGCCGTGCAACATCCACGAAACCAACTGTGAGGAGAACTTCAGTTTGTTTCGCGAACGCTAGCGCGCACTGACCCAGTTAATCTCGTCCATTCGTATACATGCAGTTGTCCAAAAGAAGACGTAGATGGCGTTAACCAGTATTTCCCATGATACACTCCCTTGGCTTTAACTTTTAAATCACAAAAAGAAAACACCAAACTCCCAAGACAAAGTGCCCATAAATTATGCTTGACTTTAGGCTTCATAACGATTACCGGTATAATTGATACCTGTCCTGAAAAATTCTGACCAAACATCATGCAAAAACAATACAGAGCTAGGCTAGCATTTTAGCCGTGAAAGAGTGACACAGTCACAGACACTCCACGGTAGTCACAGTCACACATGATTAATTCATAGATTTCCTCTAGATCTACATTACAGTCCCACTCGCTGTAAATGGTGTGCTTTATAAGTTGAATTTATCTTTAAAAAGACACTTATGATATTCTGAAATGGCTAAAATCATCGAAAAACACAAACTCACAGACTCTAGCAGATGAACTAGATGCTCTCTCGACAACTGCTTAAGAATTGAGAAATCGGGCATTCTCTTCGCGGAAGGCGTAGCCCCGTTGCTGTGAGTGGTAGACGCCATGTTCACGATCAAAACAGACAGAGCTAGCTGAGAATGAAGTAGACCGAAAGCTTCAGTCTCTATACCGTCGGTTGTTCCACTGAGACTACGTCTGGCTCCACTAGACCTCCGGTTATAGAGACAGAACGACTGCCTATGCCAGCCTGTGTTGAACTTATTCCGCTAGATTTTAGCCGCTAGGCCCCTCCCACAAACTTGCCACGGCCGTATTGTTATGCCCCCAAAATCCCCCAAAATGTCATTTTACCTCGTCCATATCCAATTTTAAATTAGGCCTAGGCTATAATACATCGGTTCCACTTACTAATTTGATGGAAATAATCCGTTTAATGGTCCCTTTTTAAGGAAATTATGGGTCAAAATCGACATCCATGTTGAAAATCTTGCAAGCCGTGTTAAACTCTCGTTGCCGTCAATCTCATCCCTTCTAGTCTACGCCGAAGGCAAAATGATTATGAAGGAAAAAACTGTGATAACGCCATTATTACGAGCGTGTAGATGGCGCACAGTTTTTCCTTCATTATCATTTTGCCTTCGGCGTAGACTAGAAGGGATGAGATTGACGGCAGCGAGAGTTTAACGGACGGCTTGCAAGATTTTCAACATGGATGTCGATTTTGACCCATAATTTCCTTAAAAGGGACCATTAAACGGATTATTTACATCAAATTAGTAAGTGGAACCGATGTATTATAGCCTAGGCCTAATTTAAAATTGGATATGGACGAGGTAAAATGACATTTTGGGGGATTTTGGGGGCATAACAATACGGCCGTGGCAAGTTTGTGGGAGGGGCCTAGCGGCTAAAATCTAGCGGAATAAGTTCAACACAGGCTGGCATAGGCAGTCGTTCAGTCTCTATAACCGGAGGTCTAGTGGAGCCAGACGTAGTCTCAGTGGAACAACCGACGATTATAGAGACTGAAGCTTTCGGTCTAAGAATGAAGAAGCTAGCTAGATCGAGCGCGAGAGATCGAGAGCGGGCGTCGATGGTCATGAGATGAGTTGGAGCTCTTGGGGGTGAGAGTGGGGGTAGGGGCACTCCCCTGATTGAAAAGTAGGGGAACACGGAGATAGAACCAGAGAAAAGGGCAGAACGAAAAAAGAAAGGAGAGAAATATAAAGAGAGAGATAGAGAAACCGATATAATAGAGAGCGGAGAGAGAGAGAGAGAGAAAGACAGAAGAAAAAATGGAAGGAGGGGATATATGTTAATTTATTCCTGCATGGATGATCATTTTCTCTTGTGTTTTTGTTTATTTTATTGAACTCTGCGAGTAGAATTCAATGCATTCTGTTATATCAACTTATGATTTATATGTTTCTGATAGAATATTACTTAAAGGTAATACAAAGTTTTGGGAAATTTTGAAAATTGACTGGAAAAAGATTCTTACAATTTTGAAATATTTGGATACCTCTGTGGATGTATTATAAGCACTAAAAAAATAGCCCCTAAAACACTTCTGCTTCCAAGAAAAAGGGAATATCAAAATATACCGGTGCTCCCGGTAAATTTCGATAATGAATAGCGCCTACGACCATACAATGGTAGATGCGACCATGAAAATCTCAGAATGTAGTTGGGATATATAATTTTCAAACGGGCGTAGCCATTCGGTCAATTTTAGTGAAGAAACATTGTTTTATAGCTAAATTAATATCTTGACCTTGAGAGGGAGCTATACAACGAAAAGAGTTTATTATTTACAATTTCATCTCTTAGACACGATTTCAACCGCGACAACGATCACTGAATATTGTAGGTTCGCATATACCTCCAATATGTTCATTTAAACCAAATTCATGACACCATACCAAAACTTTGTAATACCTTTAATTATATTATATAATAGTCTAATTTTACCACATATCTCCTATTGTAATATTTTGTGGGCAACATCCAAGTGTGTGATAAATAATATTCTTCTGCTGCAAAAGAAAACTGTACCCGAGCTGGTTATCGTGACCATGCTACCCCACTATTTGTTAAACTGAAATGCTGGATGATATTAACTTATTTATATTTCGTTTCAATATCAAATTGTAAACCTACACTTCATTATCTTCAATTTTCCAACCTAATAACATGGTTCACTCATATTCAACAAGGCAGTCAGGCGAATTTACATGTGGTCAATCCTCTCACTACATTAGCCCAGAAATCAATCAGACATAATGAGTCAAAGTAACTAATAACAATAATAACAATACAAATAATAATAATATTAATAATATTGATATTGTCAATAATGTAAATTCAGAGAAAATATCTATATTTATTTATAAGAATGTTAAAGTGCTATATGTTTATTTTCTTCATACACTCATTTTATGTTGTATGTATCGTGTCACATGTACATTTCATTTATTTTTCTCTGTGATTAATGCATGTAAACACAACGAATTCCGTTTTGGACCAATACAATTATGAATTTAAAAGAGCACTCAAATGTATTAATATAAGATATGATTTACATATATCAATCGGTATATCAGTTCTCTTTATGTCGAACATAAATGTAATTCTTTTATGATCTATATAAGACATTTTGTTAGATTTAACAATAATATTATACTTCTTTTTTTCAAAAAGTGTTGTTCTTGTTCTCTGTAAACAGTGTAAATAGTTCACAACCCTTTAGAAATTTTAGTTGTCATGTATTTTATATTTGAAAGGTGTTGTAACGATTCAAGCTCTTTGCTTATCTTTTATCATCTTTGTGTGTTTATTCTTTATGCTGTATAATAATTGCAACTTGTCATTGATAAAACATTGTTATATTTTTTATCATGTGAAGTCAATTCAAATGGATTGTAAAATTGAAAAAGATTTGTTATATTATATTTTTTTTCATGTGAATTGTGAAATTGTGAACATGGACAAATAAATAAATGAATAAAAACAAATATATGTATATGTATAATTATATAATATGTTTGTATGTATGTTGGTATAGGGAGAGAAGGAGGGAGAGGGAGAGAGAGAGAGAGAGAGAGAGAGAGAGAGAGATAAAGGAAGGAAAAGTGAACAACAAAGTGGAAAGATCACCGGACACTTTGTCTTTACACACCTTTACCCTAATTGGTGGCATTGTAAATTAATTTTTCCGTCCGGGAACAAAGTACAGGCTATGCAGATTTATTCTTAAAGTAATCAGATCTCTGATAGTAATTAGTCCCTTGCTTGCAGGACTTAAACGAAATCTGACATTAATCTATCTAATCTTAGGATTCTAAACTTTATAGCTTCCATCGTCTTCACTCTTTCTATTCCTCTCTTCATTTATTCTTTTTCTTTATCTGTGTGTCTCTCTCCCTCTCTCACTCCTCCCTCTTTCCTTGCTTTTATCCCACTTTATTTATCATTTTTCATATGTCTTGATTTATATTATTCACTCCATGCAACAACAACAACAAACAAAATTGTGTGTAAATGCATAGGCCTATCCTTCGTAAAGAATTCCTTTCATGTTGTGTTGATTTGAATTGTAGTAATGCTGATATTGAACATATTTATTCATATCCATTTGACTGATTTGATTTGAGAAAGACACTTGGAAAATTAACTCAAATAAAGTGAAGTGTTCAATGTAAAACCCTGTGAAAGTATCAATGCATGTACAGCGTTATTGCCCCAACGCTACAATCGAGCCCAAGTGGGGTTTATTTATAAGCTAACCCTCATAATTCAATTTCGTTATTCTTCCTCTTTTAAGAAAAAAAAAACTTTTAACTGAAAATAATGGGGTTTTATTTCTTGCATTTACCCTTCTGTGGGTCTTTGAAGTAAATCTGAAGTTGAACTTATCCGTGTTTAAAGATCACTGTCTCTTTATACATGTACACAAACAAAACACAAAGTATACTCCCAGAGTTTCAGCGACTCGACAATATATTTGTTTATTATCGTGGTCAACAAACATTATGAAGCACATCGAATGATGCAACTTGAATCAACAAGATACAATACAAATAGTTCGTGGATCATATATACACAAAGGTTTCATATGTCTCACATATTTCTTTTTTTCTTCTCCAGCATAACATTAAGCAATAGCATAATATACAAGTTTTACAACACGAGAGTGAGTTATATGATAGCAGTTGGCTTTTTAAGCTAGACAACATTGATGAACGCTTATTACTGGCTAGTAGTCGTACAATATTTATAATAATGTTGTAAATACACAATGATGCATGATGACAATACTGAAAAATCAAGAAAATTAATGAACTACACGTTTTCATAAAACGTGAGAGAGCATATTTCTGTGACAATACAAAAATGAATTCGAATAAGATGAAGAGATTGATAGAAGAAGTGATTTAAGAGTGAAGGGCTCATAGAAATTGTAGTGGAATATGAAAGGAAATGAATAAAATAATGCTAAGAGTAAAATGCGATGAAAACCATATCAAGAACGGACAATATTATGATTATATGATAAAGTAATTTAAGGGTATAAACCTAATTATGTGATTAATTTTGTACATCTTACAGTGCAATTAGGAAATACACAATAATAAGTGATATTTTGCCATATATACTTGATTATCACGTTTCTAACTTTAGGAAAACTAATTCTAGCTGGCGCATACTAAGGATAAGTACATGCATGAATTAAGTATAATGTGTTTGCAGGTATGGTAACACATACAAGCAGACTAATGTGACAAAACAGAGTTATTAATTTTATAATCATCTGTATTAAATGGTATCTACTGCCAGTTCAGTCCTTTTACTTTTGAGTCCACGGTTTTATTTCTTTTTGGCCTGCAAATGACATGCTAACCCTGCATACGCCGTAGAAGCCTATTCATTATATAAAAACCCGCTGTATTATTAATCTATCTACATGTATTACAAGACAATTGTTTGGTCGTTATTGTTCAAATCATGCACTCGACCATGAACACTCTTATGACCATTGTACATGAAGCGTCATACGCTGGCTCATGGCTGCGTCAGCGACTAGCGCAGTCTTTAACGAGTCATGTGAGAGTAGCGTTGTATACGATGTGAATGCAAAATGTAAAGTGTGATCATTAATTTACTGGCATAATTATGAACGACTTTTCTGAAGAGGCTTTATTGGCGAAGGAAATAAATTGATATGACACCTCGGGTGCATGTGGTATGGCGTCCTCTGCACACGAGGCGTCATATCAATTGCGCCATTGCATGCGCTAATCAAAGCTGTGAATGCAATCGGCCAATACGACAGTTTTTTAACGCAATATTTGGCCTGTTTATTTTGCGTTTTTTTCTGTGTACAATGTCACTCTAAAATGTCACGTCAAAGACTTCATCAGTCACTGACGCAGCCTTGCGTCAGCGAAATAACGCCTCGTGCGCAAGGGGCGGTAGGCTTACTGTAATCCCTTTAATCATGTACTACTCATGTACATCAGTTGCTTCAAGTCAATAAGGCTCTACATTTTCATTTGCATATAATATTAAACAAGAGAATACAAATTTACTTTCACCTTCATTATTAATTATCTTGGATGCACTGCTAATTACAATGGAACACTGGTAATGGTTCGATCAACATTAACACATCTGCGTTTCATGAATTTAGAATTTAGTCTGTCATCAATTGCCCGCGAACAAATCCTACAACAAACCAAGAAAATTCTCCCTCATCGAGAAATTTAACGGGATTTTTCGCGGGAAATTTCTGTCTGTCATCTATGTAAGTGAATTATCTAGATAGCTAATATTTTGGTAATTCAAGATGGATCGGGAAAATTGTTTCTGACACCGCCTAATGAATATTCTTCACAGATAACAAACTGTAACGAATTGAGCAAATCCATTGTTGCCCATAAAATTGAAACAATTTTTCTTGCGACGATATGATAAATTCTTGGTAGAAAAAAGTTTATATCTCCTCAGAAACTAAAAGATAGGACTTTTGGATTGGTCAATTAAGTCCTGAGAAGATATTTACAAACGTTATCTACTGAAAAATAAATCATCTTGTTAAAATCTTTTCAAGAAAAGAGGTAAGAAAAAGTATTCTAATTCTATGAGCAGCAGTGTATACACTGGGTTGGGTTTATACTGCCTCAATATGGAACGAATGGAATAAATTTACTTGAGGCGTCAACAAAATAAAAAGGGGGTACGGGTCGATGGATTAGGGTTCGACATCAGTATCCCTTAACATTAAAAACATTACTGATAAAACATTTTCGGACTTTTATTTATGAAGGAAAAGCTTCCTAAACAGTTCACCCAATGCAGTATCCATCGGACATATTTACATTCTATTGATGTTTTCTCCTTCGTTTTTGTTGGGGAAAATATTGAAACACTAGACAAACTTTGAACACAGAAAGCAACGACGAATAGCTGTGGTTGATTAACGTTAACAATTAACTTCGATCGTAATAAAAAAATAAATTTGCAGCATTTTAAACCATCAATTCGAGGCATTATCTAAAACTAAGAGTCTGTATAGTTATCCTATTAGTCACTTTGCAAGTCTTCTTTATTTTTGCACAATGTTCTACAGATAACATTCTTTGACATGCAAGAATTAAATGAATTAGGTGCTTATAGCTATCCCCGTCATTCAAATTTACAGACTTCTTAAAAAACCATTTCCAATTTTTACCATATAAGAAGTTAACATGAGATTATAAAACTATTTTTACACACAATTTTGTGATGATTTCACGTTGAACGCCACTCAACATTTTGATAATTATCTACTCTTTCATACTACCTCCATTAAACTTATATCATCAAAAGAATGGCAAAATTTGTTAAGAAAGAATAGTTAAATTTGTTAAGAAAAAATAAAGATCAGTACCTTCCGTATTAACATCACACATGTTATTTTCTTTAGTACAACTTTTCTTCAGCATTCCATCACATAACTGACAACTAAGAATGTATTAATATCATTATGCCATTGAAAAAAATCCTACAAAGTGCCATATCTTTTATAATTTGAATTAATAAAAGAATACACAATTCATTGTATATCATGACTATTGTAAATTAATTTGTTCATCGTCTTACCAAATATTCCTTAATCCAAAACTTGACCCTATGTACCCTATATACTTTACAACTGATATATTTGTTTACAAAAGCCGTTTCTAAACCATTGGTCAAAATGTCCTAATTAAACTATGATCTGTGGAATGATTTGATGAAGCTACAGAAATTAAAACTCTTGGCGGGTCACTATTAAGTTTACTCTTTAATACTCACATTTTTCATGCATGACCCTCATTTTTGTATACACTGGTTTAGCATTATGTAAACATGATATATATTTAAAAAAAAACAATATTGTGGCCGAGTGTAATGCTCCATATAACTACTAAATAGCTGCAAAGTCAATGAAACTGGCAAGAAGTCTCGAACGAGGCGTGTTCAGTAGTCTTTCTTGAGCGAATTGTCCAGGTCGACAAAGAACTCAATGAGATTGTTTGGTAGTGCAGACTCAACCAGCGATTGGGGGATCATTCCGCAGAGATCCGTTTGTACTATGTTCACCACACGGGTCTTGTTGCTCTCCCTATTCAAGAAGAAAGACAAAACAAAAATAAAATATTATTTATTAAGAGAGGGGCATTATCTATCGGGGGAAGGGGTGGTGGCAAAAAAATTGCTGACTAGGTTGACCCACATCCAATATCCCATCGAAAAGAGGTCCAAAAATGACTTGAAAGGATAGATTAAAAAGGTCCTGAGTTCTTCAACATTACTGTGCCGAAATGATATATATTCCTGAAATCAAAGAGAATAACTTCCTCATATTCTAAGCTTACTGTAATACATCAACTGTACATGTAGCTAGGAAAATGAAGGATATTTGCCCACTGAATGACTACTGTATCTCATTAATGGTCTTTAAACATAAACATAACAAAATACCATATAATCTTGCCTCCATTATTAAATGTAAAACAGAAATGCATAATTATAATACTAGAAATCCGGAAAATTACTATGTCGAAAGATGTATAAATACAGCATCATCTATTTCTTTCAAATTGAAAGGACTGTCAATATGGAACTCTCTTCCTCATTATGTTAAAACAATTTCGTTTCTTAATTCTTTTAAATCAAAACTTGAGTTTTTTTTTTATTCACATACTCTACAAAATAATTAATGCATCCCAACTTTTAGAACTTTTAATTTGTTGTTGTTGCCATAATGTCACGAATTGAATATTATATGGTCAGGGATTAAAGGGGTTTTCAAGAGCCATCTATAAACAGAGTTGGCCAACCCGGTTCGAGTTGGACACAATATGGCGACTACTGCTTTGTTGGGCAAGCACAAAACACAAGAATATACGCCATGTTGTGACCCAGTGAAACCAAGTTGGCCAAACTCTGTGTATATAGATGGCTCTGAGTGTTTCACTCATAGCGCCCCCTCTAGTGGCAGCTCTGAATACGGGGCAGTTTACACAACAGAGGTTAGAAAAATAGAGTAATTGGGCTGGAACGCTTTTCCCATTTCTCCATCTATCATGTCTCACATACAGGCAAATCCAGATGAAACAAGTGGACCATGTTCCTCTTTCTATGAAAAAATGTCTTTAAGTTCCTACGCTACACATTAACGGTGGAAACTAATTCATATACAAAATAAAAACGCGAGCGGTATAATCTTGAGATTTTTTTCAATCTTGATATGTATTTCCGAAATAATAATGGGATTGCTCTTGCGCTTTAAGGTATTCAGACTATTTATACACACCAAACCGACTTCGTCAGTGTATGTCTATCCATCGTCTACTATGACATAAACGTGCCTTCAAGTGACATGATATATTCGGTAGGTGTTGAAGGGGTATACTCTTTCTGTTTTGAGAAGGACATTGGTATTTCTGCCTTGATCCGCGGACCAGAGAGGATAAAGAAAAGGCGCTTGTAACACATTGAGTTATGGATATTATTTTGTCTAGTGTATCATAACTTACACCGAGGACAAATGTTATTAGGCATGTATATCTTCGCCTGAGGCGCATTCCACCTTCTTTCGATTCGGGGTGGTCGAATCTCAAAAGAATCCTTCATGACAGCTTGTCATGATAGCTGAAATAAAAACAAGTCTTTCCCTCGATGATTCACGCTATTTTTGTGAGCTTCCCCTCTCGCCCTCGATCCTCCTACTACATCCCGTTTGCGCTAAACCACATGCCATAACAAGGAGATCTGCACGTCTTTAAAGATCAAAGGAAACGTCTTTCTTCCCAGTAGTCAGTTAGAGGGAACTCCTCTTTCCTGCAGCTGTCAAAGACTTGCATCGCAACCTTATGCCTACCTCATAGACAAGAGTTTGTTGCATTTGACAAATTCATCTTGAACGAAAGTGGAAGGAGCAGGCCTACGCTTTCCTCTAAATATTGAGTCGAAATATTGAGTAACAAAATAGTTGCCTAGCCCCTTAAAGCGTTGCTCTTTAAAGTCAGCCCACAACTTTCGGAACTCTTGATTTGTCATCACCACTACACCATAGCTATCCGTGCGTAAACATACATCGTGAGTCAAAATGAATCAGATTTGCGAGACGCGCACGGAAACAAGAACATGAATCCGCATAAAAGACATGTACTGATGTTATTAGCCCGCTCAAGGACAGACCCGTTTTTAATTAAGCCGCTATTCGCTTTATTTGGCGGGAAATCCGCAGCGGGATTTCTCTAGCTTCAAATCAATTTCCTTCCCCATAATCATCCTTCATGCACAAGCTCCCCATATTTGTCTATTTTGAGATTCACCTTTCATATTTGCTTAAATTCCCCATTCATGCTTTATCATGGCATTATTCAACTATCATCATCGACTTATTATCTATCTGTTGCATTTATGTATAGGCTTTATACATCCTCTCTGTGTGTTTTGTCTGTATATAACCTTTTCTCTTTATGTCTGGATGTGTAAGACCGTATGATTTGTTTCCACTAAAGCTTCGATATTTTTCATTAATTCGTTGATAACATGCTGACTGAGGGGGGGGGGGGGCTTGCCCATTCGACACCAGTTTCAGGATATACGCTTGTTAGTGAATTTGTTAATATGATGACACTTTATGCCATACAGTAGGCAAATATTGATGCAATTCAAATCAGAAATAATCACTAAGTATCGTAATGTTTTGGAAATATTTTGGCAAACTCGTGAGAAAACATACATCCAAACCATTAAAAATGTTTTATAGTCGCCCCGGCCATTAACCAAATACTCACTGTAAATTTGTATAGACATGATTGTGCCCTCAATGCACATAAGGGTATTGTGTAGAATTCTGTTCAAATTTTTGTTAAAGGGGCATATAAATGAACTATACAAGTAGGTTTAGTGGCTTATCAAACGGAATTTGCCTGCAATATTGGTCGGAGTTTCCGAAATGGAAAGGAATTTGTTGAATGTTATCTAACTTAAAATTATTGTATCAAAAGATACATGTATCCGTTCTATAGTAACGTCCATGGTTAACTTTCCGATGAATTTTAGCGTGAACTGGAAGAAACTTTGAATCGAGGCTATTAGTCATAACTATGTCTGTGCCTAAAGCTCATTGCAAACGAGACGTTATTTCGACTGCGTTATTTCCTGCGCTGATCAAAGCCAAACTACTAATCCGTGCAGCGCAACATGTCGCTTATACTTTTTTTTACTTTTTACTTTTGATTCATATTTTTCCAATCATGATATCACTCTGACATATTACATGGCGCGTCAAAAGCCATGACAGTCGCTGACGCAGACTTACGTCAAAAAATGACGCAGTCTTACGTCAGTAAATGACGCCTCGTGTTCAACTGACTTCAGTGAATTGTGGAAATGCTATAACTGTTTCTAAATTACCCATCTACGGGGGAGCAGAAGGTGCCCCCGTGGTAGTTGACCCCCCTCACGAAGCCGTCAACGGGCGGTCTATCTTTCCTATCCACGCTCCGTGAGCTGGTGGCTACGATCCCGCGGTCCGGGTAGCGCCTGACCGTGATCAGATCAACGAAGTCCCGCGATGCGATCAGGCCCATGGCGGCGCTGTGTGTCGCTGATCGGGCGATGATGAGATTCTGGATTTGGGATGTGACAAAATGGATAGGGGAGAAAGAGGAAGAAGTAAAAGAGAGATAGAAACAAACAGGCAAATACAAAGAGAAAGAAAAAGAGAAAAAAACATACAATGAAAGATTGGAAAGTATGACAGAGAGAGAGAGAAAGAGAGATACGGTGAAAGAAAAAGAGAGGAGAGAAAGGTGGTGGATGGCAAGAGAGATGGAGAGACAGAGAAGAAAGGAAAGGGCAAGGACAGTGAATATGAAAGAGAGAGAGGAAGAGAAAAAAAAGAGATACGTTAATAATTCATTTTCTGAAATAATATTATTTTAAACAATAACATATTTGTGTAAACTGCCACGGGACGACTACGGCTTGCCTCGAAACCGCTCGTGCACACTGACGACAGGCGGCTATCCATCTACCTATATATCTATCTATAGAGAGAGAGAGAGAGAGAGAGAATGAAAGAACAGTTGGATCCTCTAACCTTACAATCTCCGAGTTCAAATCCATGATCACTTCTATAATTCGTTTAGTGTAGATGCTCAATCCCTCGGGGAAGAGCTGGTATTGGCAACCCATAATTGTATCAACACCACTCCGCCTGGAAGCGTTGACTTTACGCTCCTACAAACCTTATTCCAGCTTTGCCGTTTCGTTTCTTCCATTAGATCACAGATACCTTCAAGCTACAGCACATGTTAGGAAAGATGGGTTTCTGAAATCATACATTAGGAACCTACGGCGAATTGATATGGTTCACCATAAAGACAGACCGTCATCCATGCATTGACTTGACTTAAAGCATGCGAGTTGAACGTTTTGATAAAAAGAAAGTAATAGTCAAATAATTATTATCTCTGAGTAAGTCTCAATAGGATGCTTATGAAAATGACTTTACAAAAGTATCAAATATGAACATTTTATGAATTATAAATCTACGTTTTAAACAATAACGACAGATCTACAATGCAACCACACTGATCTGCAAATACAGACATTCTTAATAATGTACACCCGGTCCATTACTATTATAGTTTATTAAACCTTTTTTGAACGTAATGAACTAATTATACAAACGTCAATTTCATGTTTTTCATGTAATATTTAAGAACTGATGCATTCTTATCATTTTATCAACGTGAACATATAATCATGAGTAGAACAGACTGCTCATTCATTAGGATGAAATACACAAAATTGTGCCTTTTAAAAATCATCATTAGTGACGGATATTGAAAATTTGTCAAATGATGTACTCTTCGCCAAAAAGTTTGCTAAAGCGCGGCTGACTCATCCGTGGTTAAATGAAAAATGAAAAGAGAAAAAAAAATGTTTGTGGGATATATCTTGACATGCATGTGAGCGTACTTTGCCCTGTCTGCGTACTAGATTAGTCTGCTATTCAAGGCCAAAGCTGGGCATCCGAGGAGTTATAAAGAGACTTGGGAAGCATCAAGACATACCATATTGCTAATCCAAGCACAAATGCGAGAGATCGGGAGCTTCTTTGCGCACGCAATTAGATTAGACGAAGAATCCCTAATCTAGAAAATTGATGAAACTAAAAACCATATATCTGAGCGAGCTGAGGCAGAGAAAGAAGAACTAATGAGGGAGAGCAGGATGGGGAGAGCAGGATGAGGAGGAAAAACGGAGGGATTTATGGAGATAGGAAATAGTGAAGGAGATAGTACGAAGGAGAGAGAGAGAGAGATAGGAATAGAGAAGACAAATTGAAAAATGGAAAGATAGTGAAAAAGAAATATAAAAGGGAGGAATAAAAAAGTGGGGAGTACGAGGCAAAATTCCTCGAAACAAAAAGGACACATAACATGGAAACAAAAGATATGACTTAAACAAAAAGCCGCATAAAAATAGACATAAACGATTTGAGAGTTGATAAAGGGCGAGGAGAAAGATGGAGAAGGGGAGAAGGGAGGATTACTGGTAAGCCAACTCCCGACCATTCCCATCTCGTTTTATGCGATCGATGCCATGCGCAAGATGTATTTCGGTTGAGGAAAATGATATATTACCGCTGCCCTAAATTAGAAGAGCAACCGCGGCGATGTTCGATGAAAATCCTTTTTGATTTAATTCAGAAATATTGGGTGAATGCTTTCCGCAGATCGTACATGAAATGTCATGTCTGGTCATAAGGGCAAACAGTGCTAGCTAGAGTTGAACATCTTTTCCAAACATTGGCCGGGTTCAGCGAGTCGATGTCCGTACACATCTAGACAACACAATACCATTGTGTTGGTGCTCTGTTGATGTATCGTTCTCTATTCCCTTTGCTTTCCTTGGTTATTCGTACAAAATATGACACACACCCATCCTCACCCATCCTCACCCACACGAAAACACGGCACACCTACTTTTTCCCTTTTTTTCAAAGACCTCATTATTTTGTCATAACCCTTTCTGCGTTCATATCTTAAATAATACATGTACAATCATAATTAAGATGGCGATGATTCTCAAAAACAAAAATATTCAGCCTCCAATATAGCTTATTTTCGATTACGAAGTAGCTGCCTAAATGCATCTCCTAAATAAATTAGAAATACAAGGTTATTCTTAAACCCAGCGATGCAGAAGTTGGATAAAAGAAGTAACTTGTATTAGATTAAAGCACACAATTTAAAGCTCACGAAGGGAAAGAGTACAAGTGAAAAGAAAGACCATGATTGAATTATTTCAAAGAGATAAGTAAACTTCAATGGAGATAGATTGTGAGAACAATAATGATTGTTACTTTCATTAAATGCACACACACATATACTGCGCAGTGCAGACGACAGATTCATTTGTTAGTTCCGGCTACATCATTGTACATTTCCTTAACATTCTAAATAGATTTGGAATAAACGATGTGACAAAAAGTTCGAGACATAGTTCAACAAAACACTGGTTATACCGTCTGTTCTTATAGATGTGAGTCTAAGATGGGATACGCAGATATAGACCGGGTAAATCACTCAAATTCAAATCAATTTGTCTCGGCATTTCTCTCCTGCCCTTCCACTCCGAAGTACTATTCGCCTAGTTTGCCCCATTAGTGAAGAGAAGTCGCATGGATTCATATTAGACCGGTGTTAAAATGAACGGAGTCGCTTTACCTTCTATAACGATCTTCTGAGCCTGGAAAAATGATGGGTGCTCCGACATTAGCGCGACGACAATTGTTCCGGGCATTTTTTATATAGTCAAAGATATAGGTTTATGATTGCTATCGGAATACAAGTAAGGTTTAGATTTAGGGTTAGGGTTAGGGTTAGGGTTAGGGTTAGGGCTGCAGTTGTATTTTAGGTCAGGTTTAGGGTTGGAGTTAGGGTTAGGTACAGTGTTTGATCCAGGGATGAAGATGGGAATTCGATTTGCGTGACCGGTGGAGGTATTGATCGCGGAGTAATATTGTCGCAGGAGCATGTGTCGCATAACCAAGTTTTTGGATCAGTTGGTCCGCCCAGTGCATTATCAGATATTGGAGACAATCATATTTCTTTTTTTAGACAGACAACTGACCAAGCAATCTAATTGTCATTAGGTATTTAGCCAATTCGTTCAATGCCCACCTCCTCTAATGTTAGTTCGGCCACACCCCACAACTACTTCGTCTACAGTCATGGTAGTGTCACTATAATTTCGTCTAATTTTTCTTCAACCTCGGAGCAGTTCGTCTATTGTCTGCCAATACTAAATGTTGGGTCATCCGTTGTTGCCATAATGGACTGTGGTCTAAACTTGACTCGGTCTGACAAAAATATGAAAAATATGTCTGCAAAGTGACAAAGGGGCTTCCCCGGACCCGGAAATATTGGACCAATCAAGTTAGAATACCTTATACATGTACATGAATTAGCACCAAAATACGGTGATGGTAATAAGAAGTACTTCTTAAATTTATTCCTATTTCTTTTTTTTTTGATGACAGGATGGATTTTTTAATTTAAATGTTTGCCAAAAAAATGATGATAGCAAACAAGTTGATATTTTAGAGGTATGATCGCTTTAGTATCTAAGAAAAGTGCACAGCGGTCTGCTTTGTGCATCGGTATAAAATAGATCACATTATATGAAACGGGAATAAATCAAAATCTGATGGACTATGAACATGGATACGGACAGGCTTTGAACATATTGAATTCGCCATGACACTCGTTTCATGCCATCTCGTAGAAGAAATTCAATTTCCCGGTTTCGAGAGAATTAGGGTGATTTTGAAAGATGAAAACAATAAAATTTGAGGTAAAGGAACGGAGCATATTTACGACTCCAATCCATGCTCCGTGCAATAAATGGAGAGGCATAATATCGAGCTTTCCTTTTCCCTCGTACATATATATATATATATATATATATATATATATATATATATATATATATATTTTATATATACCGCCTAAAATGAAATGTTTGTTCTCTAGCAATATTGTCCAATAGGTAAAAAATTGCAATAACATGCGGTCGAAACGGAAAAATAAATTCAACGGAAAATTATGTTTGCTTAGTTCTAGAACGAATTTTATGAATCGCAAGAAGATTTAATTGGCAAAAAGAAAAACAATCACCTGAAAATTTGAGCCAACAACGATATTATTAAACAAATCTCTCTAGGTATACATGGTAAAATTTGAAGAGCATGAACGCTGAAAAGCAACGGCGAATATTGTGTGACTTTCCTTTTCCACTAAGTTATAAAAGCACGTGGAGAGTATTATAAAAAAACAGAATTAAAACCATTTTGGTTTAATTGTTTTAACTTTAAAATGTCTTCAATTCTAGATGAATGTTATATAGAAGATATCCAAACTTCTGGACTTCTGGTTATGAGGAAATAAATTCACATGGAAACATAAGTTATACATGAATTGAAGGCATTATATTATCTGCCAAATGATTGCAGTACAAACTTTTTACAAAATAATAATGCAAAAAATGGAAATAAAGGAAATCGAGGTATGGGTTTGATCGATTTGTTTGCAGGGCAAAACAATACCTCTACTGCACGATAAACAATTAGCAATGACCTTCATTCAATTTATCTTGAAATGCAATCCATTTCAAGGGCTAAGAAATAGCTATAACAGATTGCTCTTACATTTTACTCTTTTTTATCCAATGGGCAGCAAAAATTACTAAAACTTTTGATTTGGGAATAGAGAAAGAGGGAGGGAGAGAGGCGGGAAAAAGAGGAAGAAATAATGGCAAGATAGTAATAAAGAGTGAAATCAAGTCATAACTATAAAATAATACCTCATTTATGTTTTCGATAACGTCCGACTCTTTGACGTTCTTGTCCCATTTCCCTCTTAGACCCTTTGGTGATGGAAGTATATAATGAATGATCTTCTCAGGAGGGGCATCTATTGTGCATTCTGCTCTGTATCTGTATCAGGTGATAGAAAAAAATATAAGAAGGAAGATTAGTAACATAATAAAATATTAGATTCTTGCCGTGTAGAACTCATCTTGCGAAATAATTCCAGTCTCATAAACTAATTATTATCAACCATATTACATCATCTCCATAGGGATGGTGTGGGGTGTGCCCAAGTCGAATAGTGAAAAAAACAAGAGAAAGAATAGCAAGAAGAGAAAAGTAGACAAAAAGAATGGGAGAGAGAGAGAGAGAAAGAGAAAAATATGACAAAAGACGATAATATGACCCTTTATGCATCCTCCCCTAATCGATGGGCCTGGTTAATTTATATTTTAACACGTAAGACCAGTGCCTCTCCCCTCTTCATACTGCCACTAATAACATACAAAATACTTTTTAGCAATAATACAAGTAAACGTCTAGTTATAAAAGTGAACAGGGAGCTCCTCTCATCTCCCTGAAGTGACATAGCAAAATTTGAAGTGATCAAGTGAATTGGTGCACTCTGCATACTGACAAACAAAGAGTTCCCATCCTTTGAAATTACACAATTATTTCAATTCTGCTGTAATGGATACCATAAAAGAGTTGTTAACAGTTCCTAGAATTCCAAGTTTAATACCTCCTCTCCTGTATATTGTGAGTCATTTATGCTTTAAACAAAAGAACGGCCTTGTGCAATTCATCTCTAAATCCAGCGGAATTAATATTTCATTTCCACGTCTATTTCCCATGGAAAACTGCTCGTAAAAGAGCAATAAAACAGCCCTGAAAGTGGCTATTCACCCCCGGCAATTTCTTTTTCCACGCTTTCTCCATCAGGAACACCCATATTAGACAATGTTGATTCCCAATATATTACACATAATTAGCCTTGTACTAGAGACGTGCATCGCAAATCCACAATAAAACGGTAAATGCTAGTCAGATCGGCCTTTATTAAAAGCAAGGCTGTTCGATGGTACTGTAATTATGATGGTAGTGATAATTGTTAGGAATCGGCAAGAAAATACATGATAGAGTATGGTTACGCATGCGTGAAGGTTAACGATCCACTTATTGCCGAAAAATATCGCACGCCCCACTTGTGAAATGTCTTTAGACGGGTTCGGGTGCTAATGAACGGCGAGGCAGTCGTGCTGTTAATGCGAACAAACCGTGTTGCCTTTGTACAATATTTGGCCGTAATATGAGAAAATTAAGAATGTTTATATACCCAATAGCCATAATTGGTGTGTAATATAAAGTAACTTGTAATAATAATGTCCCCTTGCAAGCTATAGTTGTTGAAGTTTCTTGTTTTTATAATCATGGCATTTTGAAATTGGCCTTTTGCTGAAATTTGACCAGGATCAGCTGCAAGAAAGTAGAAGGCAATATCGCTCGTGACAAGTTTATGGCGTCACACCTGACACGTCATGGCAACTTTATATGGTTGCTGCATGGTTGCTGACATACATAATAACGCAGAAAATGCCTTTGGTCATTTTATAGTAAGTTCTCCAAGCGAAAGTGATCTCAATTTTAAGAATTAAACGGAGGGAAACATTTCAACAATAGCGTTGCTCCATAGATATCGAGCACTGAAGTTCTGGTTAGCACTATATTATGACTAATTAATTTAACTTTTAACCTTTAATACCATCAGATCACAAATTAAAAACCACACTAACGTTATACCCTATTTGGTAAAAGATGTAACGGCGCTTAGTTTATTGAAAATGCTAATCATACATGTATCAATGTTTTGTAAGCAGAATAATTGTTTTAGATTCATCTCCACGTTTTATCCACTTTTTGAAGGAAAAAGAAGAAGCAAAATTCCTTTGAGATGTAACAAAACATTTTTAATAAAGTATTTACTAGTCAGGGATAAGTATTTGCTTGCAAGAATAACGATGCTGATTTTGTTTGCTAGCAATTAGCATGATTTTTGCAAGTTTAATAAAAGTGAATGTAAAATGTACACGTTATGCATAATTATGCATAACGGATTGTTTTATTCCCAGAAGTTGGGTGGAGAATAAAAATGGAGGACCCACACGCAAATAAACACAGATAATTTATAAATGCCTGTCAAAACATAAAAACCATTGTATCATAAATGTAAAGTTCATCATTATTAGAAACCGATATCTCGTCATTAAATCAAATATTCCTTTCAAAACATGCCATCACATGACATTTTAAGAATGAACTCGAAACGAAATCCATGGATAATTATGTATGTATGATACTAATAATTTGAACTGTGAACATACGTCAATCGGTATTAGCGTAGAAACCAAGATAGCTGCTTTACATTCCCTCTCAACTGACGGTAACCTAGCAACGGGAGATTGCAATGAAAATCAACTAGTGCGCCCTTGACTTTCGATGATATCTTGATCGCGGGATCAGACAGCCTTGGCTGGGACAATTTGATTTTTATTACACCGGGATCAATACCAATTTAAGGTGTTTGTGTTTTATCAGAGGCATCATAAAATCTCTTCCGTGTAATTTAAGTGATTTTACGTTTCACTGAGATACACTAACACAGAGGGTATTTGAAACAAGACGAGTTGCTGTTAATTCCTGTCTGGTACGTTGATATCAGACTTGATCTAGCGAACTGTTTATAAGGTGAATAGTTTCTTTTCATGGAAATGAACTATATGAAAAAGCTTATAGAAAACGAGGTTGAAGTACTTCCATGTTCGAAATTAGGAAACATTTATTCGATTGTTTTAGTTAATTATTATGTCCGCACATTTTGCTGCTGTCTGGATAAAATAATTCCTGAATCGAATTAAATCAAAGTTATATGTTTCATTCCTTAGGTTTTCCACCTGATGAATAGAGTTTGCCTTTCTCAAAATAAAAATGTAGAATGGGGGCTTGAATTATGGAGCCATTTTGTAATGTCTGCCTTTGTGGGTAAGGGTGTGGGCGTATGTGCGGGTGTGTAGGGGAGGGAGCTCTCCTTGCAAAACGTGTCGACAGAATGATAATTATGTTCGGGTACGCATTATTAAAGTACAACACTATGACAGACCCTAGTATAGGGATAAAACAATACCGAAAAGGGGGAGGAGATTCCCCCCCCCCCCCCTCCCCTCCACACACACCCACCCTTAGGGCATACCTGGTCCTTGTGATCTTTCCAAGGGATTAACCTTCCCATCAAATCGTTGATATTTGCCAAAAGTCAAGGCAAGCATTCATTATTATGCAAACATTCCCCAAACAAGACAAAGGGAAAGTAGAGAAAAAGACGGAAAGCAAAGAAAAGTCTGTCATTGTTACTTCATGCACATGGTAAAATGGCGCCTCGGTTTAGGCGCCACCGCCAGCCATGCAGGAGACACGATGAGCATGTATTTGAAACGTAACAAGACGTACGCGATGCACTTTGTAACTTTCTAATGTAGTTAAATCAGTGCAAGAATTACAAATGTAAAGAATTGTGGTTTGGACATGTTATCTTTGTTGTGGATGTGTGACCATGATGAATTTTATATCATTTTAAAGCTGGGAATCTCCTCTTTTAGAATGAGACATGAAGTATAAAATCACATCTTTCTACATTTTGGTGGTTTCGTGGTGCAGGGTAACATGTATAATGAAAATGAGATGACGTGTGTGGGCGTTTGTTTTGTGCGTGTGTGTGTGTGTGTTCGGTCTTACTGCTTGAATATAGATCAGGATAAAACTATTTACGTCTGTGGACCGATCTTTAAGACCACCATCCGAAACACGCAGCTTTGAAGCGGTCAGGAATAACAAATGAACTTGTTCGAATAATGTTAGGCTACTTGGCGCTTTTTGGAAGAAGATAATACTGGTAACAACTGAATTACTCATACCCCGTTTTGTTTTGCGTAACTCGAGAATGAAAGGTGGACTGATTGAAGTAGGGCATTTATTGAATACTTTTGGATGTAAGCTTTAATATGTCAAATTCTCAAGAAAAATAACTTGGGGAAAATCCATTTTCCATATTCTTACAAAATGGTAAGGGTGTGAATAATGTAGCTGTTTATTGTAGGTGTAATATCATGACGAGCAGTAACGATTCACATAGATTTGTACCTTATTGTTATGTTTTCATGAGGCTTTCTTACCTTGTATTTTTTTTCTATAAATTATTTCAATGATTCAAAATGTACTTACTACTTTTTGTCAAAAGTCATTACTTTTGTTTTGATACGTGATAATAAGGTTAATTAAGTTTGTCAAAAAACTAAAGAATACATAATTCAAATCTACAATACGTGATTTTATGATGCAGTTTTTCTCGTAATATATTACTCAGTATTGGACATGACAGGCAAATATTTGCTATTAATGCTATCTTTTCTCTTATGTGATATATCATAGTATGGCAAAATTTCAAATGGCAATGAAACTAATCAAATAGATTAAAATAACAAATTATATTCGATTTTATGAACAGCCCTTTTTTAATTCTTCAGCACTGAAAATATTTTCCTCTCGAGAATTTTGATTAATTAACCTTGAAAGGCTTCATACATCCACACTTCCAAATATTGTCATTTGTAGAGACTGCATTATACCCAATACTATATTTATACGTGCACTCAGTAATTAGATCTACAATTCAAAGGGGGTTGCGCACAGGTGAGCGGGATGGGACTACCGTCAGTGTGCATGCCGGTGTCACACTCAGCGTTCATCATCCACAGAATGTTCCGACGCAATGAAGGGATTTCATACTTGATTAGGCCTGAGGTTGAGTCATCAGATTCATCAAGGAAACTCTCTCAGCTCAGTCTACTAGATTATATACCCATGCACAATGCACTAAGCGATAGGGAACATGCGAACTACACATACGTATAGGCCTAAGATATAAGCTTGATAGAGTGAGATGGAAACGAGAAACGAAAACTATGAGATTATGAAGCTTAGAGTCTTCTCTCTCTACCTATGTGAAGGCAGCGTAGGGATTAATTTACGAATAAGTCCAAGACATGATCTTAATGAAATGATATGAAAATGAGAATGAAAGCGGAGAGATTATGAGAAAACATACCCACTCTCCGTCTCTCTTTCTCCCTCTCTCCATCTATAAATGCAGATCAGGAAGGGGAACATGCGAACTTACAAAACCCAAAATACATGTTTATGATTCAATGATTACTCTTAATGATTGATTTATTGTCATAAATTGTGGTTTATTGAATGGGGCCAACCTTTACAAACTCTTGCTATTTGTTGGCTTCATTTACCAAATATATACTTACTGTCATGCCGAAATATAATGCAACTTGAACTTTAAGTAATGAATAAACATACATTATAGGGCTTTTAGTATAGGCCCAAAACATGATCTTGATAAAAAAATGAGATAAAAATGTGATATGAAAGGATGGAGTGTAACTAAGAAGGTTCGACGTATGTAAGTCGGAAATGGGAGAGAAAAGGGAAGGATAGAGGTTAAGAGGAGTACTCTCGGGTTACTATAGGATAACCCAGTTTACATGACCCCACAGTAGCTTACATTTGCTCGTATAGCTATGACACACGAATGTACTACGTAGAAAACATATCTTTATATTCGAAATATTTACAAGTCTCACATTTTAGTCTGATTTTTTTATTTTTTATTTTTTTTTGGGGGGGGGGGGGAGAAAATGGTGGTGAAGCAAGAGAAAGTAAGAACAGCTGATATGGAGTAATGACCACACCAAAGACGAAAAGAGGGAAATGGATGTTGGAGAAAAAAACACAGAGAGATAAAATGGGACAAGGGAAAGAGAGTGAGGGAGATAAGAAGTGAGGCAATGAAGTTAACAAACAATCAAACACAGGACAGAGAGACTAAATAGACGGAAATATGTAAAGATATGAGACGGAGAGACAGAAATGTATCAATAATGAAAAGAAATTGTAGAAATATAAACATATCCAGCGTGGCTATACAAAGGGGTTAAAGATAGATACAGAGACAAAGAGAGATAGACAGACAGAGAGGTGGAAAGAAAGAGAGCTGGAATTCAGACTTATTGCAGTTGATGTGGGTGGACATGAGTTCAACATAGAGTTCAACAAACATATCCATAACTATGATTTAATGGAAGGAAACTGAAACGAGACGGGATGAGGGAGGTAGCAATGAGTCGTGTACAAGTATATGATCATGGACCCTAGTACTAGGTTTATGATCAGATATATGTTGAAAATGGTAACTTCGATACTTAATAACCATTTGCAGTTAGAGGTATTGTACAATATATGCCGCACTTAATAGATGATTGTTAACTGCCTTTATACTCGGTCCTTTTAAATGATTTTTTTTTAATTATTTGTTAAAATTATTATTCATTTTGTATTTACATTCATTTGTTGAAATATCATTATGTTCACTGGATAAAAACAACCAGTTCAATTCTGTTTTGCATTGTAGTACTGTAACATTAAAAATCATACACAAGAGGAAGAGAAACAAAAAAGAGATGTTTCGAAAGGATTAAAGCAGCGAGTATAGATGTACCAGACTAAAAACCAAAGCGTGAACAAACTTAGAAGCGTATTCATGATTGGAAATTGACTTTGAGAATAAGTTTTCCTATTCTAAGGATTTATTTAAGTCATTGGAACTTTGCATGGTGATCAAACTGATTTGATAATGCTAGGCTAAGCATCCATAGGCTTGGATATTAAATCTTAATGGCATGGAAACTGACTGAACTCACAAAAAGCATATTTTACATGCATTTTTACAATCAGATTCAAAGGTTGAAACAGGGCATGTGAGTTGGGCCTCAAACTGTAGGCGGGAAAAACGAAAACAACTTAATTTTCGCTCAGAGCTCTGATACAGGAAACACCTACTAATTCAAGGCCGAACACGGGTTCTAGAAATTCCGAGGGAACACAATCCTCGTTATGAAATTCGATAACAATATTCGGTATTTCTGAATCCCATAATATTGTTTGTGCAGGGATTATAAAGAAACAAGGTTAAAACGGGGGAAATTCGTCGAAAAAGAGATTGCCGTTTTGTTTTGAAGATTAAAGACATTTCGATAATGAAAATTGAATTCGATAATCGTCATGAAATCCATAGTACTTTGTAAAGTATCATTGATGCTATCTTATGTTTGATTTTATTTAAGACTTCCACATTTCTCAGGGTTTTTTAATCTCAAATTTGGCACAATCATTGTTTTCCGAGAAGCAGAGCGAGAGCTTGCCAAAATTCACTATCTTGTTGAAGGACATCCTGAACAAATAAAAGTATCCTGATGGATCACTAGGTATTATGTATTTACATTTCGTATTCAACACATTCTGTAATCCACTTGTTCAAAACTACGTCGAAGATTATGTGTTCAAATAAACTGGAAACTACATTTACAATTACATTACAAAATATAAACATTTTCCGATACACAATGTATACGGGACAGTCAGGTTTGGGTGACTGTGGGTGGCCATTTTGAAGACTATTCGTCACATACGTCGATTACGCAATCACAGGTGAATACAAGTGAATTAATAACGTTCACACTTACGGTGATAAAACACAAAATATAGAAGACATAATATTCACTAGGAAATGAAAGAAATTATTGAATATTGAGTAACAGCCCTAAACTTTAAATAAAGAATCTGTTCTACTCGTATGGTTTACGCCGATGAGTGCAAGACGAAAGATTCAAGCTTCAATATGTCTGTAAAGATTTCTTCGAGTACTAATCATATTTTCATGAATAATCATTCAAATATAAACATGTTCGGAGTTATCGTTATCATCTTTGTCTTCGATGAATGCACAACCTGCTATTTATACATGTATTTACTAAATAAATCATGTGATGATATAACAGCAATCAAAATGTCGTTAAGAGAAAGGCCTATAAAGTACATTTTCGACAAAGGTGCCTTGATTTAAATGTCAACCACGTCATCCCTCTAATTATCTCGCTATTAGCCTCTGCCCGTCAATGACGATGTCCATCTATGTATCTACCTGTCTATCAATGATCCCACTTTGAGTTTGACACGTGATTCAGGCTAGCCATTTAGTGCTAGCCCTTCTAACCTGATACGAGTTCCAATTAGCTAGACTGTCTGTATGCCTGCTGCATTGTACGCCAACGAGATTAATTAGTTAGCACAAAGCAGTCTGATTAGGTCTACGATGATGTCATGCGGGGGAAGTGCGAGCTGTCTTCGCCTCGAACGCCGGTACGAGGACATGTGACGTGTATCTGATTAAGCGCGACGTGTCTGCTGAATTGTGTTTTGTTGAAAAGTGCATTGTTAAGGCTTAAATATGAGTAATGATCATGAGATTCCATCGTGATAGAAAGTTGGAAACTGTCAAGAAGTTATTTGGGAACATTGATTACGTAATACCAGCAATTCATAATTACTTTGAGGTTTTGTAATCTTCAAAATCACAGAAAAAGTACAACTACTCCCTGGACAATCACTAGAAATTCTAGGAATAGAAACAAGTATAACGGAATACACACCAGTGGGATGACAGTTCTGGTCCAGCCGTTTCATATATTTCTTGTCATATTTCAAATGTGAGAGTATTTGATGGGCAACTTTTTATTCAGGGGGACACGTTTTCTACGATATTCTTCAAAACTGAGGTCCAAAGTATACGAAAGTTTTGATACCCTTATCAGAATATACTTTTCTCTTTAAAATGTGTGGCACCCTTTTAAGGAGCCTGCTTATAATCCAATTGTTGTTACGGTTTCTGTTTGCTTCTTTCTTTTTTACATTTCCCAATTGTCCCTGTCATGTCTTCACCACATGTTTGTGTATTGCAGAGAATTTATCGGATGGGAGGCATGTGTGGGTGACTGTGTGGGTACATACGTGCGTGTGCGTAGATTAGTGCGTGTGTGTAGATTAGTTAGCGGTGTAAATAAGTAAACTTTACTATCCTTCATCTTTCTTCTCTCACATATTTCTTCCCCGGCCTTTAATTAAGTTTGGCGCCATAAATCTTCATGATTTTATAGTACGTACATGGCTTTGTATGCCACACATTATTCCCAAAAGGTATCCTTAGGACAGGTAACGGTTATCCCCCCCCCCCCTCAAAAAAAGTTGGTAGGTCTACATCTACCTTAGATTATACGCGTCTACTAAAGACATGCACCATTTGTCTTCTGACAGTAAATCTTTGACGCCATTCAAAGAGCAGTCAGCTTTGAAATGCATTTACTAAAAGGGGTTAATTAGAAGTAGAAAAAAAACATAAAACAAAAGAAAAAAAACAGGCAAGTGAATGAGGGTGCGAACATGCCGGTATCATTCATAAAGAATGTACCTGAGTAAGATAAGGAATACTTACACATGGCCATCGAATTCGGAAGACTTCTTGTACATGATTTTAATTTCTTTCTGAAAGAGAAACATATGAGAGAAAAATAAAAGTTTATAAGCCGGTAAATGGTTTGAGATATATCACGTCATCATTATGAAAAGAAGATTTTTTTCGTTTGAAGATTGTAAAAGACATGTGGATTTTTGTTAAACTATAATCAAAACGTCTTTAATTAAAAAATTAGGACGGAATTTACAAATCTGCCCACAGATGTGCCACACAATACAAAACATTTATTTTCGTGTCACTAGCACATTCTAATTTGAAAATAACAAAAGACATAAATTATAGATAAATCCATTCAAACTGGATTAATTACGAACTAAAATGAGACGACAGTTTCACGAAGGGTTTCAGAAAAGAACATTTGGAAACAACTACAGCGGCGATACTTTCTGAAATCTACAGCCAAACCAGAATTTTGGGGAAAGGATAAATATCAAATTAAAGTGCACATGTGTATAGTAATGCAGGCAGATATAGAATACAGTTTGATATTTTTTTTTATAGACCATTCGTTTGGAAGCAATGATATTTTGCCTCTGTAAAAAAACAGAATATCTTGCGACACACTATTTTGGCCAATGGATTCGAAAGTACTAAAACACCTTCGTAAGTAAAACGGAAAGATGGCCAGAACGGCGGGCTTGCAGAAATATTCTCTCAATTTTTCCAAAACATCTTTGCTTCCATGTTAAATTTGTGCGAGACATCCAAAGGGAAGAGGGTTAAATGAAAGACTCAGTTATGTCACGATAAAAGAAAGGAAAGTAGGATAAATATATATATAAAGTCACACTTTTGTGCCACAAATATTCATATAATCATGCAACACACAGCGGAAGAATAATTGTGTATAGAACAATTTTGCATTAAGTTACCTTGAAATCCTCAAATGAGATTTCCTCCTTTGGTAATGATTCAATATAAAACAAACAAAACAAATTAATGTATTTGAACTGCGAAATTCAAATTCCATATATTATTAATCGCAGGCTTGTCGAGAAACTCTGGAATAATTTAATTTGACCAGAATTGTTCGATATTCAAGTATTTGATAGTAAAGTAAATTATTATTTTTGAACAAAATACTGAAAGATGGCGTTCATCTGCATTATAAAATTGTATATGGTTAACAAAACGTTAATAACATATACGCCACAGTGTGAAAGCCAAACATGTATTGTACAGGACAATTGAGAATTGAGAAACATGAGAATTGACGTTATTTGCCGCTTTGTGCGTACCGAAGATCATCATTCTGATATTCTGCGAGCCTGTCCCGAAATAGTGGTCCCATTTCAAGTACAGGATTTGACTTTCAAACATTACTCCAAGCCACTGACAACAAAAGTTGTAAGTTGTCAGTCTAACCGCAGCCATCAGTTTGAGTCCCCAGAGCCCCGAGCCAAAAGAGAACCGACGTCGAGTCGATTTAACCCGATCTAGTACATGCACTAATGTTTGTTAGTAGGAAGTAGTATGCCTAGAGACATTGGGCATTACAAAACACACACCCCAAAATACGAAAATAGTTTACTTGTCCGTAGCAACTCTCCATAGAAACTCTCACACACGCACATCAATTCTTTCGTCTCAAGTTAGTATCATAATCAGGTAAAGTAAACAAAAACACAGTCACACGTTTCAATTACACATACAAAAACTAATGTTACAAACATATCCCATTCAGTACATAGGTTTGAAATTACAATTGAGCAATTAATACATCTTACATGACTCAGAAAGCAGCATTTTCTACACCCACACTGTCAAGTATTTAATAAAATATTGTGGCAGATGAATGCAGTGTGGCCACTGTGAGCTTAGAGTTTACTATCGTTTATCAGCACTGTCAGTGTACGTATTCACCACCGTGATTACAGAGATTTGGAATACATTCTAATTCACAATGTGGCAAGTATACCACAGTACGTCACAGAGTGTACTGTCTTATACACCACAGAGCGATCACAAAGATTTGGAACGCATTCTAATTCATACTGTGGATAGCCGGACCAGGGACCAGTAGTACATGTTCCCGATTGGACACAGTGTCTGTGATGTGCTGACCACAGTGTATTACAGAATATATGTGTGCGCTGGAGGATAGGCACAGACTGGATTAGATTGAAGTACAAACATATCCTCTCCGATTATGTAATCGTAATTATGACAAATCAATAATAAATTGCCCGGTGGAGCGTATTAATCAAGCTTTGTAGTTCCAAACAGAACCTATTCACGATATATATTTGATTTAGTTTTTGAACAATGTTTTTCTTTCAGAAAGCAATAAATTTCTATTCACCGTTGTCTTTGATATTATCTGACACCACGTGTCAGACATGATTGCAATTTGCACCGACAATCACTCACGAAAATGGCTGATGCCACCTTTAAAAGTCGTGTGTTGTATAGGTCACGGCTGTTAATGTACATGTTAATAATCGCTCTCAACGAACTGCGGTTGCTCCCCTGAACTACAGTTAATCATCCATCAAGGCCTGCTATGCAGCCAGAACTGTGGGGGCGGGGAGTTTGGATTTAAGGGAATTCCATCAATTCACAAGTGCACATGCACAACTGTATTTTGTTATTGCTGCTTTCCCTGAAAGTCGGTAAATACTTAATTTAACCAATTGTACATGGTACTGGTATATTTCAGAAACAAATATACACACAAGACAACCAAGGATTGTCTCGTACACTACAAACCAGCAAGAACGTTAAAAAACGAGCTTCAAAATTTATTTCTGAAACTGATAGCGATGGCAATCTATATACAGTTTGCTTCTCCCGTTACGGTATTCGTCAACAAAAAAGATAAAACAAACAGACATGCCAATATCTTTTTATAGTTATAGGTTTGCTTTACTTGTAAGCGGTAACCCATGATCATGATGATTAGTTTATATAAGGCATTGTCTACTAAATCTCCAAAGCCCTACTTTGATCGCATCAATATTATGACAAAAGAGTTTATACAAGTAACCTAGAGCCGGAAAGAACTGGAGTCAAATAGGCTGTTGTTTGGAAAGTCTTATTTTCAAACAAAAACTAACTATATCAACAACTAACCGTAATCTTTATTCACAGAGCCTCGAAAGAACACAGAGGTTGTCACCAGGCAAGCAGAAGTGATGATCAGCGGATCAGCCGAAAACCACCAAGCTTCATAAGAGTACATGCAGCTCCTCGTATCTCGATGTGAGATCTCTCATGTAACGGAAATTTCCTCTACCGCTTTTCACTTCACAGTCACCCAAACGTTAAGAAGCAGAAAGTGACGCCATTGGCGCAGAGTTCCAGAACTCTTGCTCCATCTAGGTGATGAGGGATGAAATACTTTTTTTCACGACGGCTATGTTGCCTTAAGAACCTTTATTGCTTATGATGGCTTATAGAAAAGTGTATCTGAGAATGTTCTTTGAGAAAATGATATCTCTGAAACGTCGAAGTGCTTATGTGATTTATTCTAAGCATCGTAGACTTTTTATGTCACAGTTTCATTTTTTACAAATTTAATTGATACGCTGATGGGAACTAACCAATATTCTAACTGTCTAATCAAGGGTTAAGTCACTTAAAAGATTGATAAAGGGTAATTATGTAGAGAGATGGTTCACTATGGTGTCTATCTGTCCAAAATTAGTCATGTTTTTTGTGGTAAAAATCGTCAGATACAACAAGCGTTTTTACCTTATATATTAAATGGATCATTCTAATTCACAAGTGCAATATTTATGTATCTGAAAGACCTATCGTATATATAACATTCTTACTTGTACAGTTTTACATCACACTGCCTCTTTAAGATTTAAGATAACTGCTAGCATACTTGAATAAGAAACGCACAAATAAATGCATTGGCTGGAAAATGAAATAGATTTTAATTCCTGGTTTTAATCCTTTTTTTGTCATTAACACAAAAATCCTCCGTTCAATAAAATTGGTGGAATATTTTTTTTAAAGACAGAAGTATTGCCCCCGAAAGACAAACATCTGTTGTGCTGCTTGATATTAAATTTGCGTAGATGGAATCGGCTCTTTAAACATTGGAAGCTGAGAGATATATCACTTTTGTACCAACTTGATAACGCCAATTGCGTTACAATTTGTCGAGTTAGCTGTAGAAATTGTCTCCATTTGACATTTGTCGTCGATCGCAACAGCCTCTTAACAACCCTCATTACTCACTATCTGTTCCAACTTGATGGATGCAGCACCGCCTCTATGCCTTGCGGCAACATGATGAAACAATCATCGATCCTTAGCAGCCATTTTCATGAATCCACGGTGGAAGAGTCGAGGACGCGACGACGGCTCATGAATATTCATGAGTGTCTCGCCATTGTCTGCGACGGAAATCGTTCATTCCATCTGTCCTGATCGAGTGACGAGATGCTCTCTCATGAAGATATCGCACAACTCTGTCCAGACATACATTTAGTTTTGTCTAAACCATAGTTAAAACCACAGTATGCTCTCTAAAAAACGGAGGCTTCCGACTTTATGAAAATGGGAACAGAGTGAGATTTTGTTTTAACACAAATGATTTCATGTTCGGAACATAACGATTCTTTCCTAATGAACACATGAGAGCCCGTTTTGCTTCCCGTCTCTAGAACCACCTTCATATTTTTTAACCATGACTTACCCTAATCCTAACTCTAACCCTAACCCATGATTCTCAAGCAAAGGGATTCTTCTCCCACGACTCAGTAGGAGCCTGAACAAAATAATTTCGTCTCTCATAGTACCGCACTTCAAATTCCTATATTCTGATAATTGCATTCTACCAAAGCAAAAGCGTTCGAAGAAATTGGTTCTTCTCTTCAACTGCCATCACTCTGCACACCATGTGTTTACAGGAAGATACTGCTGCCCTGACGGTGTCAGGTTGGATGCCATACATACAGAAATGACGGGTTTGCAGAGGACAAAAATTGTCCGTCTGGACACATCCCTACACTCAAGAAACAATACCTCCGCGTCAACCGGTGGTCCTCCATTAGAGGAAATCACCTTATGAATGCAAAATATATCTCACCCCCAAACCCGAGAAAGAGATTGTTTTATGTAGACCACTTAAGATGCTTACCCTATAAGTCTTCGCACATGAGCATTTTGTAGTGGCCGCAATATCGCATGTCTCTCAGCAATTAGAAAGTGGGACGTTTGACGCTACTGCGTCCACCGAGAATGGGCCAAAAACGGTTACTGCAGACGAAAGTTCAGCGGTCTGTTCAGTAAGCATTTTAAATTGAATATGGAAAATCAATAAAATGAGAAAAGGATTCTTCGCTAAAGTTTACAGAGTTTCATATAAAGAAAAAAAGAAATGATAAGTAAAACAATGGAAAACTTATGTACGGCACGGTACCGTAGTATAAGCGTGATAAAAGACAAACATGCTGTCTTTAGTAGATGTCAACCTACTAAATCAAGGGGCCATTATAGAAACCAATTCTTCATTCTGATAATGAATTGCGTACATAGATATACGATATTGAAATTATTTAATAAGCTTACCCCGGCACTCTCTATACTAATTTAATTTGTTCATGTCAGAAGAAAAAGAACGCTGGCTGAGAAAAGTTTTCGGTTTGCGTAACATGAATTCATCTCGTACCATTTATCAGGGACAAACGCGGCAAATGCTTTTCTTATTAAACAACTCGAAATTATTTCATAATACCTAACAAGAAAACTTTGTAACAGTTCTATCATCCCCTCTAGCTCATCAATGCGTCAGGTGCAGGTTCCCATTTTCAGGTAACATGTTTCCATCCTGTATTTTCAGAGACCTTAATTACGTAGGTAGGTTGAAGATTTATTGGCTGTCTGGTTCTAAAAGTCAAGTACGTCTAATGCGGCCAAAAACTGGAACATTCCGAGTCGTTAA